AAAAAAAAAACAATTATGTCTCTCCCCCGGGAAAAAAATCGGATGTCCATATTATGGGTTTTTAATACTTTTTTGCATATTTAATATAACAATAATATATTGTGTATCAAGTGCGGAAAGTTGACAATTGGTCACGAGTGCAAGGGATGGACGCACGAGCCGAAGGCTTCAGCCGTGGACAATGACTTTGAACGCGGCTCAGCCGTAGGCAATGGCTTTGAATGCGGCTTATTCACTCACCGCGTGGGAAATCGGCTACTTTCCGCACAGAAAACACGTACACAAAGTGCCACTTTGCCTGCACGTGTAATACAAAATAATTTTAAAAATTAAGAAAGAACAAAAAATATATATGAGAAAAAATGCCCCCCTGAAAAAAATCCTGTGAACGTCCATTGAGCACGAGTACGTAAAACGGGGATAGGAGGAAAAAATGCGAATGATTATTCTGCTTCTTTTCGCGCGAGCAAGTCGATGATGAGGAAAACGTGATATCCTATTCGCGTGAGATGATTCTCGACGACGAAGACGTACGACCCCCTTTTTACCCCCGTGTCACGAGATTTCCGGTCGGAATACGTGCGTACAGTGTTGTACGTGATTCTTCCCTTTGGCTGTAAATTTTTGAGAAATGTATGTACCTATGCGCGAGAATCTCGAGATCGGAAGGAATGTCACGCGCGGCTGACATTCATCTGTCATGTACCGTTTTATGATTATGCCGAGAGCGTCCCGGATTCACTTCGACGCGCTATTTTGTTTTCATCATATCGTTGTTCCACGGGGACCAATTTCGAGATGATTTTTCTTTACATTCCTGTACATCACTGAATTTCCAAGTGGTGTTTTATTAATGCAAAGCGCATACATATATTCGTAGCTCCTATTTTTTCGCTTATATATAGAAAAATATTAACCTTTATCTTTTTTCGGGATATTCTTGTATCGCTGAGTTTTTGAGTAATTTAATTATTTTATTAATGCAAAGTATATTTGGAATTTCTATTTTGTGAAATTTATAGAAAATATAGCCTTTATTTTTTTTATAGAAAATTAATATAATTAAAAAAAAAATAGGTAAACGCTATATTTTTCTATATATAAATTTCAGAAAGATAGAAATTCCGAAATACTCTATATTAATAAAATATTACTTGAAATCTATGTCAGTGGTATAAAAATATCAAGAAATCATCTCAAAATTGGTTGGCGATGTAATACATATATAAACGTTTCATTTCTTAAAACAAGAATACCTTATTCATTCTAAAAAAAATTATTGATTTTATTACAATTTATTCTGATCAAAATAAATTTGTACAGAATATTCTCTTCTTGTTACGTCAATATTTCATTATATTATCAGTATAGTTTCTTTTTTCTCGCTGTACCACTACGGGATGACCCTTTATTTCCAATAGTTGTCTTTTAGATTTACTCATTTTCCCAAAACTTAATTGTTCTTTATTTTTTTAATTATATCTTATATATTAAATGTTTGTCCTTTATTTTATATTTAGCGTTTTAATGTCTGATATAGCATTAGCATGAAAATTTGTACGAAAACGAAACCTCTTTCTAAAAAACCAAGGATTTGTTTGAACATCGAATCAAACTATAAAATAATTATTTTTTTTTGCTCGTCAATCTTTACTTTATTTACAAACTGATTTGGATATTGAAACAAAGTTCTAAAATTTTCAGATTCGTTCTTATTTATTTTTTGTCAAAAAATATGGTCGCCGTACAGTTGAAAAAATTTCTATTAAATTTAACAGATATCACATGGCCCACAGAAATTTTCGTGTTATTTTAACATAATATAGATATGTTAAATGGAGACACAAATACTGTGTTAATATTTTAACACAAAATAAATGTAAAAATTAACCAAAAATATGTTAATTTTAGATTTTATTATCCCCACTTATATTATAAAATAGAAAATCAAGATTTTTTCTGTAAATTTTAACAGATAAATCTTGTCACTGATAAAGCAGACCATATTATTGTGTAACATTAAAAATAGATGCACATTGTGTTATTTTTACATTTTTTCGGTTGTTTTAATAATTTAACATTTAAGTCTAATGAACACAACAGCGATATGTTAAATTACCACACGAATGTGTCAAATATTGAACAGACAAATTTTAACGGGGACCGTTTTTAACAGAAAACCAAATTTTCCTATTGCGCCTATATATACAGGGTGTCTCAGAATTACCGTATCACACGTTAATGGGAGATTCTTGAGGCGATTTGGAGACGATTTTTCCTCAGCGAAAATGTCGAGAAAGGTCACCATTTTTTTAATGTTCCCAATTTTTGAAATCATGTATCTTTGTAACTAAGCCTTAAATTAAAATTCTATTAAAGTAAACTTTACCTGAAATTAACTAAAAAATGCAGTTTTGTTAATAATTTATTTTTACAAGGCTTAGTTTACAAAATAGCTTTTATTTTCAATTATTTATAACTCGAAAATTATTGGTGCCTGGACATTTTCGTTGAGGAAAAATCGTCTCCAAATCGCCTCAGAAATCTCCCATTAACGTGTGATACGGTAATTCTGGAACACCCTGTATATGCATCGGTTGAAGAATTCGATTCTGAAACGGATCGAGAGCCAGAGACGAGAGACGATCGGGAAAGTGTCACGAGCGCGATATGATAAAGCGCGAGGTGCATTATTGACGCCTCTTTGATTATAATCCGGCTGTTAGACGAGAGACTGCCTCGTCGCGTCGGAACATTGCGTTGACAAGTGGTATAGCGCGACGTTATTACGGCGACAGCCCCGAGAACCCCGATATATACTCGAAAGAGCGTGAAGATGCCATACGTGAAGGGTCCTCTCGTACACTCCTGGTCCGACGATCGAACGGAAAACCGATATCGCACAACTTTGTCGAAGATAACTGACAAGATCGAGTAAGGTAATAGGACGTACACTCACCGGAATGGGGAGAAAACTTGACTTTATCGCGAGTTTTATATAATATATATATATATATATTCGTCTTTTTACATTTATTTTCTACTCTCTTCACTTTTGCACGCTTTTTTATGTGACACATTAACGGCGAAAATATATGTAAGCGATGGTGTATAAATAAAAATGTGAAACACGATTGATCTCGACTCGCGGGAAGGCTCTCTTTCTTCTCCTTTATTCTATTTTTGTATCATTGATGTAATTAAAAATTCTCAGACAAGCGACAGAAATCTTGACGCAAAATACTCAATGGAATGGTTCTATTTTTAATGAAGGGAAAAGTCAACTTTCCTTATTCTCTTCGTGAAATGTCTCGTAAAGAATTTTCCTTTGCGATGAAATGAACTGTTTTATTATTATTTATTACAATATATATTCGAAAAAATTCTTTCTTTAGCCCGCTTTTATAAAATTGTATAAATAATTGTATAAATTTTGTCGGGGTTTACGCACACTCGAAAAAAATGCGATAAATAATTGTTTTGACGTTTGCGAAGAGGGTAAAATTCGAGAACGACACATCAGCGCTCGAGGATATTGTTAGAGTTATGTGAAGGTGGATGATGGAGCATCTATATAAAATTCTATAAATATTATAAATAATTGTACAAATTTATCGATTACGCACACTCGAAAAAATGCGATAAATAATTGTTTTGACGTTTGTGAGGAGAGTAAAATTCGAGGACTCCACGAGCGCCCAAGGACATTGTTAGAATTATGTCAAGGTGGATGACGGGGCATCTATATAAAATTGTATAAATATTATAAATAATTGTACAAAATCGGTTCGCGCATACGATAAATAATGGTTTTGACATTTGCGAAGAGGATAAAATTCGAGGACGACACATGAGCGCTCGAGGATATTGTTAGAATTATGTGCGAAGGTGGATGATGGGGCATCTATAAAATTGTATAAATATTATAAATAATTGTACAAAGATTTATCCGGTTTACGTACACGATAAATAATTGTTTTGACATTTGCGAAGAGGGTGAAATTCGAAGACTACACAAGGATATTGTTAGAATTGTGCGAGGGTGGATGAGAGCAGAAAAGGAGAACACGAGCCTCGTTGGTGAAGGACTGTACGCTCATTCATTTTTAATAACGAGTGAGGACGCGGCTAATAATACGGTACGAAAGAAACTCACGCGCGAGTCCCGATCGATACGACGTGATATGAGTAATGAAAGTAGCGCGCGCGAGTCGAGTAGCTGTATAAGTCTTCGTTAAAAAAGAAACACTTTTGAAACTTTATATGTGACTTGTATAATATCCTGAGCGCCCTGCGTGCACCCTTTCCTTTTTTATTTTATTTCTTACACTTTTTTCCCTCATCGTACTTTATAATCTGTCATTTTTAACACACGTCCCGCATCGGTTTGTAAACGTACGTACGTTAATTTATCGAAAAAAATCTAATAAAACACCCGAAGACTTATTATATGTATTCATTTACTGATTGCAAATTAATTATGTCGTCAAGGCAATTTTACGTCATATTTGAGATTGCCGTATTATGGAACGATGATGATGATGATGATGATGATGATGATGATGGTGATTTGTTTCGAGAAATCAAATAAATATATCGATATTATTTGATATTAAAATCCAATCTATCATTTAAATGCAAATAGCTCGAGTGACATACAAACTCATGAAAAATTGACCTTAATTGCTCTTCGAATAATCAAAATCATAATAACTATGACGAATAAATGTAGATTAGTATCCTTACGTTACGTAATAGCCAATTATACGTATACGGATTGTTAATTAACGAATCGTTCGTAACGGATAAGGGTCAGTCTATGTATATATTCATCTCGATGGAGAATAATGGATTTATTATATATTTTTCTGCTGACATTTCGCGAGCTTTTCTCACATTCGCGTCGCCATTTTCATCTCGTTCCTTCCATTCATCCAACATCGCGGCAGAAAGAAGAGCCGAACTTACGTTACAATTACGAAACTTTCTGCCTGTTTCAGAGTGAGAGTGAAGTCCGGGGTGAAGATCCTGGATGCCTCGTCCAGCAGCCCGGATTGGTCCGTCCAGAGTGATGTCAACGCGAAAAACACGGCCGCCACGTTTACAGCACGACGGAAGGAAACGACGTCACGTGCCCTAAGCACGTAAGTATCTCACGTATCTTTTAACTCTTCTGTCAAACATAATTTTCCGCCTTTCTCTCGATGTATGGGTTTACCCAAATACTAACCGTGTGCGTTCTCGACACGTTGACAATTTCTCCTCCAGCGCAGCTGCTGGACATCGAACATTTTTCCCCGTTATTTATTTTAGAATTTGTGTAATGTTTGTTTCGGTCGAAGAAAAATTCCCGACACATTTTTGACACTTAAATTACATATTGCTCTGTTCATTGACGAGAAAGATTGAAAAATTGACGCAATAATTTTTCCAATCGTGAATGTTGATTTTTATGAAAATAAAATGAAATATTTGTACAATCATATTTTTGTTCGTTTTTGCAATATATGTTTATATTATTGAGAATTATTATTTAAAGTTTAAACCAACTCTCTTTTTTACATATTTTTTTTTTAATTTCTTAATTCCAGAAAAAATATGTTTTTGAAATTTTTACCATACATTACGTCGAATGTTCCAAAAAATATTCCATAACGCTTGAAAAATTAGTTTTTTACAATAAAGATTTTTTAATTACACTCGCAACATTTTATACGTTGTTCGATTGAAAGTTGAATCTTATTAATTTCAAAATTATCGATATTTAAATTTCAATCAAATAATGTATAAAATATTGTAATTATAATTAAAAAATCATCGGCGTAATAAAAGATCCAAAAATGTATTTTTTCTGAAACTAAACAACATGTAAAAAAAAAAGAGTTGGCTTAAATTTTAAATACTTCTCAATAATATAAACATCAAGACGCGAAACAGAATGATGCGCAATTTTGAAATAAAATTTAACAATTTTTTCAATCTTCTTACTCTTCGTGGCGGAACTTAATTCGCAGCGTTTTCAATTTAACAAACGGAAAAGCGTGGGATTTAAATTGCTCATTGTATTAACTGTTCTCATGTTCACAATCTCAGCGAAAATCTTTCTAAGCTAACCAACATATGTGTCGGCTTAACGAAATTTTACGACATCTACATAATATTTCGTTATAATATTTTATCTTAATGTAAAATACCTTGTGAGAACGTCTTATTGAAAAAAACCATGAATTTTATAATTTGATGAATTATTATTCAAAGAATTATTATTGATCTATCAATTTTTAGAAATGTTTTATACATTTATTCATTCGTATCTAAGCGATTCTATGAATCTTCTAATCTTTCATCTTAAACTTGGATGGTTAATAAAAAGCAAATAAACTTTTTGTTTGATTATGTTTACTACGATTTTAGGAGTTGAACTAATCATACAATAGTGTCCAAATGATATATCAACTTTACATAACGTCAATTCTTCCTATATCGTAAAGAAAATCTTGTAAAGAAGATATGTCTTAGGAATTAAACGCTACGAAAATAGATGTGTATATCAAACCGGAGGTTGTTCCATTGGTAGCGTCGTTTGATCTGGAGTATCCGGCTGCACGGTAGTCGCCTTGGGCGTGCAATGGCGCTTCGTCTTCTTCTTCTTCTGTGTCTTCTTCTTCTTCTTGCTGTTCTTGGATCGAGTCACTCGATTGTGCGGTTTGTCATCAGTTTGCTTTACGGTAGCACTCGTTCGACTAACATCCTCGATGTAAGGGGGACTGAAGAAAAGGGCTTTATCACTTTTTCCGACGACAATTTACTCGCGGAATCTTCTATCGACCGAACAAGCCGATTCTTTGATTCCTCCCTTTCTTTCGCGAGGGACGATTTACTTTCGTCCGAAGTATCGCGGATAAATCGATTCCTCAAGGGTGTACCATTCCTCTCCTCAGACGATGATTTACTCTGGTCTAAAATATCCGCGAGCGCTCTGACATATCGATTCTTCAGTTGGTTCTTCTCCTTGGACGAGTTACTTTCCGATGAGGGATCAGCCGCTCTGACTAAACGATTATTTAATTTTTTCTCCGCGAACAAATTAGTCTCCAATGCAACTTTTCTAAACTTCGTTCTATCTTTCCATTCTTCGAGCGATGATACATTTTCCAGAGTATCATATTTGACATATCTCTTCTTTCGTTTATCTTCTTCAGAAGACGATGAAGAAGATGAAGAAGACGATGAAGATGATGAGTCGTCCTCGTCGTCGTCATCATCATCATCATCATCATCGTCGTCATCACAATCATCGTCCTTGTTTTTGGATTTCACACGTTTCTTACTCTTTTTATGATTATCATCATCATCATCATCGTCATCCTTTTTGGATCTTCCACATGGTCTCCCACATTGATTTCTCTTTTTATGATCATCATCATCATCATCATCATCATCATCATCATCATCATCGTCGTCGTCATCGTCATCATTCCTTTTGGATTTTCCACACCGTCTCTCACATTGATTTCTCCTTTTATGATCATCATCGTCATCGTCATCATCGCTGTCATCATCATCTCTTTTGCCCTTCGTCTTCGACGCACGTCTCACCCGCTGCAATTCCTCCTCGTTCTCATCCTTGAACGCGCCGTTGTCGTCAAAAACCGCGTCTCTCTTCGCGCGTTCATCGATAACAACCTTCTTTTCTTCGCTAGACGATGAGGAAGAAGAACTGTCAGCCTTCTCCGGCGCCGCGGTCGTCACCGTCGTTAAATCGACGTCATTCTGAGCCTGTGCGGGATACGCCTGGACCTCATGGGTGCTCCAGAGCAGCAGAAGCAGCGAGGCACTCGCGAGGAAGAGTATCGCGCCGCGACGCATAATCGATCGATCGAACTCGAAGAGGCAAACCAATCTCGACGGCGGTCGGCCGGCTGGCCTTTTATATACCGTCTTATATCGCGAGGCGCTGATAAAGAAAATCAGGAACGGCAAGGAAGAGTGACACTCGTACTCTCCGACGTGCTGACGTTCGCAAAAGTCGATGGAGGAGGCAGAAGCGATATCCCACTCACTCTTTCGATCTCTCGTTATCACCCGCCGATGCGATGGTGCGCTTTGATTCCGCCTCGACTTCCGCGAAATCGACGATTTATACCGCTCCGAATCGGCCGTCACGCACGCAATCCGTAGATCGACGGCCGCGATAGGGGTGGAAAAGGGGTGGAGAAGCGAGGGGTTAATTCCGGGGATGGGGAAGGGGTTTGCTTATCGAGATTCTGTGCAGGCTCTCGCTTTGGCGAACACGCGATGGCTCTCGCATCGAGATCAGAAAGGAGAAGCTGGCGAACACGACGCCTCCGCGCGCGTGATGCTGCCGGATATAGGCAGATATGTAGCTCGAGATCGCGGAATAATTACCTTGAGCTATAACGTCGTTACCTTCGGGTAAAAGCTTCTCGATAATCTCGATAACGAGCGACCGAGAACTCTTTAATCTGGACGCTTCCGGAATAAGAGACACGCGCGCGGTTTTTTCCGCAATGCGAAAAAAAATATATAATTCTTTTAAATAAAATTTATGTAAAAAAAGTTTTTTTTTACATAGTTTAAAATCACGGTCTTATATACAAGTCAGGACACTCCATTAAAATGAAGTGTATAAAAAATGTAACCAATATGGTGGCCAACTCTAACCTGTCATATAATAATATATTACACTATTTTTAAATAGGTTAATAAAAACTATTCTTAATATTTAATATTTATTCCGACGGTTTTTAACCGTATTTTTAACATTTTTTCAATTGTGCACAAGATTTAACACAAAACTGTCAAAATAAAAAAAATCTGCGCACATTGAATGAATTGGCAGCCATATTAGTTACATTTTGACATTCCGCTTGACAGCATGTAGTCGATATAGAAGTGGCCTGATCTGTATATAAGATCGTGTTTAAAATATTTTATCTTTAATTTAGATGTTTGCGTTTTAATGTTACACACTGTTTTGTTTCGCGTTTATTTACCGAGTTTAATAAATTTATAGATCTTAATCAGTATAATTAAATTTACATGTTATATATAAATGCTTAGTTACTGTTTAATTTTCGTGGAAATTGCTCGTTTCACGGTAATTTTAATTTGCCCGCTGCTCGTGATAAAATATGAATAACCCCGCAGAATCGCACGTATAGCTAAACATAAGCGGTAAAGATATTTGGACAAACGTTCTCTCTTCTCTCTCTTTTTCTCTGTCCCACTTTTAATAGTATGCATTGAGGAAAGTACAAAGCCCATCGCGCGAGAGAGCATCAACGACGCACAATTTTCTATTTTCCGTTTAACAGCCGGATAACAACAGAGAGAGAGACTCGTTTTCGTTCCTTTTAATTCTTGCGCTCGTTCTCGCCAACTCTCTCAGTAGGAAATAGCAAATCGGGAAGAGTGTATTTACACTCGCGCGAATGAACGAACGAATTCATTTGTTCGTATCCGTGGCAGAAACCCGTATATACACAAACCGCTGCGCAAAGCGGATCTTTCTCTCTCTCTCTTTGCCGGTGAAAATACACAGCTTCCCTAGATTATCCTCGACATCTCGAACTTTCGAGGAATCTCGACATCCTACATATATTTCATCACACCAGGATAGCTTCGTCATTCGTACATTCTTATTTACATACATCGTTATTTCCGATCTTCGCTTAATAGTCTAATTGATTAATCGATTTTTATTTCAATTTAATTATTCATTTAATTTATTTTATATATGATATATATTTTATATACGTATTATATATATAAAATTATATATTTTTATTCAAAAAAAAATATTTTTAATTATAATCTCTAAAATTATTTTTCTCTTGTTTTATAAATTATTTTTCTTCAAATTTTTTCAAAATGAAAATAATTAGGTACAAATAATCTTTAGACAATTAATTATGTATACACAGAGAGAATTTTTTTTTAGAATTTATCCTAAAAATCATGGTAATTATAGAACAATATGGTATTGGAAGAATTTTATAAGAGTTTCTCTGTGATTAATATTTACCAGAATAAAAAATATTAATATTTACCACAATAAGGTGTAAAATATGTTCGATTAATTTTCCTATGTACATATTAATATTTTTTATTGTGATAAATTAATCAGAGAGAAACTCGTATAAAATTCCATATTGTCTCACGATTACCATGATTTTCAGGGTAAATTCTAAGAGAAAATTCTCTCTGCGTATATACTTAATAAATAAAGAATTTTTTATAATCAGATTAATTTTAATCTTATTTATTCCATAACCCAATTAGCGAATTTTCGATCATTCCTTTCCATTTCGCGAAGAGACTCTCTCTCGTTAGTTCATTATTTATTTGCGACTTACCTTTTTTTCGGAGAATCATTCGGTCGTCGTCTGGTTTCAGATCCGCGGAAGAAATAATGACGATGCTGCTGGAGGCGAGCGAAGATGGGATAGGCGGAAACTGGGACGGCGGGAAGATCGTGTGGAGCGTGCGTTACGAGCTCCAGGGCGAGGAAGAGAAGGATTCGCAGTTGACGGGCGTCGATCAGTTGCAGCTGCGAATGCAACACCAGCTGCAGCATCACCATCATCATCATGTCGAGAAGCGAAAGCTGCAGGCAAGGCTGGAAATACAGAAGGACGATATACAGGCGGTGCTTCCGATCTCGAAGGTAAACTTAAGGATACTTGTTGCCACTAGCAGATCCTGATATCGATAATTGGGTTTCTGCAATTTTATTTCATTCATTACTTTAGTACTTTAATATTATTATTTAATTAATATTTTTTATTTTACATGCTTAGCTTTTACTCCAAAATCAATGACGAATATTTTTTTAATTTGCAAGGAGTTTTTTAATCCCAAACTGTCTCCCAGGATCCGCTAGTGCTTGTTGCAGACGATGGAAATATTCATTTCACTATAATGAACAAAATTACAGTGATGATTAAGGAATTTTTGATCAAGCAATTTCCATGTAAAGATACATGGATTTTTTCAGTTGAGAATAATATTCTTTATTGTTCTGGCAAGAATTATCCTTGCTCCTTTCATCTTTACTCAAGTTAAAAATTTAGACTAGATAGACGGGTTTCAAGGATTCTCTTTCTCTCTTATATTCATATGTATGTAAATATATTTTTAGAATCTTGAGAACATATTATACCCGAGCGATGGAGAAATAGGTTGCAAATAGCGAGAAAAAGCTCGATTTGCCCTTAAATATAAAAATATACAGACTTGAATGTTATATTTAGAAGCGATCGAATTAAAAAAAAAAAAAGATTATTTTCACGATTTATAAACGTGATAGAGATAAAAGTAGCACCTTTTTTGCGCGTCCTTCGTTCTTCCTCGCGTGTGTAATTGTTTCGATACATAACACGAGAGAGGGAGAAAGAAGATTCAAATGAGACTTTGCGCGTCTGACGTCATAATCTGCAGTCTGGGACTGCATAGCGGGCGGATCGGGAACTTCAAGAGCACGTAAGGAAAAAAGTAGCTGGAGAATTTTTAAGATTTCGGTCAGATTTTGACCCATCTTCCGTCGGGTTTATTTTCATCGCGACCGCGCGCTTTTATATCTCCTCGCTGTGTGAAAATCCCTCGGAGAAGAGCGAACTCTCGAACGCGCGACGAGGGAGGACGATCAATACGCGTTCCTCTATATCGATCACGTCGTCGCGCGAGAATCTGTTTCCACTCGGTCGGCCAATCTACGATCCTCGCGAGCATCGAGACGCCGAGGGAGACGGAGAAAAGGAAGGAAAGATGGGTGAGAAAAAGGGAAAAAAGCGGCCGCCCGGTGCGCAGAGAGGATCGACAATGGATAATGCTTTTCCCTCTTCTTACAACTTCTATTTCTTCTTTTCCTGCACGTTCACCATAACGGCCGATATTTTTAGCCGTGGCAAAATTCCACGGGGTTCTTGATTGCCAAAGCTACATACTATACCATTTCGATAACGGCAACGACGCAGCTGCCGTAACAACGGATTGTAATGAAATTTTCGACAATTGTGCTGCACACATCCGAGTGGTGATTTCACCCCCAGTTTATCCCTCTCCATTCCTCGTATCGCCCCGTTCGTTCTTACGCGAAGGGTGCAAAGCGTGACGCATTAATGTCATATAAATGCTGACTGTGTTTGTTTTATCGACAAATATTATTTTTATTTAACTCTTTATTGGCTATACAGAATCAAAAGTCCTTTACTAGGATTTCATTATTCATATAATAACAAATCCAGGCTACTATGTATGTAGATTAAAAAACATCAAAAAAGTTAAAGCAAAAGATAAGAAAACTAATTATTTAGCTTTCTTGATTTTATATATATATACCATATTTTTACATATATATATAATTTATATATATATATATATATAATATGTATTTATATATAGATATATATATAAAAGCCCAGATTTGTTATTATGAATATTTCAATTCTAGTAAAGGATTTTTCATTTTGTATAGCCAATAAATAGTTGAATAAAAATAATATTTATCGATAAAGTAGACACAGTCAGCATCCCCTTAATTTTCGAAGAGAAAAGGATTTTAAATAAAAATTATAATAAAATATACAAAATGTTAAAAATTGTAGAGTAGTGAAGAGGATTTCTATTTTGACGTGGCTGCAACAGTTATTAAATTCTAAAACGATTAAACTATTCCGATTAATTTATTTGTGTGAATGTGTGTGTTTTTTTAAGGATGATAACGAGGAGAGTTTTCTATTTGTTTCCTATATCTCGATAAATTTTAGTTCGAGAGACGTAAATTTAACTTTAGCTTTTTTCGATATCGATGCAAATTTTTTGCGCGAGTTTTCTAGGGTTCGAAAAATTTTTATATTTTTATATAACCGCATAGTAAAAAAAAACGACGGAATATGCGTGCATGGATGTGATCGAATTGTCATATCGATCATATATGAAAGACTCTTGAAAAATATACAAACGATATAACGAAATTGCGCGTAATAAAAAGATTTTTAAAAAAGTACAATTTTATTCACATTTTATTAATATTTAAAAAATATAGAATTATACTGTGGATTCTCCTCTGATTCTGGTTGTAAATTCCATTAGGAATAGCGATTGAGTTTAAAAAAAAAATCAATAACAGTCTGTACTTACACACAAGAGCGAAACACTGTTTTGGTAAATCGCTATTCAAGCAATCTACAACGACACTTTAGGGCATTCTAGGGCAGTTCTAGGTATGTGAATTAAATCGGATGGTTTAACATTATCCGTGACACACTCGCAATTTCCGGTAACATGATGCAGCAGGTGCATGCTATGTATAGCTCTGCGTATAAAAGTTAACTTATATAGAATTGTATTAATAGCTTATGTCAGACAAAAAAAACAATGTCAAAATTAATTGAAAAACAGTGTCGAACGAATTAATGGAAAAATTAATTAATACACGGATTTGTAGAAAATTAGTGCGCATAAAATAGCCAATTTGTTTCTTCATATAATTTTTTTTATCATTTTTATACTTTGAGAAAAATTTAATGTAAGATATTTAAAAAAAATGACAACAAAGAAAAACAGAGAGAGAGAGCTGCGATAAATGATCTTTATTGATATTTCCTCTAAGGTAATATCGAGTCTCCAGATTAGTCAAAGGGCCGTAATTATGAAGGTATTCGATGTGATTCTGCATTCCTTAGATAATATGGAGGATATTAATTTATATAACTTCTCTAAAGATTTTTATCACACCGATATTAAGTTCGATAATGCCGTCGATGAGTTTGATGATGAAAATTCCAGTATCGCAATCGATAGAAAATAGGTAAGCCGAAGGAATACATAGGGAAGGAAAAGAGGGTCGCGAGTTCTCTCTTTTAATTAAAAACTTTGCTCGCAGTCTCTCTTTCTCGCGGAAGGAGTAGCAATTAGAGTAAGGATAATCAAGAAGCGAGTTTCCGGCAACTTTCCGCGCGTGCGCGAAGTGCCTTCAAAAGGATATGTAAATGAATTAATTATCCAATTTATCAATTAACGACCTCCGACACGCGCGCTCGCTTGTTTACTCCGTTGAAATTTATCAGCGTAATAGACTGCGCATTGTGCATATTTTACGCTCGCAATAACGTAAAATTCTTCACCCTCATAGTTTATCCGTCCTTTTCCCTCCTCGAAGCCGTCGTCGATTAAACATCACATCCTACCCAGTTGAAAATGTTCTCCGCTTTTCCTCTTAACGAACTCGGAAAATCATTTTGCCATCTCGGAAATATATTCGAGAAAAGCAGGACGCGTTTGCTGATGCTGCGTATATCAAAAAATTATTTTACAATCTGCGGAAGTCGGAGAACTCTGCCACGCATATATATATATATATATATATATATATATATATATATATATATGTATATATATATATATATATATATATATATATATATATATATATATATATATATATATATATTTCAATTCGATGTATCAAGATTTCTGCGTTGCAATTTTATCTCGTGTGCGCAGAATTAATTCGTTGAAATAAAATGCAAATGAATGTGCACGGAAATAAAAGCGACTACGAATGATTTTTCTAACACGGAGAACAAACTGATAAGCGCGCAAAAAACGCAATTTACGAATATATATATATATAATTGTCGCTCAGAAATACAAAGTCTAATTAATTAATTTCTGCGATTTGATTCCGAAAGAAGCAAATTAAAATTCTTTGAAATCAAATCAGTCTTTTTATCGGCTATTTAAAGTATAAACGATGCATTTAGAGGGTCTAAACATATAATTCAATTTGCAAACTTTTATGTATAAAATATAATATGCGAATCTACCCTAAAAATCAATATGGTATTGGAAGAATTTTATTAGTTTCTCGACAAGACATTATTTGCCCCTGAAATTATTAAAAAATTATTTTTGCATATTTAATATAAAAAAAAAATAAAACAAAATAAGAAACAAAAAAATTTAAATCAAGCTTCCTCCCCTGAAAAAAATTCTGAAAACGCCCATGTTTACCACAATAAAAAATATTAATATCTACCACAATAAGATTTAAAATATGTTCGATTAATTTTACTATGTACATATTAATATTTTTTATTGTGGTAAATATTAATCAGAGAAACTCTTACAAAATTCTTCCAATACCACCATATTGTCCTATAGGATTACCATGATTTTCAGGATAAATTATCTCCATGTATAAAACTTAATTACAGAATTTACTTGTTACATTTGTCAACACATTAATATTTACTACAATAAGATTTAAAATATGTTCGATTAATTTTACTATGTACATATTATTATTTTTATTGTGGTAAACATTAATCAGAGAAACTCTTACAAAATTCTTCCAATACTACCATATTGTTCCAGGATTACCATGATTTTCAGGATAAATTCTCTCCGTGTATAAAACCTAATTACAGAATTTATTTGTTACATTTGTCAACATGAATAAAACAAAACTTGATTATATCTTATTTTCAGCTGACAACACATGTCATTCTCTATGACTTTGCTATTATGTATTATAGTCTTGCTCGATTATAGTCTAATAGCTATAACTAATAGCTATAACTAGTATAGTCAAGCTCATATCTGAAGTGCTTCAAGGCTTAAGTGCAAGCATTATCACATCCCTTCCTCTTCTCTTTCTCTTTGTCCTTCTATACATGTCTTCCTTCTCTTAAAGTATGTAGATCCGTAAATGGTATAAACTTATGAATTATATAGAAACTTATGGTCCTAAATTATTTAAATGGGATCAATTCTATAATTTGATTTAGTTATCATTAATTCAAAAAGTTATACGGAAATAAGTTGTTAAAATCTAAACGCAACAGGAAATTAAGATTCCAATACATAAATAATCGAGAGATTGCGATTTTTTTAAAAATTCTCAGAAAGAAAAAAATAATTCAAAAAGAAGATATTCAGAGAACGATCTTAAAGATTTATATTTTTCCGCATCAAGGATTGTAAACATCAAATAACGTCATTTTCAATTTTAATTTCTTTTTTAACATTTTATGCATGACGAAAACTGAAAATCAAAGCTTAATATACAGGGTGTCTCGTAAAGATCGATATTTAAGGGTAGATTCTTGGGATCATTTGGAGACTCAGCAAAAATGTCAACACACCAATAATTTTTCAAATTATAAGCGATTGAAAATAAAGGGTTTTTGGCAAACTAACAAAACCATATTCTTCAGTTAATTTCAAGTACAGTTAACTTAAATAGACTTTTAATTTAAGATTTAGTTACAAAAAGATACATGATGGCAAAAATTGGGAACATGCTAAAAATGGCCTTCCTCGACATTTTCGCTGAGGAAAAAATCGTCTCCCAATGATCTCAGGAATCTATCCTACCCGTTGATCCGGTTCTTTATGGGACACTCTGTATATACAATTATAACCGGTGATTGCTTCGCAGAAGAAGATTCACGTCGCATTTTCCACGCTGAGATAGAAAATAACAGCGTTACATCTCGTACCTCTCGCAAATATTCTTTCGCGCGAGTGCTGATCCCGTTGGAAAAATATTTGATGAAAAGAAGAGGAAAGGAGAGAAAGAGGGAGAAAAGGGAAAAAAGGGAGCCGCGAAGTTTCGCGAGTAGGTGTACGAAGAGGTGAACCGCCACTTCACCATTGTCGAGAGGAAGAGAACGCGTTTCTCTCCGATATACATATATACATGTATAGTAGGTGACTGGGGTCCCACACACACACACACACACACACATACATCGGGGGAGATCATGAGTGGTGGTGGAAGCAAAGAGTAGGGAGGATATCGCGGCGTCAGAGATTTAAATTCCCTCGTTGCAATATCCGAGCCGTTTGATGTTCCTCTTCCAAAGGATCCGGCTTCCTACGGAGTCTGCACGGATGGGAGCCAACTTGGAAATGGCTTACTGGACCCGACCCGACCCGACCGTCCGATCCTCGTCAACCGAACTCCCTTTGCGGAGCCCTCTCTCGTTGACGAACTACTAGTATAAAGTACACGCAAGCGTATACGTATATGTGCGAACGCAAATGTTGGAAGTAATTTTCCAACGTATACGTGTGTAACGTATAAGTTGCTCTCTTCTCTCTCGGCAGTAGTAAAGCAAATGTGTATGTCAGACACGTCTGCGTAGATATGTATATATTAGTTCTCCCATTCACGGGAAAGCCTTTTGAGCACTTTACGACGATTTTACGACGTTAAAACGTTACGGCAAATGAATCGGTTGTTATGAAAGGGCGAGAGAGATCTCTTCTCTTATCCGATCTGTGTGGAAAAATTCTGAATTACGACCCGTATAGCTAAGTCTCTTGCGCAACTTAGAAGTTTTTTTTAATTTATACATGTTTTGTTAATATATTCCCTTTTATATTATAGTTCTTCCTTTTACTTTATTGTATTTTTTAAATAATTTATTAAACATACATTTTGTATGCAGATGTATCTGTATTTGAGAAAGAGAGGCGCGATTTTTTTTCACACTACATTCTCTCGAGTATCTATTTCTCTATGTGTTTTATGGGTTTTTTATATATTTTGGATGATCCATATTTTTTAATATCGCTCTTACCGCGCTTTTTATCGTGTCAGGCGGCGAAAGGAGAATATAAAGTTTGAAATAGAATAGATAACAGTTATTAATAATGGATAATGGTTCTATCATCATACATGAAGGGTTTCCTAGAAATGTGTATATTGAAATGTACGCAAATTTCTCCATCACACATACCATTAAAAAATTGAAGAATATATACGGTTGAGCTATGATCCATTTTTTCTCCCTCTCTCTCTCTCTCTCTCTCTCTCTTAGAAAATATTTTCGTGTTTCGCTTCAGAACTGGGAGGTGATGAATACAGCGGTGCTGACGGGGCGTCAGGTGTCGCAGGGGATGAAGGTTTTCATCGTTAGTCAAGCCGGGACGGTCGCCGACGTCACATTGCAGTCGTCCTGTCATTCCGAGGACGAGAGCGTTCTTAAGGTAATTGCTTTTTAATTCACCTTCAACGCTTATCGAGATTCTAACTAACAACTTCATTTCGAGGAAAGCTGTCGGAACGGAAAAATCACGGCGTTATATAGATACTGGCAGCATTATCAAGCTCTTTATTCTTATAATTTGTTGAATGATATTTTTTATAGATATATTTTATATTTATATGTATTTATAAAATATGTATTTTATATTTATTTTTAATATATATCTTATAAATTTATATTTTTTCATATCTTGCATTAATAAAAATATGTACTTTTATATTTACAAAAAACATTGATAAAATCATTTTCGAAAAAAATACTTGTGTACATAATATAATTTTAAACATTTTATAATGCAATATTTTAAATTCTTTAAAAAATTAAATATTTTATATCTCATATATTTATAAAAAATATATATTTTATAAATACATATTTTTTAATATTAATAAAAATATATATACTTTTATTTTAAAAAGAGCGGTGAAATCAGGTTGCAAAAACATTTGTGTGCGTAATAATTTTAAAAGTTTTGTAATGCAATATTCTAAATTTTCTCAAAATAAGATATTTTATATATTTATAAAATATATATTATATATTTCATAAATATATATTTTTTAATATGTTACATTAATCAAAATACATATTTTTATTTAGAAAAATATCGATGAAATCATCTTCGAAAAAAGTATTTGTATACATAATTATAATTCTAAAAATTTTACAATACAATATTTTAAATTCTCTCAAAATGAGATATTTTACATATTTATAAAATATATATATTTTATAAACATATATTTTTTATAATCTTGCATTAATAAAAATATGTACTTTTATTTAGAAAAAACTTCGATGAAAAGAAGAGCATTTGTGTACAATATATATATATAATACATATAATTCAACAAATTGTATAATGCGATATTTTAAATTTTCTCAATAATCTATACTAACATCCAAGAGAGTTTGAAACTGTTAATACTCCGTATAATCGCAAATTCGAGCGGTGCTTCTGAAAGCCCGAAACATCCTGTGCACTGTCGTTAGACATTGCATTACAAACTGTAGCCTAGAATCAAACTCCACTTAACGCCCGACCGAAACTCGAAATTCGCAGGTATCCTCTTCGTGCAGCAGCGTGTACGTGGACGGTTCGGAGATCCGAGGTTCCAGCAACGCCTCGGTCCTCGTCAAGTACGGCACGTACACCGGTTTGGCAAGGTTCACTGTGTGGATGCCCGAGTTTCCTCTGGAGGTCAGCGTCAGCGACACAAGACTCAGCCAGATAAAGGGCTGGAAAGTGCCGGAAGATCACGCGACCAGCGCCAAGAGCAAGCGGAGTCTGCTGAACACGACAAGGATCGTCGAGGACCACCAGACCGGAATCACAACTACGACGGAATCGCCTGTCACCGGGCGAGCGAAGAAGAGGAGCGCCGTCGAGCTCGAGGATTCGATAGAGGACACCTCGATGGACGTGGACGACCTGGACGAGGAGCCGCTGCTCGAGGAAGAAGAGGACGAGCACGAGGAGCGGTTCCGCGGCAACGGGAACGATCACGGATGGGACACGATCAACTCCATCGATCGGAATCTGTCCCCAGCCAATTGCAGATTGCGATTCCAGCAGAGCCCGGTCGAGGTGCACGCTCGTTTCCTGGCGACCGATCACGATTCGGGTAGAGTCTCGTACTTTGTCAATCGGCGCACCTGGCTGCGCGTCACCGATCTGGTAGCCGGGATGTTGCGTGTCTCGGATCCTAGGATAGCGACGCTTCTTCAGAATAGACTGGTACAGGGACGTGGGGTGGGACGCACGGAGGTCCAGGTACTCTCGCCGATTACCGGAAGAGTAATCGGCGCGAAGGAGATCAGAGTTGGCAATGATCGCGTGTCCGTGATGCGACTGTCCGTCCGGGTCGTGTCCGGACTTCAGCTCAGCATCAGCCCCGATACCGCGATCGAGAATGGATATGTCGCGGAAACTTCGGTTACTAGGAGACTGACTGCACAGTATCAGGTAAGATAATCGAATCGATCGAAATTCGTTCGCGTTGCTCAAATTTGTCTCGATAAGAAGACCTCGAAGAGTTCATCTTTTAGCAAAATTGTTTGAACGGACTTTCATAGATCACTAAATCCACTAGCGAATCCTGAAGTCGATAAAAGGGGTTTTATAAATTATATTTGATTTAATAGTGAAAAGATTTTTGTACATCAGATTATAATTATTCCTTTAATTTGGAAGGAAAGGTTTAATTCTAAAATTATCCTCCAGGATCCTTTAGTAACTAAATCATAGAGTCAAATCTGATTAAATGAGTCAAAATTAAAAAATGCTCTTATATCAGGTAAGATGATCGAATCGATAGAAATTCATTCACATTGCTCAAATTCGTCTCGACAAGAAGACCTCGAAGAGTTCATCTTTTAGCAAAATTGTTTGAACGAGTTTTCATAAATCGCTAAATCCACTAGCGAATCCTGAAGTCGATAATGGGAGGGGTTTTTACAAAATTACATATTTGATTTAATAGTAAAAATATTTTCGTATATCAGATTATAATTATTTAATTTGGAAGGGAAGATTTAATCCTAAAATTATCCTCCAAGATCTTTTAATAACTAGTCATAAAGCCAAATCTTTATTAAATGAGTCAAAATTAATTAAAAAATGCCGGTATATATTATAATTATTTCTTTTAATTTGGAACGGCAGGTTTAATCCTAAAACTACCCCCAGGATCTACCAGTGATTGAATTTATGGACCCAAATCTGATTAAATGAGTTAAAAAAATATCCTTATATTATAATTATTTCTTTTAATATGAAAGGAAAGGTTTAATCCTAAAACTAAAACCGTCAGAATCCGCCAATGGCTAAATTCATAGACCCCAATCTGCTTAGATGAGTCAAAATTAATTAAAAATTCCCCAAAATTAAAGTTGAAAAATAATAGAAAATTGTGTAGTTACATGAAATTTTGAATTGATCGGAGATATGAGCTTCAAACTCCCTGAGGGATATTGCGCGATTGAAACTGCGGTTGTCCGAAACAAACACTGTGTAAACTAACGACAATTATCGCGCGTGTCGCGTCAACAGGAGGGATTGTTGGACATCGACGTGGAGTTCTCGGACGGCACCCGGACGCCCCTGAGGGAGATCGCCGTGAGCGATTACCATTTGCTAGTCGAGAGCACGGATCCGGAAGTCGTAGCGTTCGCACCGATGGTAGCGTCGCATCATCCCCGGGTCATCGCCGTCGGCGAAGGTCGCGGCGACCTGCTACGCGTCAACCTTCAGCTGGCCGACTCTTGCAGGTTGTCCGGCAGACGTGCGAGCAAGAGTTCTCAGAGAACGCCGGCCGCCTCGTCGTTGGCCAGCGCCTCGGCCAACGTCGAGGTGGATTTCGCCTCGAGCGAGGTGCCCAATCGGCCGGAATTCGTGCAGAACGACGGTGGCGGCACCGTCGGCTCCATCATCACCGGGAACGTAAAACCAACCGCGGCGAAATGGCACCCGATCTACATGACATTCTCATCGGTAAATAGATCCTGTTCCCTTTTGCCGCGCTTTCTCTCTCGCTTTCTCTCTTTCTCTAGCTTTCTTCTTTTTTTTTTCGCTTCCTTTTTTCCGTTTTCCGCTTCTCACAAGCCGCCATGTCGGTATATTATGCATTTTTGCCTGGCGAGAACTTCTTCGCGACCTTGCTTTGGCTTTAAAAAAAGTTTCGCCCGTCTATTTATGCGTAATTTCCTCCTCACGGTTTCCATCTAATTCCTCCCCCGATAGTTTGCCGCCCTTTTTGTACGTTGAATGTCAAATATAGGCGGCCGCCTCGAAGAACAGTTTGTAACGGATCGTTGGAATAGTTCAGACCAGCTAACTTAAACATCTGGTACTAATATGTGACTTACGAACAATGTTGATCGAGGAAAAGTTAACTTTAAAAATTACTCAATCTCAAAACACATTTATACAAACATTATGATTCTTCTTGTTAAATTGCCATTTTTAATTGTGACGTTAGAAGCGAGAAAATGCACGTTGAAAATTTTTGTGTGCCATTTTTAAGTAAAGAGATATTTTGATTAAACTTTAGATGGCTTTAGTACATTTTTAAAATGTTCCGAACTAATCTTTTCTCTTTTTAATTAATCAACAGCTGCAAACTGACTGACGTGAAACCTAATCTGTATGTAGCCTTGCACATGCGCGCAGTTATTCCGGATAAAGTCTGATATCACGATGTTTTTACGGATGTTGATGGACTGTGTCAAAGGAAAAGAATAGTTTTCGAGATATTTCAAAAGTGTGCTAAAGCCATCTGGAATAGTAAAAATGGTATCGTTTCGTTTAAAATGGTATCTATAAGATTTTTCAGCGTGTATATTCTCGTCTGACGTCACAATCTAACATGGCTGCGGTGAGGACCATCTAAAACCTCAACGTAAATGGTACACTACGCATTCAATAGTACTAAATTGTCTAAAAAATAAATGCACGTTTTCGCGGTAGCCCTTCCTCGATCCTCGCATGTCTCCGCCAGCATGTCTAGCCGCCTATCTAGCTTAAAGGGATTCAAGGGATGAAGATAGCTCTCTTTCTTTCTCTCTCTCTCTCTCTCTTTCTAAACTCAGCACAAACTCAGCACCCTGTCGTCTCACTCTGTCCTCTCTCTCTTTCTCTCTCTTTGTTTTTTTTCTGTGCAAAGGGTTACCGCTGAAAGACGAGAAAGACGGGCACAAGCACGAGCCTCTGGTGCAGGCGCGGCAGCATCGCACGGCTATAGCTAATGGCATGTCTTCAGGGGGTATGGGCGGCATCGGCGTGCGTCACCACGGCGTCGGGGCGCGCATGAGTCCGCTCGAGATCGGGATGTACGTGCTGCTCGCGGCGTTCTGCTTCGCGATCGTTGTCTTTGTCGTCTCCTGCGTGGTGTACGCCAGCAAGTTCAAGCCCCAACCGCCGGACTCGCCGGGGCTGCTGACTAGCGCGGCCGTCCCGGTCCTCGCCGGAGCGGGTGCGAGGGCTCGAGCAGCCGCGAATCAGCTGGCTTCCGGCAGACGACCGCCCCGCGAATCCACCACCAACGCACACGACTGGGTATGGCTGGGTAGAGCCACCCTCGAGCGTGCCGCCTGCGGCCCGCAACAGGTATGTATCAGGAATCGCTTCCTCTTTTCCTAAATTTTACAGTTACTTCATTGTATTACTTAATTCATGGTATATAAATAATAAAAGTGGTACACGGTTAATTCAAAATTTTATTCAAGCATGACTATCAGCGGCATAGAATTACACTGACGAGAATTAAACGATATCGAACGAAATGTCGATAAACGTAACATGGAGAGTTATAATTGACAGTTCAGGGAATACACGCATTCAGGATTAACCAGTGATTAAAACTCAACGAGTCTCCGGCGGGATTTGATGTTGTAGTCTTCGTATTCCCCTCCGATATCCCAGCGGAAGCGTGTTTTAAACAAAATAAACGTTGGAAACCGAAGTTGGAGCTCTGGTTTTCATTAAAAACTCGATTTATATTACAGGTACGTGTAACGAGTAACCCGCTGGCAGGTGAAGACGAACCCGAGAACGAACTGGGAACATGTTTTGACAATCCGAATCACATCGAGTTACCATCCGCCAACAACCAACGACCTAGTGGCGGCTCCAGCGCCATCGACACCACAACCTACTCCAAGAGGGACCGAATGCGGAACAGTTTCGCAGCGAAATCCGCGATCAAACCTTCCGCGATGATAGCACCCAATGCGACGACGACGACGACGACGACGGCGACGACAACGGCGTCGATGGTAGCTCCGTCAATGGCCACCACGCGGAATGAGTAATTATGATTCATCGTTATTCTGTTTTTTACGATGGAGGATTCTCTCACACAGTTTTCAAAGATTGTCGCACGGAGATCATTTTCTCTTAGAATTTACTTTGAAAATCATGGTAATCGTGGGACAATGATATTGGGAGAATTTTATAGGAGTTTTCCTTAAAATTATTTACCATAATAAAAGACATTAATATGTAGATAGAGTAAAATTAATCGAACATATTTTATATCTTATTGCGGTAGATATTAATCAGAAAAGCTCTTATAAATTCTCTCAATACCATATATTGTCCCACGATTACAATGATTTTCAGGGTAAATTCTCTAAGAGAAAATTTTCTCTGCTTAAATCTTTTCCAAGGCAAAGAAAAAGAAAGATATTCCGCGAAGAAAAAAATGATAAAATTTTTTAAATGAAATAATGATGTGATTATACATAGTATAGGATTTAATTGTCATTCTGAATTTCTTTTCAGCAACGACGATATTCCTCCACCCTTGCCACCGCACGGAGTGCCGTCAATTGCGACGACGACAACGACGACGATCGGCACGAACAACGTGACCAACGGGAACAACGAGGACTACAAACCACCGGTACCGCCACATAGGAACACGGGGGTTAACGTGCGGCTGCCGGAACCACCACGAAAACATCGCCACAGGACGTCCAGCGGAGGCAGCAGCGGTGGTGGCGGCGGCCATCACGGGAATAACCATCGACATAGCGGTAAACCGCCGCAGCAGTCAGCTGGCCATCATATGGTGAAACCGCATGCGAAGGCCAGAGCGGTGGAAAACGCGAACAAGCAGCAGCAGCAGAACGGCGAGGACGAGGAATTTGTGGAACTGGCGAGTCACGACGACGGCAACAGACATCCGGCGAAGGACGCCGGGAGGTCCCGGGAGATCAAAAGGGCGACCATAGTGGGTAATCCGATGTACTCGTCCTTCTCCACGTCCGCTGTCGTCTCCACCGTGACCTCGACTACACCTATCGGCGGCACAGCCTCGTCTACCACCACGTCCCCACCGTCCTCGTCGCCGTCCGCTTCCTCATCCTCGTCCTCGTCGTCCTCCAGCTCCTCCTGCGCCTCGTCGTCCTTCCAGGAGCAGGAGGAATCAGTGCCGCTCGACGATCTTAATCTAGGTATGGACTACAACCAGATCATGCAATACTTTGACAATCTGAAAGAGTCGAATGCCTAGGTAGGGTTGTTCGACCTCTCTGAAGGTCGAGCAGTAGTCAACGTCGATACGGAGCACCGGGATCCCCCTCGTCAGTAGATGCGGCGAACGAACTCTGTACTTTTTCTCTTTTTTTTCCCTCAAAGTTCGTCTCTTGAAAAGTCTCTCTGGAGAAGATTTTCTCCGTCGCGACGACTCGCTCTCGCGGAAATGAAATTCCGCTACGTAGACGAGGACGATGATTCCCGGATATTTCGTATTTTAGACTATAATCTAGTCAGCTTTCTAGCAGCACATCAAGAGTAACGCGCAAACATGCATACACACATACGTACACGCTCATATTAATGAAATTAAGAGAGAGATTACTCCCTTCATACACGATTCATACGGTCTCTCGACAATTTATTACGATCACTCACAGTTTTCGAGGACGCGCGAAATGGGTGAAAAGTTCCTGAAGTACGACATAATTTGCGCCGCAATATATTCGCGTCAATACGTAAATAATAATACGTAAACATGTAATGCACGCTAAAAAAAAAGAGAGAAAAAAATTGTGCATTACATCAATATTTTATATTATAGCCCCACGCGAGGAGATGCATATATTCACTATATTTTTTTACCATTTTTACAAAATATATACATATACGTACATCGTTATCCCGAATGACATTCAATAATGAGTATCTTTCTCGTTTTCGCGTTTGCTATTTGCAAAATTTTCTCATTAACATGACTCTCTAAAAATATTCTATTCGTATCGACGGTATTTGATAGATTTGACCCTACCTACTTTGTTTACATTAAATTTTCATACGCGAGGATATTTTTCGGCGTCGCGAAAACTTGTGACGTAATAAATAATCAGAGTTACTGTTCGTATGTATACACGCAAGAGGCTTTAAAAAAGATACTGACTGTCGGTGGCCAAGTGGGGTAGGTAGATCGCTCGCTCGATGAAGACGACGACGACGACGACGACGATGACGAAGAAGAAGAAGCAGAAGAAGAAGCAAGAAAAAACGTCACGCGACGTTTTGTTCCTCGCTGCGAGCTTTCCTTCGTTTCATGCAGGATTTCACGTATCCTCCTTACCCCTGCCATCCTGATCTCTCAAAAGCTCTTCCCTTGCGCTATCCTCCTCTCTCCCTCTTTTCCTCTCGCTCTGTTAGGGTTGCAAGGGACCAGCATCATTTGCGAGATGCTTTGTATTTTGATCGCACAATTCCTTTCGTCTAAGACGGCAAGAAAGAAAAAAAAAGTGCGCTAATAAAAGACATTATCAGGGACTCTCGAATCTTTTCATTACAGATATCAAAATATCACGTTTCATGTACAAAAGGAAGACGAGTTTTTGTATCGTTGATACGTGCGGCCCCTTTCGCCTGGATATTTGATCTGCATCCGAAAGTAAGCTCGCGCTTAACAGGCGCGCGAACGGGTGAATTTTTCAGTTCGCCAAAGGCTGTCAGACTGTCAATCAGTCTTTGTCAGGGTGTATTACGAGACGCGCGATCAAAATACGGCGAAGCAACGGAAGTGCAAAACTTGCAACCCGATCCCCCGAACCTGGTCGTGTCGGAGGACGCGATTTATTTATTCGATCGCGACCACGTTTGTAAATTTTGCTTCGTAAGACTGTGTACATACGTATATATATTATATACATAAATATAAATAATACTGCGATAAATGAAGCGCGCATGTTAATTACGGACTTACAGATTTAAAGTTACATTTATATAGCTAATAGAGAATCTCAGCGCGAAGCGAGAGAGGAAATATCGAAATAATTTCGTCGTCACAAAGGATTATACCTTATATATATATATATACACGAACGCTTCTCTCGCTTTTGAATTATTCCTCGGGACTTTTACCTTTTTTTAAGAGTCTCGTATCGCAAATCTCAGCACTTTTGCGCATCGCACACGCACTTCATCACGCGTGTGTTAGACATCGTTATAGCGAGATCAGTATACCGCGAAAACGTCTTATAGATGTCTAGATAGATACCGAAATATAAACACGTATGCGTATTTAGGTACAGTATTGGGATACGGTGTGTAAAAAAAAAAAAAATCTTGAACATTCTTGCTTCGGACATTTGTATCTAGGTACTCTATATACATATATCTGCTACAAGAGAGAGAGAGAGAAAGACGATATCGTCAAATGTACCATGTATATTGCCATATCACGAGTGTATATAATTGTATATTTATCGTAAAAAAAAAAATATATATATATATGTATTATCGGAAATATTGAAAAATATATATCGGCCGAGATATTCTGAACGTTAACGAGAAGATAGCCTACTCTCCTTTTTGTAACACGAATCTATTCGGTTTAGATTTTTTTTTATTAGCCTAGCTTGAATATATTCATAAATGTCCAGAATGTGTTTCGTGAATTTTTTAATGACTACATTTCGTACTTGGATGCTATTTCGAGAAATATAATATATGTATCATTATATAGAGAGGAACGCACATTTCTATCATTGTATTCGTGCGTTTTGTACCTAGATACAAAGAATGCGTTGAAAGTATGTATAAACTAAGTGAACATTAATTATTGTCTATAAATGACTTATTGAGTATAAAGAACAAACATACATAAACGTATTGTGTATATGTGTATGTATGAGTGTCGAGCAAATGAAAAATAATGGAGAAAATATTAACTGATATTTTTTGAAGTAATCACACGTAGAATTGATTGATCAAATTTGCAGACTTTTCTCTCCTTAATTAATCTACAACTTATTGTTAGTAATCGATAACGGAATTATATTCATCTTTATATAAATATTCTCAACGAAAGTAAAAGCATTTGTTTTAAAGTGTGTGAAAGCGTAAGGACGAAAACATATCCTATAAATTCTATATAAAAATCGTATTCTCTAATCATAATTTTATACTTTTCTCGTTCATTTTGCTGGTATAAATTTTTCTAAACAAAGATTGCCATTGAATATATATATAATAAAGAATGCTTCACAGCTAAATAATCTGAGCAAAGTAGTGTTCGCTTAATCTGTACGTGCTTTTAACCGTACTTATTATCAGCGAAGAGAAAAAAGAGAGCGAAAAGATATATCGTTCTTCCCCTCCGATCGATTAGAATATACATATAGAGTTACGTGCTCGTACAGTGTCATCCCCGTTGTTTTCCATAAAAATAAAAACCGAGCACCGTGAAGCGATTGAGAGTGAAACGAGGCAACTGACTATAGACGTTGAAGAAGTGAGCGACTCCTCTACTCCAAGGAAAAAGGCCGGAAAAAAAAGAATATAGATAAGACACTTATGTACGTATCTAAAGACTACGTGTCTAAGTATGTATATGTAACTTACTCCGTAAGTTGTGTGTCGGCACACAATATGTGCGTGGGACAATAGTGATCCAATCCTAATCGGCGGTGGACGAGAAAAAAAAACGGACGTGGTGTCTCGTTGTCTCGAGAAGATGAAGAATAACGATGTGTTTAGACGATTCTGCAAACATTGAAGAAGAATCGGAGTATATCTGCCCACCTTCATCTCCCCTTTTCTCCTCCCGCCGAGAATCTAGTCTCTTATATAGCGCGTAATATAAAATATAAAATATTAATCGACGTGAAAAAAAAGTGCGATGTACGTTGCCTTTCGCCTGATGATAATACGTATCTTTCGAATGCTCCCGCGATCACGATGCGTCAAGCTTGATGTATGTACATACACACACGATCGACCCTTAACTACTGTGGTGTAAAACGAATCGTGTATTCGGACGTTTCTATAATTGTGCAAAAGAAACAGATAAGATGATGTGAAGATGAGACGATCTTTCGTCTCGTACAGGAGCAACGAATGAAAAACGTGCTTTTAATATAGTGAAATTCATGAAATGATTTTAAAAAATGATAAGAATGTTATAATCTAGTCTCGTATATCACATTGTAAGATTCCACCATATTAGTTAAGGGTTGAATAGTTTCCGAACCGATTGTAAAAAAAAAACACTTGTCCTATCTATAGTCGCAAGTTTCCTTGAATTTAATCTGTAAAAGGAGAGCGCCTTTTATATGAAAATGTAACCGCAAAACTAAATTCCAGAAAGCGGTCTTCTTTACTTTACTCGATGTGAGAATATAAAACAAGGACATTGTTTTCTGCAATCGGTTCTCGATGCCTTGAGAAAGCGACTCTTGATAGTATACTCTCTTCGACGAGGGCAAAATTACGGGAGAGAGTTACTTTCAGCAGTGACTCGCACTTGAGAGTTTTGCTTCTTGAGAGATATTATCCGTAATGTAGCTCTCGAGTGTAACGCTATAAAGTTTGTACTCGTATCTCATATTCGACACTTTGCCGTCTGATTCTCGTAGACGCAGACACACAATCAGGATCCTTTTGTATTGCGATATTAAAATGATGCGCATCGATGCTATATAATTACGATGTTATATAATTTTGCAATCGCTCCCATCATCGCAAAACCGATTAACGTTCACAATTATCCTGCGACCTTCTGATGCGAGATTAACAAGCCGGAGTCCAAGTGCCAAGTGTGCGGTGCGGGTATATATCATACTTAGTCTTCCGGCGTGTCGGAAGCTAATGTAACGCTTTGTATATTCCTTTCCATTGTTCTCCTTCTCGTCGAGATGAACGCAGAGAAGCGAGAGAACTTATCGGTGAACTCAATTACGGTGAGAACTTAAGATAATCGCGATCATATCCGAATGTCAAGCGAAAAAAATAGACGCGCGCTAATCGTTCGTAACTATTATCTAGCGAGTTTGATATAAGGCCACCCCATCGGTGATTATCATGATGCCATAGCGTTTACTTATATAGTCTTACTGAGAGTGATCGGAGTCAGTGGCTTGTATGTTATAGTATTATATCATCGCGTGACACACAAAATGCATAAACACGTGTACACACAGGTATGGATGATTAGAGATGTGTACATTTTGCACATCTGTGTGGTTTCCACATCGTCATTCGAGATGAAAAAAAAACTCGCGCTTTTGTAGTTATCGACACGCTTATATACGCAATTTATATTTGTAATATAAATTGTCTTTGCAAAATGTAAACCAGTGATTTTTGAATAAGATTTTTACTGCCGATCTCTAAAATTATTGCAACAATTCTTCATCATTTTTAAAAATTTTTTCTTTGCTAAAGAGTTTCTATATCAATTATAAAGCACAAGAGCATAATAAAAAAATCGCACGACTTTAGAATAATATTCATAATCTTCTTCATAAATATTTTTCACAATTCATTCTTTTATTTTACACGAAAATTCTTATTCCCTCTTTTTCTTGTCGATTAGAAGTGCAATAGATTAATCGCGCGCGCGAAAAAAAAATGCATCACTGACTCTGCATCCGCGCACACACATTCCTCAGACACCCCATTTATATTATAAGTGTGATAAATGCGGAACTGATGAGAGAGAAAAACGAAACGATGAAAGAGCGATAATTAGTAGTTACTAACTGTAAACGCTTCGACGATGACGATGGTGATGATTTGAACGACCAATATCCGACGATAGTGTATGCAAAATGTTCTCTTTGTCTTGGACGCGATTTTGAGAGAGATGAATTGATTACACTAGTGTATACAGAAGTCGACAGACTTCGCCAATTTACGAGATGAGAGACGAGAAGCAGAGCAGAGGCAAGATTTTGTTTACACAACTTTGAGCACACAATGAAAATCTTAACGAAAGAGCTCGTCTCCAAAGCGGCCTATTTAATCTTCAAAATGACGAAAAAAATCTTTTCATGCTTTTGTAACATTCGAGCTTCGCTTTTGAAATTTATCAGACTTGAGACGATTTGGAGAGAAGCTCTTTATAATTGCGAATGTCAGAAAATTATATACTTTAAGCTGAACGAATTAAATGTTCACTTGAGAGAAGATTCATTCATGTAGAATCTTTGTACTCTAGTAAAAATAAAACAGATTTCGCCTCTAGCTTTTCGTCACCGTTTGTTGCGTCTAAGGGATCGTCATTTTTCTTCATCAGTTGAAAAATTTAAGAGACATTTTGCTCGTTTGTACGATAAGCATTGTATAATATCGGATGCTTAAAAATGCAAATTTTCAACATCTTAAACATGAATAAACTTGTGATAATTCTCTTTCCAAGAGAAATTATTTTATCTCAAAAAATGTGACAATTTACATTACAATCACTTTTCTAAAACATCAACAAAGTTTCAAAAAGTCACGTAAAAAGTATGTTTTTGTGTGTAAGAAATAATTTATTATTATGTTTTATATATTTTAAAAAATATTATTTAATTTCTTTTCTTTTCTTTCTTAAAATCAGGTAAAGTAACATTGATTAAACAAAAAATGAAGAAAGCATAGATATTAAAGAAAAATAGATTATTAAAATTAATTTGTTTTTCACAGAATTTAATATATTATTATTTTAAATAAGAGGATGTTTTCGGTGTTATATCATTTATCGCAAGTTTATTCATGAATAAAGCAAAATAATATAACGCAAAAGTCTCTGAAACATCCCCGTTCGGATATTATATAATATATAGGACGATCTTCTATTCTCTCATTAATAAAATTATTATTATACTATCATGACTTCTATAATTATACTCTATTACTATTGTTACCTGTATTACTATGATTATTGTCATCGTTGCTGTTGCTGTTATTGTTAACTGTGATTGTTGCTCCTGTTGCTACTGCTGTTGCCATCGCCGCGTGTCGATCGCGCGTGTCCTGAAAAAAAAAAAAGAAAAAAAGTATGAAAAGACGTTGTTCAAGTCATCGTCGTCATCGTCGACATCAATGTCGGCGTCGCCGATACGCTAATTATAACAATAAGATACGACTATCGCCTACTCAATGTACAATATGTAGTATTTACCTGTTGTTACCATCAAAATCGTCATCAAAGATATATAAAAATATTGTAATTGTAACATATCGAGCTTCTCGTATCACTAAGCCCTCTTTCCTTAAACTGGCCGTATTCTCTCTGCTCATTCATAATTCATATCGGTTATATGAAAACGAATTCACATATTTCGGCGGTCTACTTTTATCTTCGAGATTTGTGTTTCCTTTCATGCTACAATTTATATAAAAAAGAGAAAAAACGGATATTAATATATAAACTGACGTATAATACCAATCCACGTAAAATAAATCTAAGATATGTAATTATACATAATTACAGCATTAAAGATAGAACTTTTGTTTAACCTTTGTAATTAATTTTTTTGTAATTATGATATAAAAAGCGATATATAGTATATAAAAAAATAAATTATTATTCAATGTGTGTATATTATGTTATTCATTCGGTTCAAAAAATACGCGACTTTTAGAACATCCTATATATTATAAGACAATTTTTTTTTATATTTAACACATTCATTAAAATTAAAATTTTTCTTTAATTTTACTCATTCCAAACAAATATCAATTGTGTATGAGAAATAATTTTTTTTATTCTAACAAAAATATGTGGAATTACAAAATATATTACATGCAATAATAATCTATGAAATTATTATGAGAATTATATTTTTTAAAATATTAGATATATAAAAATTGTTCAGTTACTCTATTTGATAATATATATAATATTAAAAATTCAGAAAATAGAAAATTTACATACAGAATATATACATATGAAACGTGGACGAAACAAATAATATATAAAATTACCCAGATAGCCACAGTAATTATTATGACATTATATTTTGATGTCAAAATGATGTCATAATAATTACTGTGGATATCTGGATAATATAAATACAATATATAGAACAACTATATATATATACAAAAATAGGAAAATACATTTTAAAATTAATACAAGCATCTCAAAATAATATAAAAATTACTCGATTAATAAATGATAAAATATGATTAAAAAAATATTTAATTACCTAATATATATATATATATATATATATATATATTGGGTAATTAAATATTTTATACTATACAATATATATATATATATATATGGATTCTTACTTGTTGAATGTCGAATTTTATATATTTGAATGTGTTTAAATATGCTGATGCCATTAATACTTGTTATGTTTGTCAAATCCGTTGGTAGAAATACGAAAATTTGATAATATTATAGAAAAAAATCTTTATATATTTATACTAACACAATTCGTGCCGTTATAGATCGGACATTTTGAACGAGTAGAGCGACTCCTCTGTTTATCCGCGTCTCGATACTCTCGAATAATCGATCAATTCTTACTAGAAAATTCCCTGAAGGATGAAATCACTAGCACTTCACACTAGAATATTTTTAGCTAATCTAGTAAAATATATATTCGATGGAATACTTGGCCTGTTTCTAATCTATGTGAGAAATTTGACAACGAAATGTATTTACTTATTTCTTTTTGATTAGAATCATTCTATATTGCATAATTATAATTATAAACAAAAAGTTGTACCTTCTTAACTTTAAAAATGATGCAAGCATCCAGAAATGTGGTGCGACTTTTGCTGTCCAGTAAGTGTTTAATGTATATTTTTGAAAAAGAAAAAATTACATTTATATTTAATAATTTTTATCTAAATTTGATTTCCATTACTTCTAACATTATGCTATTTTTTTATAGGCTGGCAATCTACATTAATAACACCAACAACTGGTTTAAAAACCTTTCCTCCGCCTGTAAAATTTGGTGGTAAATATATATGTGCATATCTTACTTGTCATTTATATATGGTAGGATGTAATTTTTTAATTCGAAATTATGATTACTAGAGATTGAATATCCTGAACGACGAAAGCTCAAGATAATGGAGAAGGTCCCACAATATCCGCCAGGAATACGTATTTTTAAAATGCAAAAGCGATTGAGGTACATGCGTGGTCCAGAGAAGGTTCACAATTTCCTTTTATACAAGCAATACGGTATCATTGTAAGTCTGCAACATGTAAACGACAAAAAGATTATTGCTACAGAGACATTTAATTGCTCTCTTAACTAAATTACACAGGCAACAGGGGGAGGTAGATTAAAACACAATCACTTTGAGATGATACGTTTGACAATTGGCAGAAATATCAATCAAGAAACGATGTTTGCAATTTGGCGTGTAGATCCACCCTGGCAACCAGTTACAAAAAAGGTTGAACAATTAAATAATAGTAATAATATATGATATTTTAAATCGGCCAATAGAGCCCATGCATGAAAAATTAATTCTTCGGAACTGTATCTCTTGGTTTGAGATTACTAAGTTCCATATATAAATTAATCTCGAACTTACATATGGAGAAAACATTTTTTGCGCTTGGGCTCTATTGGCCGATTTAAAATATCATATTATTATTATTAATATTGAGAGCCGACAAAAATATTTCTTATCTAATTAAATAATAGATTATATCAAGTGTTTAATTTTTAACCTAACAGTTATGGTTCTTGTAATCTAGGGACAAGGGATGCGATTGGGTGGTGGTAAAGGTTCCATAGATCACTATGCCACACCAATTAAAGCTGGACGTGTCATCCTAGAAATCGGTGGTCATTGCGAATACTTTGAGGTATTTTGATAATATATTACCTCTTTCAATATTTTTTCAAAATAATTTACATTTTATAGTAATATATATCTTTGAGACTTTGTATCACATATTGTTGAATACATTTTGACAGCAGTTAATAGAATATGAATGAACAAGAATATTAATACATGAAATTCTTTTTTAGGTAAAGAAGGTATTAACGGAAATAGCCAGCAAACTGCCATTCAAAGCTATAGCTGTCAGTCAAGAAATTTTGGATGCAAATGCTGCCAGAGAGAAGTGGAGGGAAGAAAATAATCAGCATCTTTGGACCTGGAAATACATGGTTCAAAATAACATGCTCGGTTGCCATAAATGGATATCGCCATTTGATAAAAAATGGTTTAACAAATATTTGTAAATAACAAAATTGTAAGAAATCACGTTTTTATGTTTTCTCTTTATATAGAACATCTTATAATTTATCTCAGTAAAAACTGGGTAATAAAATAATAATGAAAAATGAACGAATAGTGAAATATGAGTAATAATTATTTCAATTATTCATCAATGATCAATTTTTATAATTAAATTCGAATTAATTATTCAACATCTTATGTATAAAATTATAATTGTGACTAATCAGAATTAAAAAGTGGAGATTTTGTTTTGATTGGTAAAGTCATGCAATTTCAATCTGTTCAATGCATAAGTTTCTTGCATGAGTTACTCTCTTGAATTATTTCTTACCTCTATGGTAACTTTTTGAGGTTAAGATCAACACAGACGTGGCGGGATCGTATCAACATCAAATTATTTATTATACAACGTATTTAAATCCTATAAAATTTATATGGTAAGTTCAACATTATCAATCTATCAACATTAAATTATTTAATTATACGACGTACTTAGATCTCGATAAAATTAAAATGGCAAGATTTAATATGGTAATTTCAACATTATCTTATCATATTAACATTAAAAAAATTATTTTACTTTATACAACTCGTATTTAAATTTATGTGACAATTTTCACATTTTACATACGTATATATATTTTACTATATACGTGTACCGTAATGCAGCAAGTTATTTATCTATCCTACCTATGAATTGTTAAAATTTCGTATATTATTTCTTAAAAAGTATTTCATCTCATTTTAATGATAATATAATATTAAAGAATATTTATATATTATATTTGTAAATATGTATGTTACAGATGACAAAACTGTTGGAATGGTTATTGTGCGGAACTGTAGGTTTTTCCATCTGGTTTGCTACACTTAGAAGCAACTCTCCTATTGTTGAGGAATGGCATAAAACTATACTTTTTCTTCCAATTGTTTGTTTGTTTCTCTTTGGTTTGTACGCAGCAACTGTCGTTTTGTACAGAGTATTTACTTTCAACACCTGTAACAGTGCAGCTACCGAACTTCAGCAAGTAGGTTCTTGTCCTATACCTAAAAAAATATTAGTAATATATATTTAATTAGTAATATTTAATATTAATATCTTTGTTTGTATCATTTTCTTTTTCAGGAAATAGAGGAAGCTAGAAAAGATCTTCAGAACAGAGGTATAATATTCAAGATGTCAAGACCGGGTTAAAAAATCCATGTAAATAACACATAAAAAATAATTAAAAATTATTTTCTATGTATACACATCTATGAGTGTATTATATCTTTTGGTCCATTTTATACAAATATATATACATGTAGGTGATAACTTTTATGTTGACTACAGCAATGTAGCATTTTTTTCAAGTCACTTCTTTATTTTTACTTGTTGAATAATCAGCATAATATAAATGAAATGATAGTTATCTTATAGGTATATATATATATATATATATAAATAAGACCAAAAAAGATGTCTTTCTTAAAAATTATTTTAAGCAATAATACAACATACTCAGTTATATTAAATAAAATTGTTATTTATTCATTTATGCTATGTATTACAAGTATGTTGAGCACACAACAAAGTGTGTTCTTTTTTTAACAGCAGAATTTTCTATCAATAACTTTTATATATTTAAAAAAAATGAGGAATAAAATTTGATTCAGCATAAGTGAATGGGAAATTTTATGCATTGTTATTAAAACTCGTCAACAAATAGTTCCTTGCTTTACTATTATATTTTTTTTTTTTTTTTTACTAAATATAAGAGCAATGGAATTTTTTTTAAATATTTATTATTGTTTTTAATGATATTAATAAGTAACTTGTATGGTACAAATTCAAGGATTCAAAATTTCCTGCTCATGTAACATGCATAAGTACGTACATACGTATGTATGTAATGTTATGACGATGTGCATAAATCTAATTTCTAATTAGTTTATTATGCAAAGAAAACCGCTCAGTATCACTTAATATTTCATGCTGCGAAAAAAAGTATTATGTTATATTTCCAATATAGTATATAATCTAATTTACCACATTTTAGCGCGCTTTTTAATAGAATTCCAACATAACAATTAATATTTAATGTTTATAATTTCGAAAATCTCATAGAGATACATTATCTTTTACAGTCGTTTTTATTTAATTTATTAAGTCCAATCAATTTGTGTGTGGTAAGCAAATAAAGGAACCTTTCTATTAGCAAGAATTTAATGTGGTGTTTATATGTCTAATCATAATTTTTGAGATGTAAAAATTAATTAAAAACAAAATTATATAGCAGCCTATTTTTTTTATAACAAACTCTTAATTTACCAGCTTGTGACACATGCTAGAAAGCTTTTAAAGCAATTTTTCAATATTATCATTTAAAAGTAGATCTCTGTACATACATACATAAATACGAATATACGCAAGTACACTTACATAAATGGATGCACTCTATAATTTTTATATCAGAAAGCCAAATAAAGTGTACAAAGTGTACTTATAACTATTTAGATAGATGTTTAGACATGTATAAAACATATCTGTAACCGTGAGAGTGAATATATTTCTTCAATTTATATATTCGCTACCCTCAATATACATATAATACACACACACATATACATAGTATATATACAATATATATAATATATTGAAATATATATGTATATATGTGTATACATATAACTTACAGCAAGAGGTATTCTTCAGAATATTTCATAAAACAGTAGGCTTTCTCATATAAAAACAGAATTACATTGCTCCATATATATTTTAAGAATGTAAGATTGGTAGAGCATTCGTAGGCTGTGTAAAGATGGATTTTATAACACAGTTTGCTGTTAAGCAACAATTCTTTCTCTCATAAAAACATGTGTTATATGTTAAATGAATTGCTTTTTAAAAGTATGAAACAAGAGAGAGTTGGTATATGTAATGTTACGGTATGCGCGCTTATTTTAGATTCAGTCGCTTACCAAACACACCAAGGGTTTTATCTACACAACGAATAAAATAGCATAGATATTTGCGTGTATATCTATATACAAAGTAAAGATGATTATTGTAAGACCAAAATGAGATAATGTTATTCATTCATCCTCTGTGTCAGTCCTTTTTATTTTATTTTCTTTTTTTTTATTCGAAATGTCACGCGAAATTAAATGTGAGTGATTCAGTCGTCGAGATTTTGTGAGAGTAGGAAATTAGCAGCGAGATTTTCGTTCTTTTCACAGGCGAAGTATGCTTGTACAACTAAATGTTCTGGGAAACCTAGCGCCTTCAACCTTTCGATGGCATCTCTGTCCTGTGGTGTTATCTGAATTAAACCGGATCCTACACCCGCGGCTGCACCTGTACCGGCACCTCCGCCGTTTACTGCGCCTCCTGCTGCGGCAGCTGCAGCCGCTCTAGCCGCAGACACTAGTTCTCCTCCAGGTGCTCCAGGCAAAACTCGCGCCCCCGCTCCTGTAGCAGGCTCCACTATACCAGAAAACGACAAATCGAATTAGATATACATATATATAAATTCATATATTATTATTATATATATATTAAATATAATTATATTATTCTCTTCTCAGTTATTATAATTTATAATAAAGCACATGTGACTGAACTAACCAGGTTCATTGAGCATGCGTACAAACGCTTCCTGATTTTGAGAAATGAGCTGCAACAAGGCGGGATTAGTGGAACCGATTTGCTGAAGAAGATTATTCAGCAGCTGCGGATTCTGTTGAATAACTTGACGCATTTGTTGAAATTGTGGTTGCATACGCAAGAAGGCCAATGGATCTTGACTCTGATCCTGGAGTTGATCCTGAGCTTCTGGCGGATCCTCAGGTGGATCTTCAAAGAGTTGCGCTGGTATACCTGTTAAAAGATACTCCACAGCTCTGTCAGGATTGTTAAAACTCGCGCGTAACGCTTGTACGACCTGTTCGCGTTCATACCTGATAGAAAAACGTTAAAAATATCATATGTAAGTATTAATTATTATCATTCATTCATATTCTTTTTACATCATACATACCCCATATCCATGATGTTGTTTACCATAGTATTATAATCCTCCCCCATTAGCAAGGCACTTTCTGCTTGACCAGCTGCTGGTGTAGGTACCGCGGGTTGCTCTTGCACATTACTAGCTGCTCGCAATGCATCTTGAACAGTGGGATTCGAACTAGGTTGCGTAGTTGCTGAGCTATAATTGCAAACATAAAAAAGAATATAAAACACCAATTTTATATATCAATTTGTAAAGTCTAGTTATGTCATTTTATATGTTTAATAGTCAATAATAAATACAATGAGTATGTTTAACGCATGCTAGAGGAAATGTTGAAACTACCTAGTAGATTCCTCCTTGTTCTCACTCTCTGCTGGACGCTGCTCTTCGCTTGTTTTGGGCGTAGCACCAGTTTTAGGCTTTGTTACCATAACAACTATAAATTTCTTCTCATCAATGTTATATTCTGTTAATGGTTGATCGTCTGCTAATATCTTCCCTGGAAAAATTTCACATACGTTACCGGAGGACATAGATTCAACGATGTTGCTCGACCACATTTCTACAGAAACATAACCTATCAACGTTTTTGCAACATCATTCCTATCCCCCCCGGAAAGATATATTTAAACATACGCGAGCCCTACAAGACCGAATGCACCGCAATGAAGCAACGAAGGGCCGCGATTACGCGAATTAAAATCCAAATTAAGGTTACATCGCTTACCAGCGTATATCAACTTTTGATGCTCGGCGGGGAAACCCTTTTGCGTTTCGATCTTCTCCTTCAGCTCCTTTACCTGTCGAGACGAATAATAAGAATACATATTCGGGAAGGAGAGAAAAAAAAACCAGTCGGTTTTTTCCTCTCGAATTTTTACTTACAGTTTGCGACGAGTCAATCTCTATCGTAAACGTTTGCTGCTGTAAGTTTTTCAACGTTATAATCATATTGCCGAGGTTGCTGACGGAGTCTCGCCTTGTGCCTCTACGTCTCGGTTCTCAATTCGCAAAATTAACCCCCTTTTTTTTCCGCCGATAAGAATAAAACGGGTGTTTTGGTAGAGATTTTTTTTCGGCGATGAGTCGGCACTGCCTTAAACAGCTCTCGCAAGTGTATATACGTTACACTTGCGACAGTGTGCGGAAAACATATGATGATGAAGGGGGGGCCTAAAGAGCAATGGCTGCCAACTTCCGTTTCAAACGATGTCGAATCGCGAATTAATTCGTTGCAGGATAATAAATTTCCAGGATTTTTTTTCATCGCAGCATATGTCAGTATTTTGACATTTATCACTGATAACGATGACATCTCTTTATTCTTATCTTTTTTTTTTTTTTTTTATTTTGACACGTAACATCAGTTTGTTTTGCTTGCCCTCTAGAACTTTCCTCCTTTGAAGGAGAGAGAGAAGAGAGCAGCTCGGAAGTGCAGAAAGTGCGGAACGAACGGATTCGATTACATTCATCTGTCACAGTGTACTGTCAACCTGTCAACTTCGCGTCAGCCTCGAGAGTGACTCCAGGCTTTTTCGAATTAAAAAGATGTGACGGTGTTTTTTTTTTTTTTACTGCAAAATGGAAAGAGTTCTCGAGGAACGTCTGAGGGAAGCGGTCTGCGTGGGTGACACCGACGCCGTCCAGGAGCTCGTCAATTTAGGTGTCGACGTCAACGCGCGACATTCTGTCAATGGATGGTACTTTGGATTTATTCCGACTTAATAGAAATCATATTATAAATGATATAATAATTATTGCATTAATTATATTATAAATAGTAGTAATAGTTTATATTATAAAATAATTTATAATATAATTATATATATATAATATATATATATATAATATTAATATAAATATATTTATAATATAATTAATATAATTTATAATATAATTATTATTATATAAATAATAATCGTATTATTAATATGTGGAGTTTGCGTTTGCTCAAAATGTCAGTAATCTCATGATTTTGACACATTGCAAATGTGTATAGAGATTATAAAGATATTTTTATAATTTTGTTTCTCTCTTTCTGAAGGACCGCTTTACACTGGGCATGTAAGCAAGGATACTTGGATGTCGCTGCCTTACTTCTAAAAAATGGTGCTGATAAGAATCTGCGATCCGAGTTGGGTGAAACTCCAGCATCTGTATGCAGCAACCAACAAATTTTGTATCTTCTGGGTATAAGTGGCGATAATCAACGAATTATGAACGAATCGTCATTACACACTGTTACATCTGCATATAATCAGCCAGATTTTTTGCATACTGCTGCGAATCTCTCGAAAACCAGAAATAATGTATACACGAACGAAAGCAGATTCATTGGGATGTCTCAAGATGGTATGATATAAATTGATACAACTTCCTTAATATTGACAGTCAGCTAGTATCGATCATAAAAAATTAATATAATGTTAATTATCATGTATGAATTGTACATTACTTAATGCAAAATCTAAAATAGTATAATTGTGATATTTATGGAAAGAATTTTTGTAAAAGCTATGCGACTGTCAAATAATCATTGTTAACATCTAATGTATTATATGCATGATTTGTATGGTTTTAGAATTGGTATTGAAAATTCGAGTGGCCAATACAGCGGATCCGGATTTCGTGGAGGTGGAGTTGCCACGGAACGATCTGACATATCAAGCTCTGTTGTATTTATGTTGTAAGGAACTAGATCTCAATCCACATCAGATTCAGAAGCTACGAAAGTTGCCCAACACCAGATTGAGGAAAGATAAAGACATTCAAGACTTGAAAACTTTCAAGAGATCGAGATAGTCACGGATACTACGAACGTATACAAGAGTATGCAGAATGCAAATGGTATTACCAGCAATCTGCCTGCAATCGTGCCGACTAACGGGTATCAGAGTATATCCAAAAAGGATCAGACTATTTTATACTGATCGTTCACAACGGAAAAGAACCTTCCTTTTAACTTCAAATATTTCCAAACTATAATATAATATTAGAAGAAAAGTTATTTGTTAAGCAATATAGTATGTTTTACTAATATTAGCATCTTAAGTGCAATAATCGAATGTGGATTATATAAGACATGATATATTTAATGTTAATTAAATTTAATTAAATTATAAATTTATATAGAATATACTTTAAATTTGTATATAACAAATTTAGAAATAGTGAATTTTTGTAATTGTTTTTTACTAGATTTTAAGTTATTAAAATATAACAATAATTTCTACATATTGTCTTAATTCTTAATTTCTTTGTCTTTCTTTGCGCTCTTGTTTTGCAGTTTTTTCTTTTTGTTGATGATAACTTCTCCATCAGGCTTAACAGTAACTTTAGTAGGGCGCTGACTCGTTGATAGATCTCCTTCCACATCGTGATAAGCTTTTGGTCTTTTTGCTGATACCTTAATCTCTCTTAGATTGATTGTATTTTTACTCTCTGAAATACATAAAACTGTTTAAAAGATCTAATCTATATCGCGGTAATAAAATTAAATAATCTGTTTTAATTAAAACGTACTTAATGTCATAAAGAAAGGCAGTGCCAGAGTGCTTGTGCTTTTCAATCGAAGAGCTCGTATGTTCGCCCAACCGCCAGGATAATTCTTAGACAGATTTTTGCAAGTGGCCAGTATATTTTTCAAAATTTCCTTTTTACTCATAGACGTATTCCCTATCTGTACCAAATGTGTGTCGCCATTGGAATGAAGCTGCATGCTGGTTTTTCTTAATGCGTAATCGATTTCATGCTTCAAATCTTTGCTTTCCATCCTGATAGATGTCGGCAATTTTCGTCTCTTCGTGAAATGCTTTCCCAACAAGTGCGACATATGACCGGCGATGCGACCGTCGACGAGGAAATGATCGTAACTGCCTATGAGCTTTTTCTTCAATTCAAATTGATCAAATTCGTTTTTCACCCGATTTATAGGTATTATGTCATTCACACGAGTACATCCATGCTCATCCAACAGGTTTCTGTAGTGCTCTACTGTCGGTTCGTAATCTCTTCTTCTTCCTCTTTGCAAATCACAAACAAACAGAGCAACTTCATCGCTTGATGCCACTATCGAATATGGCAATAAACTGCAAACAAAAAATGAACAAGAAATATTAGAATTTTATCAGATACAACGCATATATTACTAGAGTACAAAGTATTATCATTCTAGAGTTCTAATCAGGTTACGAATCTCATAAGGATCCATTGGTAATTATAAAATATAATCATGTGAAATATAATCGGAGGAAAAAATATTTATAATCCCAACATAAAGGGGGAATAATTATAAGTTTTACAACACTTGAATTAATTACGGATTCTTTTTATATAAGTATATAAGTTCCCATTCTAAAAGCTAACAGTTATGATTATTCAAGATTTTCCTGAATTCACTTACATTCTCATTTGCCTGCGAGGCATTTTTGGGATCTTGACGCAGGTCACTTGTATAAATATTGGCTGTGTTTCTGTAGCTAGAAGATCATTCTTATTTTTTAACTGTTCCTGAGTCAAGTGAAAAATCGCAGTGATGCACTGCGAGATATGTTTCTTCGACAACTCCTTGAGATCAAAATCCTTGGAAGATTCCTCCTCATTCTCCACCAGCGAACTAACTCGTTTCCGCTTTCGCGAGACTTGCGAATCTGTCTTTTCTTTCATTTTCTTCGTTGCCTTTATTTTGACATCTGTCATTCTAAGATTTATGTCGCAGTATTTCTCTCTTTTACAACAATTACCTTTTTTCCCTCTCGTTCACGCTTTTCCACGTGCTAGCCCTTCTCACAAATACGCCATCTTGCCGCCGAGACGCAGCCGCAAACAGGAAGTAAGTGGTACGAATGAATTTTCAAGCAGAGTCCCTAGAAATAATTATTATAATTATTGTTAATAAATTATTATTATTATTAATAAATTATTATTAATTATTATTAAAAATTATTATTAATTATTATTATAATTATTTAATTATTATTAAATATTTCTAGGAACTCTTCCGGATTTTCAAGAAATTGCAGTGCAGCGAAAAAAAGAACACATCTCGCTGTAAATTGCGCGCAAACGGACCACGTGAGAACAGACTTTGTAATATTGCTGTGTAATAGAGCTATTGCGCATGATCAGGATTTTATTCGAACTTGTGTTTTTTTCAATCTGACCGGATCATATCATAACCTTGGGATCTCGACTTAACGTTAAATCAAACAGAAATCTACCTGCGTGCGGTACATAATTTTTATTCTCCTCCATCGTGATACGTAATTTTTCCCTTTCAACATCAATCGTGCATCCTAATATATACTTTCGAGGATACAATTATATTCCCAATTAAATTCATATATAATTTTGAATTACAATCAACGAGAAATCGTGTCGAAATATTTTGAAGAAATTCATCGGTATTTCGAGTCGGCTGAAAAACAAATAATAAAGGTCAGTATTCTCGTTTCCAGGTTTATGAGGTTCGGAATTAAATTCGAGATGGTTTCAATAAAATGGATCATGATTTACGGTTCGCTGGTGCCATTCTTCGCGATGGTCACCTTGCTTTATATTCTTGGAGTCGCGAGATACGTCACCGATTTTGAAGAGAATACATGCGAGATGACATACATGTTCGAGTACCCGCAATATGTGGTAAATATCGCAAACGACCTTTTTTTATCAGAAAAGTCCGCTATAAGCGGCTAAGGAAAACACTTGCTCATCTCTCTAATCCTTATCTACTTGTTGCTACATCTAATTGTTGCCAAATCTTTTTAACTAGACTCTTATTGCTACACTTGTTCTCTTGGTGTAAATATATATGTATATTTCACCTATATTAAAAGCAAAAAAATAGATAAATATTTTGGACATGTAAGTGTAAAATTTTCTCATGTGGTTCTCAAGCAATTTGTTTTATTTCCAGAGAATATCTTTGAACAATAATATAGAGGAGAAATATCCGCGATTTGGGCTTTATGCTTATGGAGAGGGTTTTGTAACAGAAAAATTGAGAAGAATGCATTTTTCTGGAATACCAGTTCTTTTTATACCGGGTAATGCTGGATCGCATGAGCAAGGTTTGTATTAATTTCTCTAATATATTCTAAAAGATCAATTTTATAACAATTTTATAAAAAATTTTTATATACTTTATATGTATCTTTTTTTTATTTTAGTACGTTCCATTGCTTCAGTAAGTTTAAGGAAAAGCCGAAAGACTCCCTTTCACTTTGACTTTTTCACCGTTTCGTTCAGCAAGGATTATTCTGCATTATATGGAGGTAAAATTAATATAATAGCAATAATATGCACTTATATTAATATACTTTTGTACATAATATTAATTGTTTTTTAAATTTATTAATGCAAGGCGTGCTCATGGAACAGACTGTATATGTCTCGCATTGTATAAAGGCAATATTAGCATTGTATAAAGATAAAATGGATAGTGTTGTGCTGATTGGTCATTCTATGGTAAGGAATGCAAATGCGTATGCATAATGCAGCGCAGCTAAGAAATTAATCGGTATTCGTTTCATAGGGTGGCGTCATAGCAAAAGGAGCTCTTTTACTAGCTCCAAATATGAACACTTCATTTGCAAGTATGATAATAAACTTGGCTACACCGCATACTCCGGCCTTGGTTCTCGATAATGTCTTCGCCAATTATTATAAGGAATTGGAGAAACATTTGTACAAACTTAAGGATGCAGGAGTGAAGGTAATATCTATCGGAGGCGGACCGCGCGATATACTCGTTACTGCCGCGCAAACTTACGATCGTACGGCAGATATAAATGTACTTTCCACGAGTGTACCGGCTGTTTGGAAATCTACAGACCATTTGAGTATTTTATGGTGTAAACAATTGGTGTTCGTGATTGTACGTTCACTATTTGATGCTGTAGATCACTTGAAAAAGCCGTTTAAAATCGCGTCGAGTCCTGATTTGAAGATGCAGGCCTTGTCTTATCATTTCTTACAAGTATGTGTAATGATCATTTATAATAATATAATAATATCATTGGTGATAATACCATTTCTTTAATACGAAATTGCAATTTCAGCATAGTTCAGGCAAGAAGCTATATCATTACAAGGAAAGAGTTCAGTTTGAAAGCAATGGTGAATGGATCAATGTTCCATCTCAACAGTATGTTTGGAGCAATAAGAATGGACCTAAAAAATTGTCGAATGTATATCTCGTGATGGAACTATTTCATAAATCCGATTTCCTAACTATCGATGCGATAAATTTGGAAAACAAGGACTGGCTATTTATGTGTACAAAATCTAAGAAACAAAATCAAAACAAAATTTGGTAATTTGCGTGAAATTATGTTACCGCTACAAAAGAGACAATTATTTATTAGTAAAGCTTAATATGCGTCCTTTTTTAGCGAGTGGGGTTACAATTTGACAAATAACACGAGAATTTTAATCGATCCTTTATATCGGCCGAGAAGAACCGTCGATTTAGATCTGAAAGAAATAAGTTATATGGGTATCACGCATATCGTTGTAAGGATAACTCCAGAAGATTTCGACCACCAACTTACAGTCAGCTTCGATTCCTATTTTCGCAACAGTCGAGTCGAATCTACGAAGAATAAATTCTTTCATCCCAAATATCTCTTTGGCTTCTACGGATCTAACTTGATTGAAACAGTCAAGGGAAATATAAGATATTACGTGAAGCTATCTAACATTATAGACGCAGTTACAATTGAAATGAAATCTACGGATTGTGTCAAGCATTACGCTGTCGCTGAATTGATGGAACCATGGAACGCAGGATCGACCCAATCGAGATTCTTCACGAATTTGTAAGTAAATATTTATGGCTGTAAATTTAGCCCTTTGTATATACTCACTCTATATTCAATGTTATGATGCAGGGACGACGGTCCAAAAACGATAAAATGCAAACTCTTTACGGACGTCGCAACGAAACGGCAAGTTTAAAATTAACATTAGATCCAGAGTGCAGTTACGCGATTAATATTCAACCCGGCGGAATCATCGATAAGATTTCGTGTAGAATACGAGATCGTTGGCCGTTACTTTACATAGTGATTATCAGCTTACTTTTACTTCTCATCTCTATGAGGATACATAGCTCAGATATGCTGCCAACTATAATTGTTACCATAATACTGTCTTTTATTTTCAATGTTGCTTATGAAACTTGTATTGCTTTCTGCATCATCAGCATATCTGCCGTTGCTGTATGCTGCTGTGTCATATTTCTTGGTTCCGTTGCACATGGAATAGCTGTCAAGTAAGAAACTTTCTACTTATGTTGAAGTAAAAATATTTTCCTAAAATTATATAATCAGAAAATTAATGAATAATGGTAACATATATAAATAAAAGTTTCATATATATATATATATATATATTTTCTTTTGCAGATTTTTAGCACGTGCTATAACTTTTTCAACAACATGGTCAGATTGGTTTTTAAACGGTTTAAATCAGCTACCGCTTATTACAACTCTTTTCATACTGACCTTAATTCCGGCAACATGTGGAGCTCTAGCTATGATTATTTCGGTATTTCTATATTTCTTGAAATTAACAAGGATGTACGAAGATTATTTGGAAGAGATATTAATGGCCTCGCTGCAACACTTCAATTGGTTTAAACGGTTCAAGCTGAGGGAAGAAAGCGAAAGAAGCACCAGTCAAGAAATATACAATCATCTTATCTTATTCCTATTGTGGATTTTTGCCGCAATCCCAGCAATTCCATCGGTCTTAGTTTGGGCAAAAAATTTCAGGTATGTGTTTATTTACTTTTCGACTTAGAGCCATACGTATTGAATCTGACATGTATTAACGAGAACGAATTGACATACACAGCTACGACATGAGACTCACTTCGGAAGACCCTGTTTTCCTAACAAGCTGGATAATACTAACTGCGTGTAGTACATTGGGTGTTGTGCACATCTATCCTACTGACGAGGGAATTCGCTCGCTTATGTTAAGCAGTATATTACGTCTCTCGAGCTGGGTTATTCTTTCGATGACGGCAGCTCCGCGTCCATTCTTTTATCACTGGTGTATGCCACCTATCACAGCCGCGATAATAACACTCATCACATTAAATTCTATAATTCCTAAAACAAGTAGTCTATCTTATTAAGAGGTAAAATTTGCAAAATTTATGATTATGCAATTTTTCTCATTGTCCATTAATTTTTTGTATAAAAAGATCTGAACTGATAGCCATGACTATATATTATTTATTAAAATTTTTCTTACGTCTCGAATATTAGATTGAGTAATGTATAAAGTGATATAACAATGCTGTGGCATACGAGTATTATTTTGTACAAAAGTAGTCAAAATATGTAATGTATAATAAGACTTTAAAGCAGCTCATTTAGCGACACTTTAAAAATAATCGGATTAATCAGATGTTTATATATTATAATATAATACAAGACCCTGTTCTTGTTGTGATATGTGTACGTGATATGTGTAGGTTTAATATAAAATAAGTATACGTAAATTTATATTCTTGTTGATATATTATTATATATATTAATATAATTTATTACTTGAAAAATTTCATTATTAATTTAAAACATTTAATAACAATATTACATATACAGTATTCAGCTATGTTATTAAAATTATTATTTTGTACGTTTGCTCGTATGGCAGTAACAACGCTTCTTTACTGTATTATCGTTATTAAAATCTATTTTATTATATATATATATATATTTTATATATATATATATATATACAATATATTTATCTTTTTCGCATAGCTTATTCTACGAATGTAGTTCCAACATCTGTGTTTTCTACACTGTATACACATATCTGCTTTTTCGTGAGAGGATGTATTCCATAATTTACAACCATGCCCATTTTGTGTCGCAGAAAATCTATTGTTTTTTCTGCTAGAGTTTTATTATTTGAATGTACTTCCGGATGTTGCATGAATTCAGTCAGCTGGAAAAATAAAATAAATTTGATATTTAAAAGTTATATAACAAAATTTTGGGATACAGACGTGCGGCGCATGTTTAATATATTGCAATATAATTTAACGTAATTTATATCGAACAATTATATTATTATTTTGTTAAAATTATATATAAATTTAATATAATTATATCTGGATTTTTTTATATACACGAAGAAAAATCTTATCAATCCTCATCATACCTTCATCCATCTGCATTCTTGAATTTCTTTTTTACATTCTTGAATTTCAAAATTTTGTGGTGTTAGATATGCAATCATGTATATATCTGAGCATCCAAATAAGTAATCGTGTCCATGTCTAAAAGATACTAGACACTTGAAGTCTGTCTGAATTCCCGTTTCCTCCAAAACTTCTCTTTTAGCTGCTTCTTCAATATTCTCTCCTAACAATTATAGATATATATATATATATTTGCTTGTGTGTATGTATATATATATATAATGATAAAACTTGATTGCTTTTCTTATAAAATACCTGGTTCTACATAGCCACCCGGTAGCTTCCAGGCTTTATTGAGAGCATACTTTTCTTTAATAACAAGAAGTTCATTAGTATCCTGATTGAACACAAATGCGCCAACACCTAAGAATGTATGTGCATATTTTGGAATATTGCACTCTTCATCATTGGGCAACCAACGATATAGCATGACATATCCCTCTTTTGCATGATGAAAGATAAATCCCTGTCCTGTTAATATCGGAACCCATTCTGAATTTGGTATGTGCACGCGAAACCATACAGTACGTTTCTTATCCTTGGTCCATTGCTCTAAAGAATCTATAAGGACATATATTTATCTATTATACAGATTTCTATTTTGTTATTATATACAATTTATTTATTGTTATATATTTATTTTCTTTTATATTATTTTGAAAATAATAGAATGAGAGCTATTAATTGATAAACAGTTTTCAATTATAAATGTTTTCATTTTACTATACAATTTTTAGAGAATTAATTTAGAAGAGAAATTTTTTGTACATAATTATTCATATATTTATTTGTAAATAGAGTGATAAAGAATCCAATATATGAGGATATATTATATAGATCTCTATATATATTTTTTAATTTTGGCGTTATATAAAATTAATTTTTTTTTCATATTACTTTGAAAAATAATGGAATAAGAGCTGTCAAAATAGATAATTTTTATTTTGTTACAAAATTAATCTTTAAAGAATCAATAAAAAAAAGACAAGTCTCTATACAATTATAATTCGTATCTTTATTTATAATTATATGAATCTCTATATATTTTTAAATTTTGATACAACATAAAATTAATTTTCTTAAATTTATCATTTTGAAAAATAATGAAATGAGCTGTCAAAATGCATAATTTTCAATTGCGAAAATGGATTTCTAAATAATCCATAAAAGAGAGAAGTCTCTCCGTACAGTTATTCCTCTTTATTTATAAATAAAAATGCAGTCCACCTTTCAGGCGCTGCGCGAATATTTTACTGTCGCAGGCCTCCTCGATCGAGTCGATCGTGACACCGTTGTAATGATCGGTATGACCCTTGAAGATCTGCCTGGCCATCGCGAGGGCGTCCAATCGTCCGGGATACGAGCTGTATCGCAAATCCGGGAGGAAAAAGTAAGGACTCGAGTCCTTCGAAGACGATCGCGCTCGGAATGTTTTCGTAACGCGAAACAATATCGCGGTTGACGCTCTTTTCATCGGAATCGCGATCCCGGGGGGTCGAGACTCGACGAGTAATAATTACGAAATTATTACGGCTATCTCGCACTCGTACTTCGATAACAGCAGTATCTTGCGTAATGAGCAGCGACGTACGAACGAGCTTTTTCATTTTTCTTCATCGTTATTTACTAATATTGTCGCGTCACACTGATAAGGAAACCCTCGTCGAATTTTCTTCGGTTTCCGGTGGAAATTTGTGCGTTTTTTCTCGTTCTTTCGCTGAAAATTGCGGGATAACATTTTATTAACATCGTCCATTCGACATCGAAGATTACATTATGCTCATAAATATTTATCACGTCGTAAATGAAGCCGATGAGGTTAAGGTCTGTCAAAGGAGCTCGACATGTTGGAAAAAAAATATCCGAACGTCAATTGATACGTCACTTCGGGCAAATCCGCGTGATGTACAGAAATTTCGTCCCTCTTCGAAACGAGCCAATCGCGTCTTCGCGGCTGAAGGAAGAGCCAATCGGAACGCTGGACAAATTTTGCAAGCAGTGGTTTTTGCGGCAAAAATGTGGTAATTATAAGCCCCCTTTGTTTTTTTATTCATTGGTAAACATTCGAGTTTGGACTTGTGCAACGTATATTTGCGAAGAAATTTTCTGAGTAAAAATCGAGAGGTAATATTTATTATACGTACATTATATTGTATTTATACGCCGAAGACGTATAATGGATCGAATAATTTCATCGAGACAGGAACTGTAAAAGATTATTAGTAAAATATATATATATATATACCGGCACAATCTCTTATATATATTGTGTTGCAAGGTAATATCGATGTATAAAGAAATGAAGATATATGAAAGAAACATTTTAAAATTATAAAAATAATTAGAATTATAACAAGAGTACAAGAAAAAAATAATAAAAGAAAATGTATAATGCGAATAAACAAAATATTTTTCGCATTCATAATAGCACTCCACATATCCGAAAGATATTCAGAGGATATCTGAGGACATCCAGAGGACATTCGAACATCTTCGGGATATGTGTGCTGTTAGGGATACTCTTATTAATATTAATTATTAATTTAGAAATATATGCAAATATATTAAATTTATTTAATTATATAATAAAAACCTGTATTTTTATGTACATTAATTTTTACTATACACGCACACACACATATTGTGATCTTATTGCTAATTTTAAAATTCTTTTCCAGCATACTCGTATATTTTTGGGCAATTTTGTATGGCAGCCATTTTATAAATCGTCGCAACATCCGCATTCACTTCAATGTTCCGAATATAATCTGTTTGAAACAAATGAATCGTCTTTGCGTTCTTCATCATCTTCGTAATTTCGTCTGCATTCCGTGAATAAGGAGATACAGGATAGAATTTCTCAGGTGGATAAATTGTGAACTGCTGACATTCTTTGTTCTGCAAAAATGAGGTATTAAAATTAATTAATTATTTATTCAAATAAGTATATACATATGTAAGATGTTGAAGACGTTATCCGGTGTTTTTTTTCATATGATAACATATATATATATATATACTGGTTACACAATAAAAAAATTTTATTTATGATTTATATTGTAAAATTTAAAAATATTTACAATGTTTTGCATAAAAATTAAACTATGACATTTATGTTTAAATAATCAAATAAAAAATAATAGAATTTTTCAATTTTTTATTCATTACGATAAAGATAGTATTATTATGGAATAATTATTACTTTTTTTATTTAAAAATGTATTAAATTTATTAAAAATTATTTTAAAATAATTTCTATTTAATATATACAAATGACTATAATATAAGTGATATGTATAATATTACACACACACATATTTATATTTTTAATATTATAAATAATAGCAGTATTCACTAGAGAAGATATTAAAACTACGGTTTTCAATAATTGTGCAAAAAATATTGTTTAATCTATGAAAAATTCATTTTTAATTTGTGAAAGATATTAAAATTTTATCTTTAGAATAATAACGTTTAATATATATTTTAATAAGTTGTTTTTGTACTCACTTGTTGCTGATAACAGAGTTTGCTCAGGACTTCAGTTATAATTCTTGTAATATTATATCGCGAGTAGCTGTCCGCGGTGATATTTTTAATAACTTCTATACAAGCGTTGACAAATTTTTTGCCAAAATTTGTGCTCGTATCGATGCCGAATACACCGATCTCATTATCCCGATTATCTCGCACACCCACAAAAGTGGTCAACTCATCCAAAGATCTAGATACATTTATTTTTCAATTATTTTGCAAATTTTTAATTATATAAATTGTCAATTATTGCATCTTGTCAAATTTTATAAACGTTCCAATATATAAGTTTCCCTAAAATACATTTTTGTATATTGATGTAAGAAATTTTACGCAGAAATGTAAATTATCAAACCTGCCAAATTTACTTTAGGATCAATGAGAGATGACTCGTGCAACTTACGTCAACACTATGCTGTTTAGATTCAATGTCACGCCGCCAAACTTCCACAATGTCAACATCCGGATGTAATCGTGAAAGTTCTTATACAGCCAGTCACGATTCTCCGAAAATTTGCGGATATTTGTCGAAAACCAACTTTCTATCGGCGTATCGATAACGTATCTTGACAAATGTATTCGTCTTATGTACACATTGTCGTATGTTTGCAAGATATCGACGAACTCTTGGGACCTATCAGAAAACTGGCCTGTCGCGGAAAGGAGCACGAAGATATTCAAATTACGATTGTTCCTGGCTGCCGATTCTACGGCACAAGCTTGAAGAGAGGTAAAATTTGGCGGTGAACAACTGGTCTCGTGGAAGAATATGCATCTGCTTGGTATCAGCATTTGTTCATCTGGAAATTGACAAGTATGTACACATATACTCGAGCAAACTTCTGAACGTTATCTTTTAAATCGAAATATATATTTACGCAAAAATAATCAGTTTAATCAGAATAAAATACGACTCAAATAACAAAAATATATATAAATTTTAAAACTCATTAAAAACTCATTAAATTCATTCAAAACACATTTTCAAAATATTTTAAAAACATTAAAATAATTGGCTAAGTGCCTTTTTATTCATTAAATAAATATTTATTGTAGTAATTAAATATTTATTTAACGTTTATTATAAATATATATATATTTTATTAACAAAATATTAAAATATTAATAAAATAAATATTTAATAAACGTTAAATAAATATTTATATATTGCATTAATTGTTAAAATAAACGTTTTTCTAATGAATAAAAGTGATTATTTTTAATCAAGTATTTTAATGTTTTTGAAATATCTTTGAAAATGAGTTTTTAATGAGTTTTAAATTTTTTATACATTTTTGCTACTTGTAGAGATGTATAATTTTCGAGATTTCTCCATACATTATTCGTCATATTATAACAAATGTACAAATAATTTTATATACAAGTTATTTTATATTCTATAAAAATAAAAAAACCATGTATTTAATACATACATATATATATATATATATATATACAGTTAAAAGACTTTTGTAAGTTATTCAATTAAACTTTAGAAATATTTCGATTTAAGAATAAAAGTGTTTTTTCGGCGGTTGTTTTTTTCCCTTTTTTAATAGTGAATTTGATTGGACGCACTAGTGCGCATTGAGTGCATATAAAGGTTTATCACACACAAGTTCACAATGACAAGTAATTAAAAAAGGAAAATAATTAATAGTAAGAGCTATTACTTAATTAATTTACCTTTTTAATTATAAATCATTGTAAAATTGTGTACGATATGTGCACTTCTTGTTAGTGCGCATTAGTGCATCCAACCAATTCGCTATAAGATAAAATGCAAAAATGCCATGTTTAATAATCATATTTCACGTCGCAAAACATTCTTTCTGTGAAAATGTTTCTCAGAAAATATCACATTACACTGTATAGACATATTATAACTATATGAACAATGGAGATAATCTATTACATTGATTAGAATTGCATCAAAACAATACATATAGAAGCAGCAAAAAAACACATTAGCGTTGCAAATATATGCTCGCTCAACGTTACATAAAAATAATATCTTTTGTTAAATATAATTACACGATTCGCGTGTGAAGCTCTTTTATAAAAGTCTACGCAAAAATATGTTACGCAAATACAATTACATAAGGTGTCTAGTGCAATTTGCGAGTCTAGCGCGCATTTCTGTTCTTCTGAATATTATCGTTAACTTAAGTGGATGATTGCATATAAATTCCGCGGTAGCATATATAGATCAAGGACTTTAAGAAAGAACATATTTTCATTAGAGAAAATTATCCCGCTTACTTCTTATCTTTTTTTGCAATCGATCGTTTCGTTTTATGAAAGTTTTCACGATAACTTATTTTCGAATTGTTATATTTCCATAATTTACAATTCCACAAAAAATACAAATACAAATGTTAATGTATTTCTTGAAAAAAAAGTCAAATATACATATATTCTTTCAAGGAGAACGCATTTTGAAAAATATACGAATCGCTGTAATTTGTTATCAATAATGAACTTTATGATAAATACTTTATCGGAAGTTGTCAATATATTTTTTTAAATATTCGAAAGTTGCGCGGCATGTTTTTTTTTTTTTGTAATTTAAAATTCATTTTCCATTAGACAACAGATTTTGTCGACATAAGATTCGTTATTTTTACTTGGAAGAGAAGAGAGAAACATCTCTATCCCCTTCAATTCTTCTCACTAACCCCATTCTCCTTGGCCGAGCTCCACGATACCATTGGATCTGCTCCAGTAGCAACGAAGTTGGTTGGATGCGACGACGGCTGTCAGTTCTATTGATAGTTCCTTCCAAAATATGCAACAGACAATGGCTGTTAATCCGAGTAGGGAACATAATATAAGAAATGCGTGACGTTTCTTCATATTTTACAGATAACTTTGTTTTTCTTTCTCGTCTTTCTTTTGTCTCGCGGTCTTCCTGATTACACTGTAAATTTTCGATTTATCATATTGATAATTTTAGATTTTTCCGCGCGCACTGATTTTTCATTAAAAAATACTTTTTAATCAATCACTTAAGTAGCAAACTGACGTCATTAAATGTCAAAATGACGTCTAATGACGCCATTAACGTCAAAATGACGTATTGACATCTAATATCATTCTACGTCAAAATGATGCACGGTTGCTATCTGAATAGAACTATAACACAATCCTTATGCAATCTTCCGTGTAAGAGTCAGCGTGATACTGCGCTTTATTTGCAAGTGCAGGGAAATCCAACAAAGAGGAAGAAGAATCTTGTGCGATGAGCGCAGCCTTCGACTGCTCGATTATCACTGATTTACTCATAATATCTGGTAGATACCCTGAATGTGTCAAATATTCCACGTCGAGCGATAGGGAAGTGGAGAATCAGATAAAATTTTATTTCAATGACTTCTATATATTTTTTATTTCGGGAAATATCGAAAGAAGGAAGCATAGCAAATACTTAACTGTTTACATAAGGATAAAACAATCTCAATATTGGTATAATAATTAATATGATTTATTTTATTAATATTAGAAATTGTAGGTTTTAAGCTATGAGCTAATAATTAGTTCTTCACACGAAAAAGAAAGTACATTCGAGAAAGAATTGCGAAATCATTTTATTATATGTTTCTGTTATGAAGAATCAATTTGAGTCATGTTGTGGTGATAAGTCACGTCCACCAATTAATTTTTCAAGAGCGAGAACAATGTATAATTCCACACATGCAAGCTATACAATTGAGATTTAATTATCCGTAAAAATTTGAGGAAATATTGTAAAATGTGTGTAATTTCGAAGGAGGTACATTTATCAAAAAATAATATATAGCTGCAAAACATTCCAAGATAAAAAAGTTGAGGAAGAAAAATAAATATTTAACAAGTTTGTTCCCATTCGTTTGGACTTCAGTCTTTGTCATCGCTGTATACGTATAACTTGAAATTGTCTATCGCGTGTGTCTAATAGATCTTGTAAAAACAATATTTTATTGGTATAAACTCGAGAAAATGTGTCATTCGATTGAACGAATTAAATTTACTGCCGGCAATAATCGGATCGTTGAAAGAAATTTTCCTTTTCCTTCGAAATATTTTAGAAATAATAATTGTTATTATAAATTATTTTATTGAAAATCACATTTAAGATAAATGCAAAATTAATTTTTATCGCATCTAATTACTAAACAACTTAATGTAGTAATTAAATAAAACTTATATTTATATACATATATACGGTGAACCAATAACCAATTAATACTTTAATTATTTTGACTTTTGAAAATGATTTTATCTTAATATTTTTGTATACAGAATAGATAGAAAATCAATATAAATAATTATTATTTCGTTACTTTTAAATTTAAGGTATTTCAATTTTTATTTGATAATTTTTTCCAATCATATATAATTTCAGAAAGAGTCAAAGTATTAATTGTTGTTGCGATTCGCTATTTGAAGCATTAGAAATAAAAGATGAAGAAAATTGGTATAAAATATAACGAGTAAAAAAGTGAAAAGTATCTACACATATTTTATTAATAATCGTACAATATATTATTTTTATATTCTCATCTATATTGACAAATTTTATAATTCTGTATCACATATAATATCTTTGAAAAAAATCAAACTACGATGTAATCAATTACGATGTTAATTAATTTAAAGAAACAAATGATATACATATATAAGATTAATCCATGGACAATCTTAAGTCAAAAAAATTTTTCATCGCTTCTTCATATAACATTTACCGTTCACACATACAAATCATATTCCATTTCAATTGCACATCTCGTATATGTTGAAAACAACATATATTTTTATTTAAAAAATGTTTCAGAAACAAAGTAGCTACATTTTGCAATTAGCACGGTTTCATTTAAAACATTTTTTTTTAAGAAAATGGATTGTGTTTAAAAAATATTCGTAAAATGTGTGGAATACTCACACACACATATACATATATCATATATACTTTTATGTATATAGATATATATTCACTGATAAAATTAAATTTTCAATATAAATCCAATTAAGAAAAGCCTTAAGAGTCATACGCGGATGTTGTATTGCGTACATTTCCAACAAAACTTAATTTTTTGTTGTATATAAACAGTAGTGTACAAGGCACATATTCTCGATGTACTACCAAGACTTAAAATCTGAAATAATCTCATACTTGAGATATAATTTCATAAACCTCTCTATCTCCCCTAATGCATTTCTCGCATTTATTTATTTCTTTATTCCGTTAGAGAGATTTATGAAATTATATCTCAAGTATGAGATTATTTCAGATCTTAAGTCTTGGTAGTACACCGAGAATAATACGTGCCTTGTGCACTACTGTTTATGTTCAACGAAAAATTAAGTTTCTTTGGAAATGTACGCAACACGACATCCGCGTATGGCTCTTAAGGCCTTTCTTAATTGGATTTATATTTAATATTAAAGAGCCTTGAGTTAGTCTGATTGTTTAAATTTTTAACTTTTTTGAGAACACTACACATCTCTGTACAATATAGAAATAGAGTTAAATATCGGAGCATTACAAAACCTTATCTTATCACTTGAGATACAAAATTTATAAAATTCTTATTCAACTCAATTTTATTTCATTTATTTTCGCAAGTAGTTCTTAGCAAGATTGCTATATAAAATTTTATAGCAATTTTCCAATTGTACTATAAACACACATCCGAACACTTCAAAATAGATTTTTTTTAAATAATGCGCTTGGGATAAAAATATTGGTACGTTATTTGTCATTTGTTGTTATATAAGTTAATTTGTTATTTTACGTTAATGCGCTTGCAATTTTATTATGTGTGTGTGAAATATAGTACAATGGATTAAATCATATTTTTTCACGCTCGACTTGTTTAAATCTTCTAAGTACCGAATTTATATTTAACGTAAAATGGGAACACTTAATTTATATGCGTATAGCCAACAATTTAACACAGATTATTCACAACGAGAATTGTATACCTTCATGACATTTAAAACATTAACTGTTGGCACAAACTTGTCACTCGTAATATTCGATTTCTATATATCTTTCCATCGAAAAATGATTGTTGATTTTCTTACGCAACTATTAATATATAACAACAAAGAAGATATTAATTGTTGTTAACAATAAGATCAAACTATACGAACAACAACAGACGAACGCAAAGAAAAAACTCGTAAGAAGTGGATATGTTATAATATAGATATGTTGCATATTTTGTAAAACCAGTCTTTTTCACAAAAAAGATTGATTTTACAAAAATAAAGCCTAGAATGCTTGATAAAAATGCGCGAAACATATTTGCCGCGAATCTCTATAAAACGAAATATCGCAAAGTCAATAATATCAATACGATCGTAGCATTTATATTGAGTTTTGCTTATTATTGATCATATGCGATCCAGCGAGAAATCGATGTCGATTCGTCGTCTAATCGATGTTAAATTGATCGATTTGACCAGTCATTTCTCGCTAGGGATAAGCTAAAATGATATAATTAATCTCTACAATTGACCTGGTCGCATCAATTTTAATAAAATTATTAGTTTTCTAACATTTCATATTGCTTTTCTTATTTGTCTTATGCAAAGAGTTAAAATGATATAAATCTAATCGCATCAATTTTAGTAAAATTATTATTTTTGTAACATTTATGTTGAGTTTTTTTATTGATCATGCAAAGAGTTACGATGTATGAATTTTATAAAGTTAATTATTTGCAATAAAATATAAATCGAAGTTATGATAGTATTTAAATGCTTGCGTATTATACAGCATATTATTTTACATTCCTTAGAGAAACAATAACATTAATATTAATAATATTATTTATAGCATGAGAAAATTAATCTCAGATCAATCTTTGTGAACGAAAGAAAGAAAATGTAATTGTTTGATTAATTTTCTCAATTTCCTAGAAAAAGAGATAAATTGCTATAGTGTGCCCCGAAATTTTTGATTGTAATAATATTAATATTAATATTATCAATAATTACTTGTTTTTTATAGTTTGTACTAGTGGATCATAGTATTTGCAACTGCATTCGTCCGATGTCAGCAGGTCAAATTTATTATCATAATTAATAATAAATTCCGACGAAAACAGTTACGCATTGGCTAAATAGCCTTAATTGTTTTCTTTTAGCTGAGCAATTGTCTATTCCGCTTTAAGAATCTCAATTCATCGATTAATATACTATATTCGCATTTCGATACTAGAATAATAGATATATTTACGTATGTGTATATATATATATATATATATATATATAGCATCTTGATATGAAATAGATATTAATCTTCGAGAATTAAACGCACGCGTAAAAACGATACAACACACTTGAGACACATATTCACTGGGGAAATTCACTGAGCGAGAATAATTTGGTATGAGCAATAATTGCTGTCCCCCTTATACGATATACATACAATCTAAATGCGAAAAATACAATTGACGACGAGTCATCTCTTTCAAGTATAAAAATATAGATCTTTGACAACAGGAGAAAGAGAGAAGAATTATTTGTTTTAGCTTTTATAAGCGCGATCGATATACCATGTATCAACACATACTATCGAGGTCATCACGTCAATACGAGATACAATGTGGCATTACGTTTGCGCGTGGCAGCCGTATTTATTATTTAATAGCCGTGGAAATTGATGGTAACACTTATTGTTACCCAAGTAGCAAACTGCGACGTCATTAAATGTCTAAATGAAGTCAAACGATGTCATCTGACGTCATTAAATGTCAAAATGACGTCTCTTTGACGCCTAATGACGTCTTTTGACTTCATTTTGACATTTATAATGACGTCAGTTTGCTACCTGGATAGAGCTACGTTAAAGTCCCTCTTTGTCGAACATTTTGTTATAAATATATGGCTTTATCCTTATATGTACACAAGTGTATTACGTGGGGGGTTGGGGGGTCATTAGAACACTTTCCTAAATCAGCCTTTGTCTCGTAAATACGTACATTAAATACATTTGATTCGGCGAACCGTCTCTTCCGATAATATATAGTGCCAGATAAAATGCGGGTTTTATTATTTCTTTTTCGCAGAAAAATCGCGATGTCGGATTTTTCCTATATCGTTCTATCAGTCAAACTTGCGCTATAATTATCCTAAATAACTATATTTGAATTCAAAATATTTTACCACAGTTGTTGAATACGTAGGGACAATAATTCCGCGCGACAACGGCGTATGGCACGTTACTGTTCACTCGCACCTGTTCAGCTTTACTCAACTTGTTCCACACGTGAATCGCCTTCGCCTTGCTCAGTATCTTTAATGTTGCGTTACTGTCCTCCGTGTTGAAATATTTCTTCCATTTCTTGTAGTGAATCGGATAGAACACCGATGGCGGATATACCGTGAAGCCGCGGCAACGGCTGGGCGTCATATCGCGTATCTGTAAAGTTAGAAAGATAGTTTTATCTCTAGATATAAAGTTGTAAAGTTATAAAGATATCTCTACACATAATATATATAAAGTAAATATAAAGTGTGTATACAACTTTTCAAGTGTGTACACAATAAAATATAAATTTCACAAATTTTATACAAGCTATAAATAATTGTAGAAGCAGAATTTATACAATTACATACATACATTATATATGTATATTAATAATATTTGTAACTTTTAATATTTATAGCATATTAATCTACCATATTTACTTTTTGTAGCGACTGTATATACATGCATCAATTATAAAAGAAAATTTAGGATACTATATATATACTTATGTCAATTAAGATTAAACCACGGCTCTGTGATATATTAAATATAAATCACAAATAATAAAGGCCTAAAGAGCCATACGCGGATGTTGCTGCGTATGGCTCTTTATTAGGCCTTTATTATATGTGATTTATACTTATATCAAATTTATATTAATACTATATTTATATATAATTATATAAAACTGAAAGAATATTATATATTGAAATATTATAATTAAAAAAATATATCATTGAATATTATAATCAAAAGAAAATATAATTAAATACTGTACTTGAAAGAAAACATAACTGAATACTATAATCGAAGGAAAATTACAATTTCTTAAAAAAGATTCGACGCTAAAAAAAGACTAGAATAAAATTGCGACAAAATAAAATTTATGCAGCTGCTAAAGCACATAACAGAATAGGATGGAAACATAAATTATTAACAATTATTAGATACGAGATATGTGCACAGAGTTGGTCAGATTAGATCGTGCAAATAAAAAATTGCCATGTTAAACACGAGATACACGTCATAAATTATTATTTTATAGCGCTTGTTATCTTAAAAATGTCTGTGTTTGTAATTTCCTATTTGAGTTAGATACAGTATCTTCTCCTGATATTTAGTATCCATCTTTTATGTGCGTAAAACATAAAATTCTATACAGAAACGCGTTTAAGAACGTCTTCAATAATTATGTTTTAATTATGCCCTATCAGCAGGTTGACAAAATTGGCTAAGATTAGCACAAAGATGAATTTTTTATCGAGGCGGATTTGATCCGCTGCGAATTAAAATCGGCATCTTTAATATCTTAAGAGCATAATGGACTACATCCGCCGGACGAATCAATTCGATGGAGAGTGTTTACTCTTATTCTTCTCACTAACAAATACACTTTGTTGTTTATTTTACGTTTATTAGCGTGTCTCGTTTGTTTAAACAAAAACTAAAAGTAAACATGTAATTGCTAACGTCACGAAACGACATGCACATATTTATTCTATCGGCTTATCATTATAATATAAACATCGTGTTACACTTGTTGAACAGATGTCCACATACACAATTATTTTTAAATATTTTATTCATTCATTCATAATTTTTAAAATCACCTGTTCTGCTCATTCATAATTTTATTTTATTATTAAAGACATACATAAAAATTATTGATATTTATATTCTCTCCAAGTGGCAAACGTATGTCATTTTGACATCACTTTGCTTGGGTCTCTTCACATTTGGAACTTGTTTTCTATGAGATTAAGGAAACTGGCAATTAAACAATTAAATTTTTTTCTCTAATGTTATCTTGAAAAAAATAATTTTCCAAATTAGAAATATTATACCTCTAAATTGTGCGTATCTAAAATGGGTCTTATGAACGAGTAAATATTTCTGATTGATTTATCAATAATTTCTGGTTTTTTTTTTTCAGATATACTAATATGTCTCTGAATACTCACATGTACCGTCGAGCAAAGCTTCTGCAACGTCCTCGTGATGACCCCGGGTCCGTTGTAGCCCCAGACATTACCACGGAAGTTCTTCTTGAGATCCCGCACGCAGGCGTCGGCCACGCGTCGTCCAAGTTCCGATCTGTCGAACCCTATGACACCGGCGGCGATATCGTCCCAGTCCTCTGCGCCGGCGAAATTCGTCAGATTCTCCAGCGAACTGGTGACCACCACGTCGAGATCGAGATATATACCGCCATACTTCCACAGGGTCAAGTAACGCAGCATGTCAGACATGTGGCTGACGGGCCAGTGGCTCTTCTTCAGGATGCCGCTGTTGTACCACGCTTCTAAAGGCGTGCCCTTCACGTATCTCTCCGGATAGATGTGCCGGATCTTAACGTTACGATAGTTGAGCAGGTGCCTGATAATCTCGCGGGTGCCGTTGGAGAACTCGGATTTGCTGACGAACAGCAGATACACCGGCATCGTCGGGTTCATCCGAGCCGCCGACTCCACGGCGCAGGCTTGCCGAGCGTTTAGCACCAGACCCTCCTCGCCGAAGCAGGAAGTCTCGTGGAAGAAGATGTTTCTTCCTGGTGTCGGTTTGTCGACACCTGAAACGTAACATGCAAGATTTTTAATGATATTTCTTCCATAATATTTATATTTATATAAATGTATTAATATAGGTATGCTAGGACCAGCGTGATAGGCAGGACGTAAAATTATTCACAATTTTAAAGGCAATACACTTTAATATTAAGCATATAAAAAGCAATAAAGAAATTAAAATAATATTTAAAAATTTTAAATTTAAACGCGTACGTTTCGGCTCTTCTTGTAGCCATCTTCGGAGTAAAACAATATGGTCCTATTGTGCCTATTAATACATTTATTTGAAATTTACGGACCTATCTTCTTTAATTTATATTTATATTAAAGATTTTAATTACTAGACATCCACGAAACATGTGCGTTCGCAGAGGGAACATTTACCCCCCTTGGAATTAGTAAAAAAAATTAAGCATTTGCTCTCCTTTTGAGTAAACACTGGAATTTTTTGCATATTTAATATTTAAAAATAAAAATAAAAAAATTAAATTTAATCATGTCCCCTCCTGAAAAAAATACTGCGAATGCCCATGCCACGAAGTCAGAATATGTGTTGAAATTAATTTTATATACGATAAAAATAAAAATTTCTTAAATTTTACGTATCTCGAAAAATGTCCTAAAGAAAAAGATTATCGAAATTGAAAAACTAAAAAAAATTTTTAAATAGATATCTATATTGCATTTAAGTTTTCTCATCTTGATTAATACAACTAAAGTTAATAAAGATAAAAAATATCGCAATTTTTCCTAAATTTTTCCATTTTTTTAAAGTACGTACATAAATATTTACAGATTCTTCGAAAAAGCTAAGCAATCACTGCGGGAATAGTTTATAAACCTGAGGCACATTAAATGCAGGAAATATTGTTCAGAAACTTAGGTGAGTAAAATTGTATCAAATATTATCGTTATCTTATTGTGTAATATTATCTATTTATATAAATCAAATTAAAGTATGATGAATTGTGTTGATAATCTGATTTATCTAGATTTGATTTAAAAATATCGATTAATTTTTTCTATACGCATAATCGCATTTTGAAAGCAAATAAATAAGGATTATACGCGAGAAAAAATTGTAGTTTGTATTAAAAGTTTTTAAATGCTGAAAATTAGTTATTATATTTAATTGTTATATTTTCATTTAGTTATTATCGCGCGCATATATCGATATTGCACTGTTAATCTCTATCAAAAGAGTGATTGACACATATTGTTATATGCTATTCTAGGAACACATATATTATTATAATATTATGCAGTTTACGCAATCGTATATTACGACGATAATGTTGCGTAGCTGAGCGCATCAAACTATAGTGGATGTATCGTATAATTAACTTGAATAATTTCTCGAACGTTAATAATCAATAATTAGTTTTTCTAGCACAGATAGCTTATCATGCTCAAACAATTTTTTAACTACAATTCGATTAACTATAATTAAATCGTTTTCAAATTCAAAACCATATTAAAATATCTTTTTTATAGCAATTAAATTAAATTATAATTATAAAATTAAGATAATAAACATTAGAGAGAGATAAATTTTAATTTCATGAATGTTTCTGGATTTTTAATAATAAGAGTTATATTATGGAAAGAATCATATAATAACGAACATTTATACGTCATATTTTCTATTGCTCGTAACTTTAGAGATCGAGAGAGCTCTTCAAATATGTGAAATCATATCTTTTTTAATATACATATTTAAGATATCTGTGTGAGAAACTTCACGTACATATATATCAAGTGTAAAGTCTATAGATTATTATAACTTGCTCTATATTTTTTTCAAATGCTTTCTCGATACAAGGACAACAAATAACAGTAATTAATTCTAATCATATATTACTTGTTTCTGGCTCGAAATCACGGATGCCTTCCGCGGCTGAAGTTTCATCGTAGCATCTGATATCGTTGATCGTCGACACGTCGAGGAAGGGTATCCTCTGGATGATGTTGTTCTCGGTCGAGATCATGAGAATGAGGAGCACGACAGCGAAGGCGAAACCGCACCATAATAATCTCTTTTTCATTTTTGCGACTATTTTCATCGAACTGCGCTATATCTAGGTAAAATTGCCGATTTGTGATCATAGATATTACAAATATAACTTTCATCTATTTTACAATTTTCATCATCTTTCTATTTATTTCTCTTCAAAAGACCGCAAGTGAGGAGTATTATTATTATTTTTTTTTTTTTATTAAGAAATCTAAATTTTAAAGCTTCTATAATACAAAAAAGATCCGTTTAAGATGATGAAAAATGTATTCGAAAAAATATTTGTCTCGATAAATGTGCAATTCTTTTTACATTAATCAACATAGGAATAAATCTTTTTAAGGCATGCAAAAGATAACAACCGCAGATTTATCTCTGATAACGCATACTAAATGAGAAAAGTTAAACTACTTCGAACTTGATTAACGAAGAAGCATATATATAGTATAAAATTCACACGTACGGTAATAGACGAGTTATCTTTTTAATTATTACATTATAACGCTTGATTTCTCTTTGAAACCGCAAAGATATTAGTCAGCGATTGTCTTTCTTGTTATAATTCGAACAGCGTCGTAAACTTTAAATGAATCGAGCAAATAAAATTGTAACATTTTTAAACTTCTGTTCGAGAAACGCAAAACTTTGAGAAAAATAATTGAAGAAATTATTATATAATAAAATTAATAATAAATTATTAAATTATTATATAATATAATAACACTCCGGTAAAAATTTTTTATGTATATCACATAACAAAATATAAAATTATATAGAAATATATTAACTTTGGTATAAGTTATGTATAATTATATACACGTACAATTATATAAGTAGTCGTAAAATTATAATATAATTATAATATATAATAATTATACATAATTTACATAGAATTATATATTTCTATATAATTATATATAAAAAATTTGTTATAGGAATATAATAGAGACGATCGTTCGAGATTGTATATATGTATATAATTGTATATTTATTGTAACAAACACAAGGATGATGCTCTGAATTCACGCGGAAAACCGTGCACGTGGAGAAACGCGGAAAACTCGAGTGTTAAGAAAACTATATAAGATCGCCTGATTTTTAGAGAACGAATTAAAGGCTACTTGTTAAAAAATATTAGGAAAAATAGACTCTTCCATAAAATATTGTAAATTATAACACAAATACCTGAGTCACAGCGCTCGTTCCCAACTTCGTTCTTCCGTCTTTATCTCTCTTTTGTTTTCCCGTAATAGAGTCGACTTCCAATCATCACATTTCAATACAAACGTGATATATGACGCGTTCTGTTTTTCCTTTCTTTTTTACATCGCCTCTTATGTACTGTTATGTATTTACATTAATATTCATGACACGATACGTTTGTATGCGTGTAAAAAAATTCTATTTTGCATCACATCATGGTCATCAAAATAGTATGCGTAAAGTTACATAATCCCGCACGATGAGAAAATAAATTAAACTCTTTCGCGAAAGCTACGAAATTTCGATCGGTTCCCGGTTTTTTTTTCCATTCGCGCGCGAACGGGGCCAAATCTCGTGTTGAAATAAAAAATTCAGTCGAGGGTGTGACTCTATGATAAGCTCGAGATAATCTCGATGAAAGTGTGAGAGAGTACTCAGGAAAATAAATATTAGTTCTCGGTACTAAATACTCGCGGGCCTCCTCACACGCAACCGCCTTCTGACGCCGGCTATGCGGAATTTCGCCGCATTGATGTATATCAAGTTAATTGATTACTACTATAGTTATATATATATATATATATATAATTTTTTTCTAACTAGTATTAATCATCATCGTCAACAACTTTAGTTATTTATATATTCTTTCAGGAAAACTGCGGGAGAAAATGATTCCCCGATATGACATTGCACGTCATCAGAATTGCTGATACTTTCGTGAATTATTCCTGTCCGCCATCCGCTATTGATCGTTGACAATCAGCTGACAGTCGACACGGATCGGGAAACTTGGGTTTCGAGGATGGAGGGAAAAACACGGAGTCACAGTCACGCGGATAAAGGTATATAATACTGTTTCGTAATTGAGCACAGAGAAAGAGAGAGAGAGGACAGGTCCACCTCCCCGACGTGACTACATCTCACGACTATATTCGAAACGACTTCGCTGATGGACGAGAGGTCGAGTGCCACCCCTCCGCGCTGCTGATTGTGCGCTCTATAATATGAAATATATATTTCCGACGCATGCGTAAGGACGACGGGGGCGACGGACGGGGATGATTACGACGACGTCGACGACGATGTTGTTGTTGCTCTTCTCGCGAGAAGACTCGTCGCGGGTGTTGTTTCATGACAACCTGTATAAATCATCGCATCTCGTCTCATCGTGTGATTTACCACCATTAATGTACCCGATGATAATGATAATGTGACAGATGCATTCGCCCCAATTTTCATTTAAATGGCTTTTATTTATCAGTTATAAAGTTGTACGTGCACAATACCTGTATATATTTTGCTCTCGTCTACGTTTTTTCGTGCTCGTATCATATATATATATATATATATTATTGTTGTAATATATATATATATATATATTATTGTTGAAGACTACACATGATGCACAAGATTGCTTTTTATTATTATTATTATTATTTGTCACTTCTTGTTAGGTAAATTATTATAGTTATATAATAGCTAGAAATGCGCCAAAATTCGTTCGATTGAGCCGATCATCAGGCCATGGGGATGTTCAACTTCTTTGCATCCTCCATGAGCTTCACCACCATCGCCTGCCATTCGTCGGGACGGTTCTCCGTGTACCACACGACTATCTTCTCCACGTTTCTCTTCTGCGTTTCCGTGCACTTTCGGCATTTCGTTGCAAACGCTTCTGCCGCATGTTCTGCATCATAAACACATCTCCGAATAAATTAATTCGAACAATAAATAATTAATTTCGACAGACTCGAAAATCGAAAGAAATTGTGGCGATTTCTAAAATATTCCAAACTTTACGTGCGAAAAGCTATTTTATTTGAATTGAGAGTAAAGATAATATATTTATTTAACTAACGATAAAATTAATGAAGTCGCCAGTGATGAGTAAAACCATACAAATTTATTGAAATTTCGACCTAACTGGCCAGTACAATTTAATTAGAAACACGTTTCGACCCTAATTATCCCACAATTACCATAAAAAGTATACTTTTTTAAATTTCTTCGTTAACAACTTTGTAAATTATCGTTTCATATCTTAATCATTGTATATTTTTATTGTGCAGTTACACTTGAAAAGAACCCGTACCTAAGGGTCGAAACGTAGTGTTTCTAATTAAATTGTACTGGCCAGTTAGGTCGAAATTTCAATAAATTTGTATATATTTTTTTGTTCACAAATTAAAAAATTTTAATCCATTTTCAAACAAAAATTAATTGGATCTCTTTTCTAACAAGACTGAAACAAGATTAATGTCTATAGCGTTTTATTATATACTGATACCAGAATATGCGAGATATATCGATTATCCATTATTGTTTAAAGATAAGATAAATGTGTAGCTTAAAAATGTACATAAATCGAATAATAAACGGACACACACATACACACACACACACATACATACATACATACATACATACATACATATATACATACATACATACATATATACATTTATTATACAGAGTGAATCAACATTCGATAACTGATGTTATCGATAATATTTGTTTATATCTTATATATACTTATATATCCCCGATATCTTTCACAGATAGATAGAATAATATTGTTGGTGCGATTATTATATCGTTTAATTAATATAATTTGCAATTATAGATATAATTAATAATAATGTACGTGTGTTTTCAATTATAATGATATTATTATTATTATATTATTAATAATTATAATAATATAATTAATAATATTATTTATAGTGTTACTTTCAAAATATGTGCGTTTGAAAGAAAAGAATCTTACAACTTTTGTTCTCTTAAATTTTTATACACAGAGGGAATTTTTCGTTATATTTTACCACAAAATTCACTACAAATATCATGTTTAATAATAAGTTGAAATTTACCATGCTGCATATTAAAATTATCACGATAATCTAGATTGAAAATATGCTGCATTTTAAAATTTATATAAAATATTTTATCACTTTTTTGGCATGTATTCTATTTAAAACATTTAAAGGATAAATTTTTAACATAGTTTTTAATATATTTTAAAATTATTATACTATATATTTTAGTAAAATTAATCAGACATATTTTATATCTCATTGTGGTAGATATTAATATTTTTTATTGTGGCGCAATTAATCAAAGAAACTTCTTATAAAATATTCTTCCAATACAGACATATACAAAAAAAATAAAAATATATGTTGTTTTACATATTTTATTGCTTTTGAAAAATAATCGAATATGTGCGTGAAATTAATTAATTAATAATAAAACTTATATGAAAATAATTAATTATAAAATACATAGAAAATATATATTATATCTATATACCACAATAAGATATAAAAAAATGTTCCATTAATTTTACTATGTGTATTATGTGTATATACAACAGTAAAAATTACTATATACATATTAATGTTTTATTGTGGTAAATATTAATCAGAGAAACTTATAAAACTCTTTCAATACCATATTATTGTCCCACAATTACCATGATTTTTCAGATAAATTCTAAAAGAAAATTCTCTCTGTGTATGAGATAATATGTATGGCTTTGTGAATATCTTCAATGTGTATGAGATAATAAAATATCATACGCTTGAAAAATTTCTGGTCGTCCGTCACGCACGGACCGCGGTCCATGAAGCAGTTGTAATACTGATTTCGGAGCTCGTCGTTGGGCAAGATATCGTCGGGATTGATGTGATCGAACATGTCCGAGTACATTTCCTCCTGGGCGATGACGGCCGCCAATACCCCGGCTAGAGCCAGCAAACTAAGATAGGACAGTTTACCCATATTTTTTGGGATCTTAGGAATTCGTACTGCACGAAACTGAATATCAATTCGACCTGGCCTCTCTTTTATAATTCACGCTCGCCCTTGGACAAACCTGGAGCTCCTTACGTAAATATATACTTAAATAAGTAGTCGTTATATGTGTCGTACTAATTGTAATTGCATATGCTTCAGGTGGACGGAAGGAAGATCCTGGAAGGATTAATTGATAAGGCCGCGACCCGAGACGAGGCGAAACAACCGGCGTTTGATTATTTCGCTCATGTAAGGTGGTCATTAAGGTGGATTTGCCTCATTTCGATGTTGGTTTACGTAGGCGTCTTCATTCTCGCGGATCATCAAAACGAGCTGGGATTAAAAACTGTTCTTGAGCTACGAGCAAATACTGTAATATATATTTTCCTACTGACGGCTAATGTGCAGCGTTGCACTCGCAATCATATCTTTTCTACTCGATATGCAGAATCGATGTTTAGGAATTAACGCCAAGTGTGTATTTTCTATCTAAGAATAGGTGCCATTATTTGATTGTAGGCAGTTTCCTTTGAATGAATAACATGATACCTATCGTGGGTCATTTTCAAAATTTGGGATATGATCTACGAGATTGCAGTTTGAGATAGATGAGATGTGCATTTCGGAAAAATTATATAAGTTTAATTATCGAAAACAATCTCGTTAAGATTGTTACACCGTGTAATTTTACGTATTTCTGTTTGCAGAGTTTCTAACTAGAAATTTTAATAATTTCAAAACTGTAGAGATTTTTTTTTTGTAAAATACGTTATAGAGTATTATATATCTATTTTAATATTCTTGACTGAAACTTATTTTTGAAATTTTGCTAAAACAAATGAGGTACACACTTTAGCAATATGTTATTACATCTTATTATTAAAGATTATATAATATATTTTTTTAAATATTGAATTAATATATCTTTTAAATTAATTAATTAAAGTATACAAATTCCTAATAATATATATATATATATATATATATATATTTCTATATAGTTATAAAATACTTTATATTACATATGTTAATATTGCGTAGATTAGATCGTAATATACAATTAAATTTTTTACACACACATATATATATAAAATTATATACGAAGCTAATTATAGCTACTAAAGTCACTAATAGCTACGAAATGAGTGACATACGAGATGATTTTAGCATAACGGGTTATCCTTCAAAAGGGGCAATTATTTCGCGTGATTATCTTCCATCTTTTTTGAAGTATATTAAACATTTAAATTAAGACTAAAAAGGACAAGAAAATAAGTGACGCTTGTATATAAAAAAAGCATAATTCCATTCTATACGTATAAAAAGATACAAAAGATGCGCGTCGATTATAGTGATTTAAAATTCAACCAGGCGGGATTTCGCGCGCTCCCGATCCTGGGAACTTAAAGATCGCGAGATTGGCGGGCCTGCGCGGCCGCTACTTGAAAGCAGTGAACGATCGCGCTGCATTGTGGCCATCGAATGGCCGCCTCGTCTGATGTCTGTCCATTCTGTTCTTCTGTAATTAGTTTTCCTTTATTCGGCGATCCACGCGAACGGCGGTCTCCACGGCGAAACGATCCGGTAAGGCGGCGTCGCGTTACGTCAAACCTGTCAAACGCGAGGCGGACGAGGCGTGACGAGTGTAATAACAATATATATATATATAGATTCCGTTCTGTGCCGCCGCGGAACCGCGAAGTGCGTGCACCCGCGCACACGACCGGTGTGCGTGTACTTGGGAGAAGAGACTTTGTTTTTTTTTTTTTTTTTTTTGTGTCAGATCATTATTAGAACTGGCGAAATTCGCGCGAGACTCCTCCACCTCGGCCTCGGAGCCTATACAGGACCGTTTCCGAGGGAATCGTCCTAGCTAGCGCACGACACAAAATCGTGATGTACAGTAGTTTTTCGCGAGATGATGTCTCGGCTGCATGTGTGAAGTCGGAAACATTTCTTATTCCCCTCCTCCCTCTTCCCTTCTTCACCCCGGCTTCTCTCCCTCCTCCTCGTCGTCTCTCTCTCCCTCCTCCTCCTTCATCTACTTCACTTGACATTAGGTTATTGCACGATTAACGGGAAGATAAGCAGCAATAAATACCTTTCGAAATTGGTACCCGAAAATGTCAAATTTATTATCTGTGAAAAAAGAAAAAATTTTTGTACGTGTAGTATAAACGTATGTGAATGTATTCGTGAAAATTATGATCACGGTATATAGCGGTGCATATGCAATTTTAATTCGCCCGAATATCATTCTCTCTCTTTCTCTCTCTCTCTTCTCTCTCTCTCTCTCTCTCTCTCTCGCTGCGCAAAACATTTTGATTTTACATCGCACATATTTAATTTATTCCATTAATATAAGGTATATATATTTAATTCGTTTTATATATAATTGTGAAAAAAATATATAGTATGCAAATGAATAGAATAGATTAAAGAATCGAGGGGTTAAAGAATTCAGAAATTATGGAATCAAGAATAAAGGATCAATTTTTATAAAGTGGCTAAAATGTATTTATTGCTGCAAAGTTAGATTATTAAAAAATTGTTGTATACGTAGATATTAAATTGCAAATATTGAAGCTATTTATTCATTTTTTAATTTTGTACAATAATTAATGTACACAGAAAATCTATGTGTGCATTATAATAGTTTAAAGTAATCTACAAAAGATAATTTCTGCACACTTTGAAGAAAATTATCACATTTTATTGCTCAAGTTTATAGCATTATATACTTGGACTTTGTTATCGGTATCACTGATAAATATATGAAATTAAAAATAGCATTGAGCAAGTTCAATTAGTCATCAGTAGAGACTACTAGTGTGATAAAATGTTAAAATATTCTATCGTTTGATACAATATATGTATAATTATCACATCTTACACAGAAATTATGAATGAGATAAAAGAATATTATATAATGAGAGAGAAGAATGTATTGATTTTTCTTTAAAGTAAAGTTTCTATAGATACATCTTTATAGTATAACTAATATATTATATAACTTAATTGAAATTTATATTGCATTTATTATATTTATTTTGTGATGCTTGGTACTTTTACAGATATTTTTTATGTTAATGGTTTTTCTTTTTCAAATTGTTATAGATTTAGTAATATAGCAACCGTAATAACATTGACAAACGTAACATTGAAATGGAAAAAAGTGGCGATGGATTGCTGTTTCGCGCTGAGAGAAATAATGGTGCCGATGAAACAGCCATGGACATTGTTGACGAAAGAGTGGCTATCTTAGACGCAGGTGCACAGTATGGAAAAGTGATAGATCGAAAGATTCGTGAATTGAATGTCCATAGTGAAATTCTGCCACTCGATACGCCAGCATTTACTCTTCAAGAAAAAGGATACAAGTAAGAGATATACATTTGATATAAATAGTTATTGTTAATATAACTTAAATTTATATAATTATTATATGTATTCTGATTGTTTTAGAGCTATTATCATTTCTGGAGGTCCTAGTTCAGTATATGCAGAAGATGCACCCAGATATGATGCCGATATCTTTCGAATAGGAATTCCTGTATTAGGTATTTGTTATGGAATGCAAATGATGAACAAAGAGTTTGGAGGTACTGTAACTAGAAGGGAGAGTCGAGAGGATGGTCAATTTCCCATTGAAGTTGATACCAAGTGCCTGTTATTTAAGTATGTAAATTGCAGTGTATCATAGAATTTTGAAAAATATTTATCATTTAGAAAGTACTTTTGTCTGATTCTACAAAAAGTACATTTTTAATCTTAAAAACTCTTAAGATCCGAAATGTATTATTTATCAGGGGCTTGGACAAGGACCAGATGGTACTACTAACTCACGGAGATAGCATAGACAGGGTAGCTGACTGTTTTCGTACTACTGCCAGATCGTCAAGTTTTATAGCGGGTATAGCGAGTGATAAGATGAATTTATACGGCGTGCAATTTCATCCAGAGGTAGACTTGACGCCTAATGGAAAATCGATGTTACATAACTTTTTATTCGGCATTGCTGGCCTTACGGGCAATTACACGCTCCGCGATCGGGAGGCTCAATGTATACAATACATCAGAAATACTGTAGGCGATAAAAAAGTTTTGGTAAGCAAGTGATATACATTAGAGTTCGTTAAAAAATCAGAGTTCTTTTAAAAAATTATTACAAGAATATAATATTTTAAGTATGTATGTAATGAAAGACATTTATTCGTCTAAAAAAAACTTACAGTTATTGGTGAGCGGTGGTGTGGATTCGACGGTATGCGCGGCTTTGTTACAAAAAGCCTTAAGTAAGGAGCAAGTTATAGCACTACACATTAATAACGGCTTCATGCGTAAGGGAGAAACGCAGTTCGTCGAACAAAGTCTAGCTCAATTGTGCGTGACGTTAAGAGTGGTGAATGCTAGCCGTTATTTCATGCAAGGCACAACGACCGTCCCGTTGGACAACGTCACGCCTATGATGAACGCTAATGTTACGAATAATAAAGGAATATGCGGCGCGGCGAGTAGCCCGAGAACCAGGTTAACCAAAATGTTATGCGAAACTACCAATCCGGAAGAGAAACGAAAAATCATAGGCGACGTTTTCGTAAGAGTCGCAAACGAGGCGATGGCGGAGATGGGATTGAAGCCGGAGGATGTATTCCTTGGACAAGGTACCCTCAGGCCCGATCTTATAGAAAGTGCAAGCTCCTTAGTCAGTGGTAAGTGTAATTTTTTAGATCTTCTGTTAGATTATGACGTCAGAGATGAGAAATACACTAAAAAAAATATTTCGATGCAACACTTTCAGATGGCTTTAGCACGCTTTTAAAATTTTTATCTCGAAAATTATTATTTTCCCTTGACAATCAATCAACAACTGTAAAATGATCGTGATATCAAACTTTGTCATGCAGAATGACTACGCACAAAAACTAGACAGATTAGGCTTCATATTACAGTCATTTTACAGCTGATTGATAAAGGGAAAAGGATCTCTTTATTTATATATTATTTAAAAGTGACATCTAAGAATTTTTAGCGTGTGCTTTCTCGCCTCTGACGTCACAATCTAACATAGTCATGGCGAGGACCCAGAAGCTTTAAACAACTCTTTTGGAACAATAATGCGAGTTTTATCCGGATCTAGGTAAAGCGGATGCCATAAAGACGCACCACAACGACAGCGAACTTGTGCGAGTGTTAAGAGCGCAAGGACATGTAGTCGAACCATTGAAAGATTTCCATAAGGACGAGGTGAGACAATTGGGATGCGACCTTGGATTACCGGCGGCACTGGTCGCGCGTCATCCGTTTCCCGGTCCTGGACTCGCAGTACGAATCCTGTGCGCGAGTGACGCTTACATAGAAAAGGATTTCTCCGAAACACAGGTATATTACCAAAGCACAAGAAGCAAATTCAAAGTTAATTCCCAAGTTATCACTTCATATTTTGATATTGATATTTGCTTCCAGGTTATAGTCAAAATAATGGCCGAGTACGAGCAGATGCTTCAGAAAAAACACGCGTTGCTGAATCGGGTGGAAGGGGCAACCACTGAAGCCGAACGTCAACAACTCCGCAGGGTCTCGAGTCATCGTCATATCGCAGCAACTCTTCTGCCTATTCGTAGCGTAGGAGTTCAGGTACTTGACAGAGTACTCTGCACTAATCTTATGTGAAATGGATTTCGGTTAAATCAGTTGGTTTTTTCATAAGTTGTAATTATTGTGTTACAGCCAATCAAACACGAAAAACTCAGGTTCTGCGAGTTGTTTGACTGGCTATAGCTCACAATCAGTAACTGTTCATTATTTAGCTTTGAAGCTATTACATCTTTTGTTCAGCAGATCATAAGCTATAACATATGACAAAACCAGTTCATTTAACCGAAATTTATTTTGCATAAGATTAATGCGGGATACATTTATTGTAAAAAAAAAAAAAAATAGAAAGATCATCAACAAGTGTATTCTGTCTTTCATTTTACTTGAAATATTAAACATTTTTTACTTGTTTACAGGGCGATCGGAGATCTTACAGCTACGTAGTAGGTTTATCGTGTGAAGAGACTGTATCCGAGGGAATGGAGTGGGAAGATCTGTTGTTCTCGCGAAGCTAATCCCCCGTGTGTGTCACAACGTGAATCGCGTGTGCTATATCTTCGGACCGCAGCTCCATCATCCAATCCAAGAGATCACGTCCACGTATCTCACCTCCAATGTGATAGCGACTCTGCGACAGGCGGATCATTTGGCTAACCAAGTGTTAAGTGCGAACGGCTGTATGGGAGCCATCAGCCAGATGCCCGTTGTTCTGATCCCGATACACTTCGATCGCGACGCGACATGCCGGCTGTCTTGTCAACGTTCCGTTGTGCTCAGGCCGTTCTGTACTAATGATTTTATGACCGGCACGCCTGCCATTCCTGGCAAAGATTTGCCAATACACGTAAGTTTCATATATTATATGCATATGATTTCCATAACTATAATGTATGCTGCAACCAATTGTACAATGAATTGTTACATCGCATATTTGTATTTATATTTATATTTGATGTATCAACTCAAGTAGCAAACTGATGTCATTAAACATCAAAATTTCATGTCATTCAATTTTTTTCTCATAATTTTTTTTACAGTCCTATAATAATTTATCACCTTTCTTTTATTACGAATATGTGAATATAACTTCAAACAATTGGATATTCCTAGATAGCAAACATACATCATTTTGACATTGATAATGTCATTAATGTCAAAATCTAATGGAAATCTAATCTCTAGAATTGTGAAAAAACTTTATATAAATTATGAGAAAAAAAGAGAAAATGTTAAATAATGCAGAAGTTTATTTAGTTAGATTGTATGAACGAATAAAAATAATCAAACGTATATTTATAATTGATGACTTAAATTGTTTTGCAGGTGGTGAAAAAGATGGTAACTGAAATATCCACGGTGCCCGGAATCTCACGTGTTTTATATGACCTAACGTCTAAACCGCCGGGAACAACAGAATGGGAGTAGTGAACGCTCATCTGGCCCCTTTCTATTTTTCACCATCCCTGCGCGCGTAACGACAAAGTGAAAAAAGTATATTTAAAATATATATATATATATATATAATATATTATATAATATTACGAAAGAGATACACGAATTCGAGTTGATGACTTCTTACTATTTATACAAGACCTTCGAGCAAACTTTTTCAGCGAAAGGTACGCATTAAACGAATCGTGTATTACTGGCTTCTCTAGACAAAGAATGGCATTTTTGCGTTCGATTAAAAACTTAAAGGTAAAAAAAAATATTATATATACGTTTGCCTGTAAATAGGTTTCTTATATTTACTACACTTTCGTTATACAAGTCCTTAATTTATTAAATTTCCGAGATTTCGTAATCACAATCATTTTTATTACATCTCGAATCATTGCATCTGATCGACGGTACCATTAGATTGTTGTTGTATTCTATCTGCATATAACGTTGAACATGCTTCACGGTTCTTCTATATGTCTTATGCCAAGTGCAGTTCTCAATTTTTGTTATACATCTGCAATAAGGATGTAAGAGAATACATAATAATATTCATGTATCATAATGTCGAATATTATTATTTATCGCTCTTTGTATTATATATACGTTGTATTTGGATTATATATACGTTTACTATATACAAATGAATTTAATACATAGACAATAAATTACCTATGCATGGTTTTCAACAAAATATGTAAATCCTCGATGCGTTTCTTTTGTGGAAGCATGCTGAGAAATGTCGCGAGTGACAGAAAGTCCACTTCGTTCACGACATTAGACTTAGTGACCCACGTTTGTATCTGCATTTTTACCTGTAAAAGCATTCTGTTCAATTCAGTCATGTTGAGGTCAAACAAAATATCTTTATATATTTTAATACGGTTTTCTCAACAATAATCCCATATGTATATATTAATTGATGAAATTATGACAAAGCAGACACACGACTCTCCATTAAAATTCTAAACAATATATATCGAAAAGGAAAGAAGGGGAAGGAGAGCTTCATTATATTATAAAGGTCGGACGAATATCGACTACACGAATATCGCTGGTAGTTTAATAGAAAATTTTCTAATTGTGCTAGACATCTATTAAAAAGATTTTTTTTCCTTTTTATTGAACTATAATTTAATGTAGCGTAAGAAAAATCGAATCATTTCTGAGTTATTTATTTCAATGATGTACGGTAATAAGTGATGAAAACAAGTGCGTTAACGATTTATACCACACGTTTGTTTATAAACTAGATCTAAGTTTTTAAAGTGTGGTCATTTCTACTTGTATGATAGGAGAGTGAATCTAGAACTGGAATTATACCCCGTAATAAAATGGCACTGCGCAATTTACTGTGATAAGCTAATAATTCTCACGAAATATTACCGACTTTTGTTTATCATTTTATTGTTTATCACATAAATCTTTCATTACTGTGCCAATGTCACAGTTACCATTCAATGTTCGGCATGATGGTTATAATTCATATTTGCATGTTAAATACTACTGATATTACATACAGATTGAATTTAAATATTTAATATATACATAAGCCCACAAATATTTGCAGATAAAGGAAAACGTCACATTTCGAAATTTTTTTTGTAAAATATAAAATTAATAAATATAAGGAGAGAAAGAGAGACAGAATTCTGATATGTGTCATTATAGCAATAACAGAAAAATGATTTGTATTAGTAAAGAATAATTTCGTACAATATTTAATATCAATTGGAATTATTACGTGCGCCAGATGTCAAAAAAAAGATAGAATACGCAAACACTCAGTTCCTACTTAATAATTTGTTTTAACGAATAATTATATGGTACCTGTTGTAACGGAAGAGCGAAAAGATGATTCACGAGAGTAATCAACATTTCCTGATGTTTATCTATGTTCTCATTGTTATGTAAAATACTTAAATTCTGTAAAATAAAGGTATCGGCTTTATCCATCGCAGCATCATTGTGTGAAATCTCAATATAATTATTGCGACACGATATGGAATCAGTCTCTGCCTTGTTGTCGATGTTCTTTTTGCATAATTGATCCTTCACATGCAATATTTTATCCTCTAGCGATACACATGCAGCTTCGTTTGTAGAAGAATTATTTACAATAGGTTTCGCAGGTTTTTTATTGCTATCATTAACCTTCGAAGAAGAACTTGCTTCTTGCGGTTGTTCATTATCCTGGTTTTCATCTGTCTCTTTCAAATTTATTTTATTCGCCTCTCTCTTCATATCACAATAGAACTGCACATCGCGTTGCACATCGGGATGCAAGTCGTCTTTCATTAAAGTTGACAGAACATCTGGATCAATTTGCGAGCAGCCGTGTACATTTGAGGTTCCATCATCCGAAACTTTATTCACGATCTGAGACTGTTGTCTCTTGTTTCTTTTATATTCGTCGAATATCTCGTTTCTTATATCCTCCGGTAATTCGATCAACACGGACATATCGATGTCTTGGATTTGCGGTATCTCGTATTTCGATGATCTTCCGCTACTCGGTTTTGTGTGTCTGAAAAAGTTCTCTTGAGATGTCTGTCTTTGTACCGCTTTCTTGCTTGATTTCCCAGATAAATTTTTCGTTTGTGGAATATTTTCATTTGCCTTAGAATTATATAATTTTTTATCTTCTGTTTCAGCTGTCGATTCGGTTTGAATCGCTACACATTCATCCTTATGTACATTGGAAGATTCTGCCAATGACAAATTATTAACTTTTCCATCAAAAATATCTTCTGTTCCTGATGATGATTCAGCAGTCAAAGACACTTTAGAGCTATCCGATTTAGATTTCTCGGTAAAATTCGAGTCGCATCGATTCTTCTTGTCTTTACTCAACATTTGATCACAATTTGTTTGCACTTTTGCAGATTTACTGAAGAAATTAATCAAGTTGCCTTTGCTCTGCTTAGTCTTGCATATTTCCAATCTGGATACTTGTATTCCAATTCCTCTCATATCTTCGGGCGTTAAATGTAACTGATTCCAAATGCTTATGACTTCCCTGCATAGCAAAACACTTGCATTAATTCTTTGAGATATTTTATGAAATATAAACAGGGTTGGGTAAATTAATTATTTTTTAAATTAAGTTAATAGCTTATAAATTAATTACGTAAGAAACAACTCGGTTAAAGTTGAGTTAAAATTAAATTAAGTTTAAAAAGTTAATTTTTTCAAAATATTATTTATATTAAATTAAAATATAACTTTAACATTTTTTATATTTAATATTTTATTTATATATATATATATTAATTTTTAAATGTATATAAAATAAAACTATTTTTTATACAGAAATGTATTTTTGTGATTACAATTATGAAAAAATAAAAACTAATAGTATATATGAAATAAAATTTTATTCATTATCATAATACTTCTAAGAATTATATAGAATAATGCTCTTATTAAAATTTAATCGTTATTAAAAATTAAATTGTCCAATATTTAAGATTTTATAAAAAAATAGTGACATTCAGAGATGAAAAAATTTTTTAACTTAGGAAAAAGTTAACCAGTTAAAGTTTAAATAAATAACTAGTTTAAATTAAAAATTAACTCATTCTAAATTAATTAAGCTAAGTTAAAAATTAACTTTTAATTAATTAGTTATCCAATCTTGAATATAAATATATATAATAAGTACATTTTAACACGTAAGAAATCAACAGCGGTAAAAAACTTACTTTTTAATGATACTGACGTCATCGACAACCGCTATAAGATTCTTCGATTTTGTTATATAATTGCAGGGACCATGACCCATGAACTTCGCAGTTTCTTTCGGTGCATCTTCGGCTCTGATCATGAGTTTTAGCGTGATGCATCTGCCTTTGGCACGAACTGCTGTTAATCGGTCGCACACTTCGGCGGATAATTTGCTCAAAAATCGACGGCGTCATCGTTGTTCCGAAATCTTATACCGTAATTGACTTCAGCAGACACAGATTTCCTAATATGTTCTAGATTCAATTTCGTGTCGTCCAGTCCACGGCACATTTTATGCAACTGCTCTCCCATCTTTTTGCCGAATTCTTTCTGCAAAACACCCAAAGAAATCTTCTGCAAATCCTCGCATGTACGCACATTCATTTTACGTAACTTGTGTGTTGTTGTTCCGCCAACTCCTAAAATATGAGATAAGACAAATTAATTCCTTATATTATATTTTTTTATATTTCTTAATTTATATTTCTACAATTTTTTTCCAAAATTTTGTTAAAAAAATTGTTCAATATGAGAATTTGTGTTTCTCTTAATACTTTTTTTTTTAATACTGTAGATGATTTGATTATTCAAATATACCTGGTAAATCTCTTGTATCTAAAGCCCGCACATATGTCTCCGCGTTCTGATTACTCAAATAAAATTGATTATCGGGTTTTGCTTTTCGCGTTGCCAATCTCGCCTGCAACTTGTTATTGCCGAATCCTGTGGACACCGGGCAATCTGTTTTACGCTTTATCTCGTTCCTAATTATTGTGGCAAACTCCAACGGTGATAATCCGGACGCTTCGAGAATCCTCGTGCAATCCGCGTACATCTCGTCGCAACTTACTGCCTCGATATCTAATGTATAAGATGCTACCGTATCGTACAGTATATAAGAAACTTCCTTGTAGCCCTCGAAATCATATGCAATCGTTTTCAGATTTGGACACAGTTTCAGCGCTTCTCCCAAAAACATGCCGTTCTTCACACCAGCCTTCCTTGCCGCATAAGAACACGAAGCTACTTCCGATAATGATCCAAATTCTTCCTTGCCGTCGTAATTCGCCGAAAATGTGTTGCCTTTTGCGTGCGTTACCGCCACCGGTAGATCTCGCAATTCTGGTTTATTCCTAATTCCTACAGACACGAAGAAACAATCCATATCGATGTGCATTATAACAGATTCCCTTTTGCGTTCTACTCTGTTATCTGTAAAACATATCGTTTCATCTTCAGAGTCTGATTCGCAATCGGCTGAAGTGGAAGGGCCTCTTGCTTTTTTAATTCCATTAAACGCTTAAGTCCAGGAAATACCCCGTCACTTTTATCTCTCAACTCGTTGACGTAATCCTTAAAAGTGGTTCCCATGGTAGCGATGTAATGTAATCTTGAGTTGCTATAAAATGCTGATAGAAATTCAGCGTCTCTTGTAGATTGCGCGTTTGTTCTTGTATTCGCAGGTTGACGATTGCTCATTGCATCATGTTTCGATGCATCGTTAATATTATGTGTCGATATATTATTTATATCAGTCTCATTATTAATTATTTCTGCTTTAGAGTGTTCAATATCTTGTTCATCCGTAACTGAGTTAATATCGGCTTCAATCTTCTTATTATTTAATTTATACGCCAACTGAGGTTGTATATTAGTGCTATTGGAGTAAAGTAAATAATTTTGAAAATTCAAAACTTTCCCAGCTGCAATGCTGTCAATAATCCACTGTGGTTTACATATAGGAATTGGATTTTGACTCTTCCTGTACAACATTATTTTAGAATACGGTAGATTGGATGCTATAATATGAGTTGTGATTTTAGGACGCATGTAATGATGATATAAACCTCCATGCATCATCATTAGACGTCTGAGCTCATCAGATGTTGGATCTGTATAACCATTTACAAATATTGCAATTCCTTCAAAGAGTTTTGACGATTCTGTAAATTCTTTATTAGCTGTAGTACAAAACTGCTCCTCTAATTTGGCTTTCTTTGCAGCCATATAACCACCCTGAAATATATTTATTGTTAAAATACATAAATTAAATAACATGGAGATAATTTTTCTAAGTAATCTGATAAAATTTAATTTAGATAAATGTATAAAAATAATATTTTAAATTTTGATACTCACCCACTCTTCAAAGCCATTTTCGCTCCAAGCATGATCCCTTTTCTTTTTGACATAATTGCATTATAATTTAATTATGTATGATAATTATCATATAATACATGCACTAAAAAAAGAGAAAAAAGATTAATAGCTTATTAATTATAGCTTTCTCAGAGTTCTTAGAATTAGAAAAAATTGCTTTCAATTTCTCTCTTATGCAGAATTAATTAGAATGATTTTAACCTCAAATATAAAGTGTTGTATTGCGTAAACCTTGAAATTGACAATTTATCCCAATTATTATGTTGACTATATCAATTCATAATTTACGTAATAGTTGGTAATAGCAATCAATGATTCATGCAATTCTGTATATTTATATGTAGAATTATTTGTGGCATACTGAGTATATCCATATTTGATATTAAAAATGTTTGTATTAAAAAATTATTGATAATTTTCATCTATCTCGCACTGATCACATTATAAGAAATAAATAAAAAAGATTATACACATAGAACACAATATATCTACATCAATGTACATATTCAATACATAACATCTGTCGCTTTCCCGCCATTTTATGCGAATCGAGAAACTTCTCTATCAGCTGTCAATTTTCATGACACCTGTTGCGTGAATGAATTTGTGATACATATACACGTATATATATAATTTAAAAAAAATTGTTACACAATATTAAAATATTAAGACATTAATTTTCTTCTTTTTGTCATATATTATTGATATTAAAATAATATCATTATATATCAAAAAAATTTTTTTTTTTAATATTAATTCTGAAAAATTTATTAATACAAAATATTTCTCATTCCGCTATATTTTGATTTAATTGTAAAATTAAAATGCAACAGATAACTTTACATTTAAAAATATCGTTCTTTATTTTTCTAAATTTTCGCTATTTTAATAATGTACAATATATTACTAACACATATCTAATGTATTAATATTATATTATTTTAATACATTTTTTCAATTTATACAATTCAATTTACACCTATTAACAATAACATGATGTACCTCTCATTATACAATATGTAATATCTGAAATGTATTTCTATAAAACAAACCTGTTGTATAAAATAACTTTGGGAATAACAATGAGGAGAGAAATGGCATACATATGTAAGACAGTAAGACTAGAGACTTTGACGAGTGCTCTGTATTCATACATATTTGTAGAATGTGTATATTTCTCTTTGTAAAATAATCGTAAAATATTTTAGCATGTTATATACATATTAAATTGCATAGCAGATTTAAAAAATGCTGTGTAGCTTATTGAACTCTATAGAAATTCTACCTTCCTATTATTCTTCAATTAAAATGAATTTTGTACTATACATATAACATATAACATATAACATTATACATAACACATAATATTGCAATTGTGTGCGTAATCTTTCATAATAAAAATATCCACAAAAAAGGGTTTATTAAATAAAAATGTTCCTCTAAAAATACACAGTATATGGCATTTTAAAATAAATTGCCATAATTCTTTTAATTCATTTAAAAAAAACTTTTTGCAAGCACACAATTGTAACTATTTAAAATATATTTTATAAGAAGAGGTCATTTGTTCCAGGAAAATAAATGTCAAGACTGTGTGAGGTCCCAAACGTGCATAATATGGGAAGAATCCTTTCCACAATGCAAATAATCCTTCATTTCTTACGACTTTAGTCAGAACATCAATCGCGCCCGTAAACTCTGGCTTGCCATTTATTGTTTTCATGTTTTGAATTCTAGAAAAAAGATAATGCAAAGATAATTTAAATTCTAAATTAAAAGAATGTTAATTAATTGAATTTTAAACATAATCCTAAATTGTTAATAATTTACCTTGTTTTAGCTATATCGACAGGCATGGAAGCAGCAGTGGTGACTAAACCAGAGATCATTGAGCTCGCAAAGTGCAGTACAATATTTTTCCTCAAAATATCCTATTAAAACAAAAAAAGATTATAACAACCATAAATAGTAATTTTCAACAATTTTATATATACACATATTTAATATTTCTATAATAAATACCTGTATCTAACAATGCTTGTTTTGCTTGAGAATACGATGCCAATTGTGCTGCATTTACAACCATGGCACGACCCATAGTAGGAATGGCACCACGCCATAAAGTAAAGAGACCTTCCTCTTTGATTATACGGAATAATGCATCAAACACATTTTTGTAGTTGCGTCTCTCCGCTGTATTAAAATATTTAAAAAAATTAAATTATGTGTGTATAGATATGTAATTGTATCACGTAAAAGAAAAAAATAATTTACCAATAGGCAATCTTCCATCTGCCGTCATTCTAATTAAAGCTACTTCAGCAGGTGTACCTACAAATGCTCCGACACACCCAGCTACCATACCAAGTAATGCTTTTACGATAAAACTTGGTTGAGCATCTTGTCTAGAGAAGTCAAATGTATATCATTTATATGTATTGTATCATATTTATCTCTTAATCCAATTCTCTTATATTATTATAAAAATTTCTAAATTGTACATGATTAACTTACGAAGAAATCTCCATAAGCCAAGTATATATTCCAAGTCTAGTGGTAGTATATGTAGCCTGTCGCATTAAACCAGCAGATAAGCCGGAATATAATGCCAAAACACCTTCATTTTTTAAAATTGCTGATGTAACACTTAGTGTTGATGTTTTTGTACCACTTAGCTGCATGCGATTTTTTATTAAATCCAATGGCTGTACAAAACATGTTGCTGCCATACTGCAATTAAGTAAATGACTTTTAACAATCATCTATTATAATGTATTATAGAACAAATATTTTATGAATTAAATATATGTATAAAATTTGATTTTTCCATAAAATGTTTTATTTTATATATAATTAAAGAATTATATTAAATTTACTTTGTACTTTTTTAATGTATATATAATTTATTAATTTAATTAAATTTATTATATATATTAAATTATTACATAATACAAAATAATATATCAAAATCAATTTTAAAATATTTTATATCATATTAAAATTATTATAAAAATTTAATAAAAAATTGTATATTTTTCCAGAAATTATATACATGAAAAGTTGTACATTAGTCCAGGGTTAAGCTATTTATAGTTTGCTATTAAGATATATGCACTTATTGCATCATCTTGAAATAACACGTCTATTTCTTTTCGTTTTTATAATTATTAACAAGTACTTAATATCAGCTAAAGTAATCAATAAAAAATAACTGGCGTAATCTGAAGAATTATGACCATTCGACCTTCAAACCTCGGTGATTGCAAAACACTGATAATTATCAAAAAATAATTAAAACATTTCAAAAAGACACATTGTTACAATTCCATTCGTTCACAAATATTATAGATACATATTCAAGATAAGTAAAGAAAGAGGAAAAAAGGAAAAAAAACAAACCCAGAAGTGCCACCAATTAGGAACTTGACACTGTTCGGCACCGTCTTCTGGCCACTCATTTTGACCTGGATTTCGATAAAACCAATTAATTGATTGAATGTCGCGTCGACTTGTATTAATCGTAACTTGTTGCTCGCTCTTTGTTAAACGAAAATTGACGATGATCGCGGAAGCCCACACACAGATGTAAATAGAAAAATTTTGAAAAAGATCCCTCGAAGGACCTCGCCGGGTGCACTGGATCGCACTGGATCGCGAAGACGGAGAGGAAATCTGTCGCGATTGCCCGACCAATCCAGGCCGTGTCATTCGTTATCAGCTGATACGGAAGTCCGAAAATAGCGCCACCTTTTCGCGGCATCGATAATTCCAAAGTAAATTTATAATGGCCTTGAAATATTCGGGATCTGCTGCGAACGTAGGCGCCAAAATGTCATATTATCTATGAGGATATATTTTTAGCATCCTTGCACAGTCGTATATATAAGCATTTGTGTATTAGATTCTTGCTTTTGCGAGATTACGTAGACATAAAAAATATACACTTTTCCTGGAATCGCTATACCTCCTGAAATTTTTCGATAGCATCATCAATATATATATATATATTCAATAAACAGGGTTAAGTAAAAAATAACTATTTTAACTTAGCTCTGAATACTATTATTGTGTTTTTACAAGTTATAAACATATTATTTTTAAATTAAAGTATTATTATAATTATAATAGTTATTATAAATGTTTAAAACATCAACAAAATTCGAATTTAATATAAATAATATATTTTTAAAAATTAACTTTTGATTTAACTTCAGTTAATTTAATTTTAACTTAGTTAATTTTCTGTTTATACAACTTTTAATTTAGTTTAAAAGAATCATTAACTTACCCAATATTGTCAATGAGTAATAAACTAACGTCATTAAATGTCAAAATGACATTTTGACATTTTGACATTTTGACGTCAAACCTCATAATATTTTCGTAATAATTTGTTCATTTTTTCAGAGTTTTGATTTTCATGATTTGCGAAATAAATCCTCCCTACTTTAACAATTGTGCGCATCTTCGTATAATCGCCTAAAATTGCTGAACTTCGATAAAATGAAAAGAACATCACTCTTCTCTTTTCTACGGTCTCACGCAACTGGATGCATTTCGTTTGATATGCTACTAAAATTTCAAATCGTTCAATTGACCAATCAAAACGAAGGGCGCAGGTTTTCTTCGTTCTGCCACTAGGGACTTTATAGAGACTGAATTGAGTTCCAAAATTTACCGCTCCGAATAATATTCGATCGACCAATCAGAACAAAGGAAAGAAAAATTTCTTTATCCTGATTGGTCAATCAAACTCTATTCTATTCCAAACAGTAAATATAACCTTGAAATGCTCAGTATATTCTTCTTCTTCAAGAAAAAAAAGAGATAGGTAGCAAACCCTCTTTCTATCTGATTTTTTATTTATTTTATTGGTCGATAGTTGATTTCTTTCTCTATCTAGCATGTTGGAAAAAGAAATAGACCAGTTTTACCTTTCTCTACCTTTTCCTTCTATAGATGTACACTCCTGAATAGTAAACAGTTTATTGTTCACTCTGTGATTTCTCTTAAATTCGCGTATAAATCTTTACTTCTGCTCCTTGTCATTTAAAAGAAGAAGAAGACATTTCACGTTTGAGATTTAATGAATTTGGTAAATCTAAAAGTCATGTCAGTTTATACATCAAGAAAGAAAGAAAACGTCGAAACCTCTTCGATTTTATATAATATAATGCATATTTATATGATTTTTATTTATGTTTTATTTTGATTTCATCTTTTAGAATTTGGATTGGACACATGGTTTTTATGATCACATGTATATATATGTATTTCTTATTGTAATCACATGTATACATGTATATCTTATTGTTAGCTCGAGTTGGAGTCTGATTAAAGTTTTGGAGTTTTTTAATCCTCGCAAAGTGTCAAATAAATTGATATATCCGATCATGAAGCCAACGCTCGTGGCTGATGAAATGTTTCCCGAAGGAGCTGGACCTTACGTCGAGTTAGACGAGGTAATGCGAATTAAAAATGTATATAATGCTTTGACGATAGATTAGATAGCAAAATATCAATGATATGATTAATATAACAATGTCAAGAGTTTCACAGCAACTTAAATTACAAATTCGTTTATAGTAAGCAATTTCTTTATATAATTTCCAAATAAAGTTACTTAATATAATTTACATATAAAATATTGATTTCAGGTTGGTGGTAGTAGGTTATTGGTAGATCTTACAGCAAGCGAAAAAGCTGTTCATGCAGATTTTCACAATGGTACATCTAACCTACGCATATTTCTTTTTAATAATATAATAATAAATTACCACAATTTTATTTATTTTTTTTTTATTTTTTTTTAGATGGTAAGAATTACCTAGCTAGCAAAAAATTTTCATCTTTCTCTGAAAATAATCAAGATTTAGAACAAAATAGTTTACAAACTGTGTCGAAACAAGTCCATTCTGATTGCATTAATGGTATTTTAAATATTATTTAATTTTTTAATATATATGCATGCATGTATAGGCAGAGTAATCATTTTTATACGTTATTTATAGATAAAGGAAAACAGTTATAGTTTTTATAAATAATAATAATCCAAATTAACAGAATATACGGTTAGTTTATTGAAATAATTGTTTAATTTCAGATTTTGATGATTTGTTCGATGATGATGATTTGGACTGAAGCATTCCTAAAGAATTAAACTATGCGATACTTTTGCAGACTGCAATTAACTTAGCATTAGAGCGGAAAATTTCTGATTTTCATAAATCCATGAAATATTGTATAATCAATCATGTATCATCAGTTGCATTCAGCAGAAGCATAGTATTGGGTTAACACTCAGTACTGTATGTATATCAATAAATAAAGAATTTCACTAAAGCTTATCAATTTATACCTGCTCATACTTTACAATTTGTTGATTTTTTATTCAGCGCAAGTGTGTTTAATTGAATTAATAGTGCTAACTTTATATATTGTTACAAATAACATTAAAACATTTGCGAAATATATATAATTATATATACTATACTATAATACTTATGTGTGTGACATACTGTTTAATATATTGGGAAAACAAAAGCGTTTAAGAAAATCATGCAACAATTGTAAAGTTATTTTTCTCTGCTGAATGCAGCCATCAAATTTATCATATGTTTATATATATATGTATATATATATATATAATAAAGATATGAAAAATGTTTCTTTTAAGTTTGCTGTATAAAACTACTGCAAACTCTTACATAGTGTGTTAATATATATCCTTTCTTCTCGAAAGACTAACCACAAACTACAAACTTCATATTATAACATTATTACAATTTATTTGTATTTTTAATTCGAGTCAGATGTGTGCCTGCATCTATCATACGTCATTTTACTGCGTACCACAGACAAATGTTATTATAAACGTGCCATAAGAAAATGAGTACTGGTCAATATGTCTTGTACACATAATAATATTGATACTGTAAGATTATATTTTATAATACATAGACGCTAGTCATATAAACTTGTATGACGATGCACAGTTAAAATATAGCACCCCATTATTTCAGTCATTCTGCATCTGCTCCGATCACTCCATGCACGTGCATCGAACTATCTTATTACTTGATACGAAAGAAGAGCCACTTATAGATTTGCCAATTCTCTCAGCCCAATTAATTGCTACGTTCTCTCTCCTTGGCCCCAATAAACATATATTTGCTTTGACCATTCTCATTTACTTCAATCGATTTACTTTCCACTCGCGACAATTATCAACTCCTCTATCCTTGTTCGATGTGTGTTAAAAATTGGCGACCGGGGTGAAGAAGATGTTGGCAACAGCGGCGATATTATTAACGTTGACATTGCTGATGATAGTGGCGAATATCCTAAAATTTAAATTGTTTCGATTTTAATTATATTTCATTATATCTTATATATATAATTATATCTTCAAGCATATCTGTTATTAATTATGTATTGAAGTAATGATTACTATATAAAAAAATATAATTATTAAAACTAAAAATTACAATATAACAATATAAGAAATGAGAACTTTATACAAACCCTGAGTCTAGCCTTTGAAGAGTTATTCGGGGTGCTAGTTAACTTCCAGATCACTATCAGCCTGATCATCCTGGTCGCTTTCTTCGTCGTCGTCCTCCTCTTCCGAATAGTACTGAGACGGTGGTGATAGAGGATCTTCTGACAATGAAGTATGTGAGGACGACGGTGGTCGAGAACCCTCCAATTTGATGTCTAAATCCTCCATCGATGTACTTGGACCAGGAATAGTTACTGGAATAAACTTTTCTAGATCCCCTGATGCCAACTCTGCAATGCAGCCATCAATTTTAGACGAGAATACAAATGGAAACTTAAATGTGTACAAAATAAATTATAAATAACATACGTTCTACATATTTCTCAAGCGATTTCGGAACCATTATTTTTGCCTTTTGTAAATTTTCCTCGGTGCATTCCCCTTTTTCTAATCCTAAAAAAACATTTTGCATTAATGTACATTTACAAAAGATAAAACAATATTGTGTATAAATACTTATATAAAAAGTAGAATCAATAATATATTTTACCAAAAGCTAGACCCATTTGCTTTAGAACCTCAATATCGTCATGAATTTCAAACTTATCATTAAAATTAAACAGGTACTCAGTTCTGTAAAAAGAATTAAAGAAATGTATATATCAATACTATGTTTTACAATTACATATATTGCAACACATACTTGTCATTTGAAATGCTGCAGTCTATGACAGTCTTTTTACTGGTATTCACAATGAGGAATGGCAGCTGTATGGCAGAATTAGGTTTCGGTGGCCCGCGAAGACTCTCATGCAAACGATTACGTTCAACTAAGTTCTTGAAAGAAATGTGAGAGAGAATAAGCTGATGTAGCTGCTGCGTTTTAGCCTTAATTCTCTCAATCTTCTTCTTTTTATCCTTCTCTAGAGCTACGCATTCTTGTAATGAATTAGTTGGCAAGCCAAGCCACCTAATTTCCTTTTTCTCTTTGGAAATGATATTCATTGCCATTAATACGTTCAAAGCGTCGTATACGCGTCTTCTGATATTTTTCTGATCATACTGCTGAAAAAAGATGTGCCATGTCAAATATAAATTCAATTAACAATCTAATATGTATATACATATGTATAAAACGATAACTTTATACAATATGTGAATATTAGACGAGATAAACACCTGATCTGTTAGAGAATTCATATGAGCGGGATTAGTAAATTCACCGACCAACTCATCTGCTACTTCATTATAAGAAGTGGTGCCCTTCTTCTTTACCTTCTCACAAACTTTCATTGAGAAATGTCTCAATCCTTTACCAACTTTTTCTGTTTTTCTCCGTTTACTGCAATACATAGAAACGGTATAAAATAAAATACAACTCAAGATTTTGAGAAAGTATATCACGAAATCGCAGGAGGAAACAAAGCTCGTCTTTGTTCTCTATATAATTAAAATGTACACAAAACATTGCATTACTCAGGCACAAAATCGCCACTGTCAGCGTCTTGCCTCTTCCTAGATCCACTGTGATCCAGTATTGGGCTGATAAAAGTTTTTCCAGTAGCATCTTTAACGATTTGCGAAGTATTAGACTGCTGCTGCTGCTGCTGTTGTTGTTGTTGATGCTGTTGTTGTTGAGACACAATAGCCTGTTTTATGTCACTCTAAAAAGAAATTATATATATTTAATGTAAAATTTAATTCCTTCAATTAAAACATTACAAAATTGTTTTCTACCATCTGTGCAGAAGTCAACTGTATAGTCTTGGTCATCATAGATTCCCCTGCTTTTGATGTTGCCATTTTAGTATTCTGCAAAGGTATTGTTACTAATCCTGCAAGAAAATCCTTTGTGTAATATTGTTGCATGTAATGTTGTACAAAAAGTTTGCTTTTGAAATAAAATATACTCACTCTGACCTGGTGTAGATGGACTCTGCAAACTGATAGTCCTAAGAACTTGGGTATTTGATGTCAAAACCTAGTTGCAACATATACAAATGTAATAATTGTAAAAATCTATTTGCAAATATTCATACTGCATAAGAGAAATGGAAATATATATTAAAATAGAAATATACTTTTGAATATACAATATATATGTATATTACTTAATAAAGTGCTCTCTTTTGAATGCACTATGATATGTAACCTTTGCACATTAAGTCAATACTATAATTGTTGTAAAACTGAGGCAAGTACCTGTGAGTCTTGATTAGGAGTTTTAAACACTTTAAGGCCACCTGCATTTGCAACAATACTACCTAATGTTTTATTAGGTGTACTCTGCACTACTTTTATCACTTGTGGGTGCCCTGCAACAAATTTTTTACTTATGTACAATTGTTTATGAATTTTTGCCTCTGCAAACAGAATATTTTAAGTCTTTCTTCTAAACAGAGAAAACTCTAAAGTAACATTGAAGTTTAATGTTTACATACATATTTCCTTCAGTCCATAATGAACATATGATTACAAATAAACATGATGCAATATTAAGAACACATTTAATTAATGTTGCATACTACAAGTTACAGTAATTTTGTTATTTTAAGCAAATAAAAACGAATGATCAAAATATGCATGTTTATAAAAACAGATATGCAATTATACTAAAAATATAAATAAATTTCAATTTATAGTTTCTGATACATTTGTTTTATAAGTTTTCAATCAATTTCAACGCATCTAAAAACTCGAGTAACTGATATGCATCATTATACAGTTTATATAAAATCACAAAATCTTTTGTACGTATATAGCTCAACGCTCTCTAGAAATTGTCAGTAATCAAGTATAGAACCTGTCAATAGACATTATGAGTGTACACCTGAAGGCAAGCAGATGAAAATATGCTCATTCAAGTCCCAACTGTTCAGTCCTTACTCAATACTCGGAGAGACTATCAAGAGCGTTCCAGCATTTTCCTCAACTAAAATTATTTATTGTGCAAAGTCGAAGCTTCTTTTTCAAGTGCAAAAATAAGACCCTGATATTAATTGAAACTTGGTATATTCTTAAAGCCAAACTGCTAAATTAATTTTAGAGAGGAATCAAGAAAAAGAGGATTCTTGTAGCCTAGGAATGTCAAATTTTATCGAAACGCGTTTAGAGGGGGATGAAAAAGCATAAAACCGTAAATATCGAAAGAAAATAAGGATCTCTCGACGAGAATGTGTCCTCCCGCTATCGAACGCGTCTCTCCGAGACAATCGACACGGTAGTGCGTAGATAAAGAAACGTCAAAACGGCAGCTGGGCAAAATTAATCTCGAAAAATATTGAAAAAAGCCCTCGACCTCCTCGGGGGAGGAAATTCGCGACCCGGGGATGGCGTTTCTCGACGCCGCCGAGAGGATGCAAGAGACGGGCGCGTTCTCTCTTTCTCTCTCTCTCTCTCCCTCTCTCTCTCCCGGGAGTACAGGATAAGGAGAGACGGAGGGGCGAATTTTCCCTCGAGGCCGCGGATCTTTCTCCAAGACCCCGGGGCCGCTTACGCGGGCTTCCTCGGGGAAGCTCGTGGAAACCCGCGTCGCAGGAAGTTTCGGAGGCGGATCGGACGCGACGATGCCCCCGTATTGGCGCGCATCTCTCCGCTCGGATATCACTTACCGTTAGCGTCGTGTATTAAGAAGTTCATCGTTTTATTTTGCTGCGTCATGTTCCGGGCGGGTTATTTCGGCGTCGTTCGACTGTGGCGGATTCCGCGGATGGGCCGTACAGTAAAGGGAAATAAAAGGATCATAGGGCCTACACTTTGCTCGGCACGTCGGCTCGCCGTATCACCAAAATGGCGACCCCGCATATATAAAGCATTTGCGACGTTTGCTAAGCGCGTAAGCTCCCGCGAGGGTTTCGCCCCGTGAGCTGCGACGACGCGACGTTTCCCTCTAAAGCGACCGCCGTACCATAATTAACACGGACCCGGAATAATCGCGCTCAGATCCTGCGGCCAGTCGGTACCCGCAGCTTCCGCGTGCACACGGACTGGAAATGAGCTTGGCGGCACGACAAAGCTAAACAGCTGATTGGCCGCCCGCCGGTCACATGGTCGTCCTCGTTCCACGTTTATCGCGCCGCCTTCTCTCCTCCCTACGCCTCCCATTCTACCGCGCCACCTGGTAGACGCGTATTGCGGATTTTGCACCGCGCATGCATTCGCGGATATATGCGAGAGGGATGCGTCGTGGACTCGCTTACTGCGTTGTTGTAAAGCGCTTGAAATGGGTTTATTTGCATGCATGTACGCCCATATATTACGTTAGAAGAAAACAGAAAAAGCCGCCGATGAAGGATCATTTGCGATAATTATCCACGCGCGATGTGAGTGATGATAAATATATAGTGATATAATCAAGTTTCTATCTGTAATATTAGAGCAGAATATTTTATATAAATTTTGACATTTCGTTTGACACTTGATATATATTTTGTCAAATAGGTCTAAATTATTATATAAAATAATATCTAGCTATTGTTGCTTATTGATATTGAATTTACAAAGGTATGTATTTTTGTATGTATATATATACTTTTTAGTGAATATTAATCTTGTTGAAGAAATATTAAAATTTTGAATTACGAATTTATTCCAATAACTTTACAAGCGTGATTCTTTTTTTTTTTTAAATGCGCTATATAAGTCTCTAGGTTAGTAACGTCTTATTTTATTCGGTACATTTAATTTGAAAATTTGAACATAGTGATTGGTTAAGGAATTTCTAAAGTTTCTGTCAAATTTTCATCGACAATCAATTAATACGTGTTTGAAACGTTTTGTCGCGTGAATGTAAAATCAGCTTAAAGTCATGCATTGTTTTGTTGACAGTCAGCTGATTGGCCAACGGATAGAAAATTTCTAGGGTTTTAAAGGTTCCTTCACTACAAAATTCATTATTAATTTTATTATTATTATTATTCATTATTAATAGTTATTAATATTTATTATTATTCATTATTAATTATAAATGATAAGTTCGTGGCGTTTTATATTGTAGATTTGTAATTTTTAACATTAGAAATTTTCTAATTTCAAACAAAATTTTAAGAATCAATTTTCATATTTGAAAATTTTTAAAAGCACGCACACACATAAAACACAACAAAAATATGTGTTAATACATGACTTGTTCATTTTGATATTTTTTTGCGCACGATGTCTTTCGTATTTTCAAACGAAATATACATGTATAATGAGACGAAAAGCTGTTTAAATTCGCGCCAACGCAAATTTGCATTATAAATTGACGTTTAGTATTTAAATGAGCCGCGAATTTTAATAAGTAACGGCGCGCAGTGTCATTGCGCAAGCATAATGACACATATTTCGATTGACGTATACGTGCACCTCTCCACACACGTCATAGAGGAAATAATCGCGGTATAGTGTGTATATACGCTGCTGTATACGCTGTACAAATTAGTTTTCTCTCTTTCTCTCTCTCTCTTGCTCTCTCTCTCTCTCTTTCGTTTGTATATTAAACTATATAGGTAAGTCATATATAAATATTAACATTTGGTACTCCTTTTCAGCTTCTTTTATTCTGCGTGTAAAAAATATTTACAATCGCAATTTTTAAACTTTTGAATATTATTTACAAAATTAATGATTATGATATTATAAATATTTAAATCGTGCTTCATGTAATTGCATTTGTATGTGTTGATATTTTTTCTGTAGTCTGGATCATATTTCTTTGATGAATAAAGTTTAATTATTAATATTTCGAGACAAGAGTGCTATTTTGAAGTGATTATCGATATTGTTTAATGGACAAAGATGTTTTATATACAGTTATATTTATAGAAAATCAATACTTTTAATTTTCATCCAATAGAGCTTGTAAGGATTCTTGTGTCTGCAGTGTAATGTGTCTTTCTAATTGTTCTTTTTTTCTTTTCATACGTTTTATAATAATAAATTGTTTTTTTGTAATAAATTAATTTTATTACATAAATTCTGTTTACAGAAAAATGAGGAGTGGCAGCAGATTACTAAAAGTTCTCCTGCAAGCTTCAGAGAAGGCAGCAAACATTGCCAGGACTTGTCGACAAAAGGAAGCTCTATTTCAATTGTTAGTACAAGAAAAGTCCTTAGAAGAAAAGAATCCTCGTTTCTTCCAGGATTTCAAAACCTTAGCTGATGTCCTCATTCAAGAAACTATTAGACATGATATAGAAATTGAGGTAAAAAGAAAAAGAGAATATATGATACATATTTTTATATAATATAATACACTAATGAAAAGAATGTCAATTTACTTTCATCATACTTCAAACTTTCTCATTGCACTGTGAATAGTTTCCAGAGCTGGCTAAACTGGTGCAAGGCGAAGAAACTAATGTATTCAGTAATACTTTAGGAGAATCTATTATTGTTGAAGTCTGTTCATGCAGTAAAGACACAACGCAACTACTGACTAAAGTTATGGGCAACGATGCTGTGGCAGCAGAACTGCTTGCTGCTGAAGTCCATAAAGATGTTCAACTCTCAGATGTGCCAATCATGTTAGAGATTCCCACTGATTTTGACATCAATGTTGATGATCTTGGTATTTGGATAGATCCAATCGGTAAGTATACTGGTCTGCAACAGACAATAATTTTAGATTACAATATATTCAGTTGATATTTAGTAAGTTTAAATTAATTCAGGGCAAGACTGAAAAAAAAAATACAAAAGTTGGACAATATTATGGTAAAAGTCTCTCTCTCTAAGTCTCTCTTGTTACTAAGAATCGTAATTGGCCTGTAAACTGAGACGCAACGCTTGTAAGAATTTCTGTTTGTTTTGTAGTTTGATAATGCATGCCTGTGGAGCAATTCGTGGAACTTTTGTAGATTCAACAGCAGATTACATAAGTGCAACGGAGGTCGTGGACGAGCAGACTGGTTTACATTTAAGTGGTTTACGTTGCGTCACTGTATTAATTGGAGCATATAAGAAAAGTACTGGAGTACCAGTTTTAGGTGTAGTTAATCAACCATTTTACACCAATGTCGATTCGCAGTAAGTAGAAACGATATATTTTTAATAAATTTAAAATATAAGCTTTTCCTTATTTATACTCCATATATATATATATATATATATATATATATATATATATATATATATAAAATTTGTTTGAAAGTATTCCACTTTCCTATTCATGATAAGTGGAGGAATTATTTATTCTTATAATAGTATAACAAATATATTAATTTATCTGTATGTAAATAATATATTCTACATTTTATTATACTATATTAACTGAACAGATGGACGGGAAAGTGCTACTGGGGTTTTCTGGGAGGTGGTATTAGCAAGTCTTCCATAAGTGATACGTGTAACGCCGATAAGATCATTTTACTCAGCCGTTTTGAAGATGCAGACGTGAAATCAAAGTTGTTAAACAACGGATTCAGATTAATAGAAGCACCTGGAGCTGGTTACAAGATACTGAGCGTCGCTCTTGGACAAGCGGCCGCTTATATTTTGTCAAAGGGTTCAACTTACAAGTGGGATACGTGCGGACCACAAGCACTTCTTTTATCGGTAGGCGGAGGCATCATCGAATTTAAAGAGTTTATTGTAAATCCAAATTCAGAAAATCTGAGCGTGAATTATTTACCTATTGGTACGAATTTTTCTAATCGTGCAGGCTTGATAGCATACAGAGATCCTCAAATTTTGGAAAGTTTTAAATGTATTTTATGTAAATCAGCCAATTAAAATTAAAGAAAAAATATTGTGACAAAGATGTGTCATGATAACATCTGATAATATATTCTGAAAATTTTCTCGATAATTACGTATTATAATTTATATCTGATTATATAAGTAAACTATATTCATTCCATATAAATTTTATGTAAAAGGTCTAGATGATGTTTTTATGAAATATCTTTAGTGATTATTTTGTGATATTATCTGTAGATGCTAATTCAATTGTATAAGATGTTTATAATACAGATGACGTCCAATAATAAACTAATATGATAATATCTATTGCGTGTGTGTATGTATGAATAGATTATTATTATTTGCTTAATTGATGTTAATTGTGATATAAATAATGGGTCCAAATATAGATTCGATATGTATACACAATTGTGCATATTTTTATTTTTATTTGTTATACAATTATAAAAAGCGATTTCCTCTTAAAAAATAGAAATCTTACATTAAAATCTTATAGATTTTATATATTTCTACATTATATATTTATTGTTTATTGTGCAACTCTAATATCTATCATTCCTTCTCCGCCGTGATAAGGTGGCGTGGTTGATTGTGGTTGATTGTTATTATTATTATTATTATTGTTGTTGTTAGGAGTTTCTGATGTTTGCGGGAATAACGGTGGTAATCTGTTATTATTAGTGTTAGAATTAGTAGGTTCTTGTTCGACGACAATAATCGGTTGTTCCCATTGATTTCCATGCTGATGACGATTTCCTTGGTGTCCTGGATTTTGCGATTGCCACCATGGTCCTCCACCAGGATGCTGTCGTCGTGTGTTATCAGTAGCGATAATCATCTAAAAAATTTTATATTTAACTGTATATTTATATATTATTTTTTTACACAGTATTTTGTCATTTTAATTTTTAAACACTCGAAAAGTCAATTTCGAATATTGTTCCAGGGTTCAAAATAAACCATATATGTATATATTACATCTTTATAATTGATATTTTATTTTATATAAAAAATATTTTTCAAGTGTTGAGAAAAATGCATATATATGATTTAATAAATGTATTGATTTAAGAGAATTAAAGAATTTTAAAATTATTGTAATTATATATTAAAAAAATCTTATTAAGAAAAGCTCAAGTAATATAAAAACAAATATATAAAATAATATAAAAAAAATTAAAATAGAATAAAAAAATTTTTTTTAATTAAGAACGAAAAAAACAAAATTAATTCTATAGACGCTTATATATACATATATATATATATATATATATATATATTTATATATATATATATAGATAGATATATAGATATAAAAAATCCATAATTTAATGAAATTTTGTGTGCTCCTAAATGCAATATATTATACCATGTCATTTGTTTTCGGATTTTGGCAAACCCATTCGACATCGGAACCATATATATTATTTTGATTCTGCTGTTGCTGCGGATATGCCCAAGGACCACGGCCAGGATAATTAAATCCTCTTCCATTTCCGGCACTATGGCCATAATATGGCCATCCTTGATGAGCTTGAGCCTCGACGGCTACGAGTAATGCGACCACAATCAATAGCGCCTTCATTATTAACTAAAAGAAAAAATCGATGTAGTGGATAAATCACATGATTAATGTGGAATTATATAATCTATATGCTACAAAAATTTTTGTTGAGCGTTGAAATTTGTGTTTTTTCAACCATGTATATGCTTATATAATATTACTTAAAATAATATGCAAAAAATTGCTGATTCTCAGATAAATTTGAAATGTATATTACACAACTTGCCGACATTAAAATATAATTGCAAAATGAATTGCATTATGTAAGATACACAATATTGATGCAAAGTAAAATTAATATTCAGCTGAGCACGATTGTGTGAGCTACGTCATCTATACTTTAAGAATTGTGGTATAAACACAAGTTTCAAATATAAAATTGACAAATTATGAACAATTAAAGATCACGTGACACTCGAAAACTAAATTTTTATATTTTGACAAATAATACATAATATATTAATTTTAATCACAATATAATACAACATCACAGCACATAATTTTAATCACAATACAATTCAATCGCAATTTCTTAAAATCGATTACATAACTCCACAGCGTTTTCATTACTTACGAATGTTGAAGAGAGGAATTAAGAGCCGAATTGACAGGGAAAACCGCACTTAAAGAATGACGGAACACCTCAACGACGTTTCCTTATATAGCAAAATTGACATGCATATAAGTAAAGTTCCGCGTATCCGCTATCGAATTGAATCCAATTGACCACAATCAACTGTAAAATGACTACTGATTTAGATCGATCAACCAATGAAATATATCGGCAAATAATGACGATGATACGATCAAAGATTTAGTCAAGGAAGAAATGATGACTCTTGCGTTCATCGGCCGATTAGGATTTTTTTCTCACTCTGAGTCGTCGTCGTAATACCGGTTCGGGATTTTGATAAAACAGGTATATATCGCAAAGTTACGGGAATCACTGCGGCTGCCGCTATCATTAAGCATTGAATTACAGGACGTGCAAACCGGCGGTTCGTCGCGGAATTATTGTAATTTATGTCACGGTTCATCACCGCTTGTGTATGCGGTATGTTTAACGTATGTATGAAAGGTCAATGAATGTCGCATGCCGAATACGCCGCACTTTTTTTCTTTCAAACATTTGCGGATAATTGCACTGAACAAAAAAATATATTGAATTCGAATATTTATTTCAACACTGGCTTCTAAATCTTTTTTAAACTAATAATTAATATATATTGATTCACTATGCAAAAAAATATTTATTTGATATAAGAAAATCCTTTTCAAAGCAGATAAATATTATTTGTTTCAAATAAATTATTTCTAAAGCAATATTGAATTATAAAAATATTTTTAATTTAATAATTTCTTTTTTAATGTAGCTTTCAATAATTTATCTCGGTATGTGTAATCGATCTCACAAAAAAAGATCATATAAATAAATTTTTATTTTATAGTTGCAAAATCCATCAAGTTTGATTGCAAATCTCTAATTAACTAATTTAGAAGAATTGACATAAAAATATTTAAATAACTTAATTTTAAATGCATGATTAAATTTCAAAAACTCGGTACTTAAAACTGTAAATACTTGTTCCTTGTTTTATATAAACGTCCAATCAAAGAAATAATACATTTTAATACTTGTTTCAACATTATTTGATAATAAAGAAATAATTTTATTATATTATGAAAAAAGAATTTTATTATTTAATAAAATCTAAATTAGGATCTCTCATCAAATTAAAATAAAAGTAATATCTTGGAAAATTGGATAATAGTGATAATAAACGATATTCAAATAAGATAAATTACGGTGCAAAAAATATTTTTATTTAATTTTATATCTATATCTTCATTACTTAAAAAATTAGTTTGTATTGTTATTTTTTACAATTTTTAAGATTTATAAAATAACTAACATATATAAAACAGTAACTTAAAACATCGTACACAGCATATGTGAGTCGTTATAGTATATATATATATATATATATATATATAAATATGTCTTCATACTTAATTAAATAAACGCACACATGAGGCGAAAATACAAAAGTTTGTAGGTACACATTTTAAACTTGATAATCATTAATATAACATAAATAAATTATATATATATATATATATATATATATATATATGAAAAAAGTTTTGTATTCCATGTAATAATAATGTAATTATAATTATAAAAATGTATATTTATTTTAATTATTCAAACATATAATATATATGTATATAGTGTATATATTTTAAATATATATATTTTTAAGTTTATATATATTAAATATATGTTAAAGAATTCACTATATTATTCATTATAACATACATATATATTTGACATATTTCGTTCCTTTATATATCCTAATTTTTATATGTAATAATAATAATATAATAAAATATTATATTTTTATAAATATTTATAATTAAAATAAATATATAATATTTTTAAAAAATAACAGGCATTAATGACAAACTATGTCTTACAGTTATTTGTAGTGTGAATTCTATTATTTTAAAAAAAATATTACTGTGGATATTTTTTTTACCTGTATACACAATATTTTCAGAAGTTTTTAAACTCTCTCTCACATTATCCACATTAAGAACGATGGAAACGGATCCATAGAAATGGTCTTTATTGTTATTTTCCTGTTTGGACAAATAAACGTTCACTTTAATCAGAGGCAACTTTAATTGAGCTCAATATAAATAATTGCTTGACAAATTTTTTATCTTCATAATTTTTCTTCTCATCAGAAGAATAGAGTCTGTAGAGTTCCATCTGATACGACACTTAATAATGACATATACTTTTCTTTATTTTTTAAATTACTTTCAAAATTCTATATTTTATATTTTATTCATACTCTATTTTTCGCATCTCTATGCAGTTCTCTATAGATTCCTCTATACTTTCCTCTTTAAATTCCAAAAACTTAAATTTCGACATTTTTTCTTTTTGTCTATCAGGTAAAAAAAACTCGGATATTTTATCAAGACCGATGAGCTTGTCTTCAACACGAAGGAAATAATGTACATTATTTCTTGCTTCTTCCTGTGACGTTTCCATATCATTTAAGGTTTTAAATATTTCTGCTTTTAACTCTTCTCTCGGCGTAAAAGAATTTACTGCTGCTTCATCAATTTCTTCGGCACTTTGTTCTTCTTTATCAATCATAGGTTTCGCTATGGATACTTTAATGTCATCTTTCAGTGTCGAACCTGTTTTATTGAGAAAATTATACAGATTATTAATTTTGTCTGTAAAATAAAATTGAATGTAAAGTCTGAGAATATAAGATAATATATAATAAAAGCAAAAGATTAAATTATCGCAATAATCTGTATTTTTTGCTCCAGAATCGACGCAGTCAAGTTATTAGAAACATTAAAATTCATACGTAAATTCTCACTTATATTATTCAATGATTTTGTATTTGTAGACTCTTCCATTGAGTAAAAATTGGCGTGCATATAGAAAGCCGTAAAACAAACACCGAATATAACAACGAACTATAAATAATAACAATATTACATTTAAATATAAAAAATTACAAGAAAAAGTACAAGAATTGCTGTAAAGTTGACCTTACATACGATAGTAATCTTTGACTAAGATTACTGCTATTTATTATACGTATAAAAATTGCTGCCGGAAATATGAAGATCATTCCTCCAATCGTCGATCCCATGATATTAAGAACAATCTCTAGGCTTGGTATTCGAATAGCAATTATCATAGAAGTGATGATTATTAAGATAGTGAGACATAGACATCTAAATAATGACAAATGACTGGCAAATAGTTTGTCAACTGATAACTAAATAAAGTATATAAATTAAGAATTACAATAATATTAAAACAATAAACTTATGTTTTTTTTAAAAGAATACAATTACGTTACGACATACCTTGTTACATAAAAGGGAATTCAAGCTGTTACGACAATTCATAATAACTAGGGGGAAACTGAATATAATCAATAATATGAATCCCATTTGAATCAGTGTGGATACTATGTTAGGCTGGAAACTCAGTAATATATTTCCTACAAATTTAATATAAAAACGATAAAAGTTGTGAACAACGAAATTGATAACAGTATAGAATAATATAATAGTCGGTGACATAGTTTATTTTAAGATAATGCATCAATTTTGTTACATTACCTGTGAGTGATTGACTATTATAAAAACAAATGTAACCAAACAAGCCAACAATTATATATATATAAGTACATTTATTTAATGCTTTTTTTGCAATATTATACATTAACGGTGAATATAAAGTCAAAGTCATTTTATATATTTCAAGCATTTGAATATGGCAGAAGGAAGCCATGAAGAATATTGGCAGGCACTGGAAAATGCCATCTAATCTCCAATAATTAACACTGTCTGTCCAATTTTCCGAATAGATGATAAAAAGAGATGTGATTACCATCTGACAATTAAAAATAAAGAAAAATATGAAGTATTAATATATTTTAAGATACAATTAGCGCTTATATTTTAATACATTTTCATGAATGCACACGTTGAATTATATTATACTCCCTTTACCTCTGCTGCAATCAAATAATAGAAGAATATCGTAAACTCATTCCAATAGTTAACCAAATAATAGAGATTTTGACGCAGTCCTAGAGGAAAAATTGTTGTAAATCCGATTATGATTATGCAGAGGATGCGATGTATCTCCAATGTTGTCTCTCCCGTCACATAGCTGATTATCTGCGATACCAAATCGCCGATGACGATGAAGTTGGCGACGCAAGTACCCAGCATAAAACCGATGATTAAAAGATGCGCGAGAAATTTCCCCGTCTGACCAAACGCGTGTGAAGCAAGTAGTACAAACATGCGTCTACCCACTTTTTCAATCGGCTTGATGAGAAAGTAACACGCAAGTCGTGACAAGATGTTACACAGAATTAACAGCAAAATGGCCAAGACGATGCCGCATTGTTTGAAGCAGAAGGGCATAGTTAGGAGACCCACCCCTACGAAGCTATTAATGGGAGACATCACTAGTGGTAATTGTAATTTTGTTATAAGTTTCGACAAAGCCTGAATCGACATAGTTGTCGACATATCGAAGTTTAAAGTTGTAACTCTTCCTCTTTGTCACAATGTGATGTCTCTTCAAATTCTTTTGCAATTATCAAGAGTCGATCCGGAAAGTCGTCTTGAGTGATATATTAATTATCTTGAAAAAAATAATTCAAAGTTTATAACAGAAGTTGTTACATTATGTTGCGCTACTCTTCATTCTCGCGATGTACCTTATTATTTTAAAAAGTATATATGTATATAATATATTCTTATGTTGTACTATAAATTTAAATATTAATTATATATGTATAATATAGCGACATACGTTAACTTACCTAAGAAATTCTCATCCTTCTAACGTCCTTATTGTCCGCAATACTAAGAATTTTCAGCTTCTATCATCCGCTCGGAGAAACAAAACAAAATAAACAACATTCTATTGTATAATTTACTTTACATGTATTATTCAAATTATAGACATTTTTAAATCTTTAAGATTTTATGGATTTTTCTGGATTTATAAAAGAAATTAGATACTTCACAAAATTACACATACAAAAATAATTTTTTACTTTTTAATTTTAAATAAAAAACTAATATTTTATATATATATATATATATATATATATATATATATTATTGTAGTCTAAAATATAAACACATAAATTATAATGCTCACGTGTGTGTCTTTGTAGGTATAAATTATAAATACATCAAAATATCAAGCAATAATTGCTATTTTTAATTATTAATATAAAAAGAAAATTTTTTGTTTATATTAAAATCTGAATTGAAATCATTTATCAAATATATAATTGTGGAAAATTGAATAATAGCGATAATAAACGATATATTCAAATAAAATAAATTACAGATTGTAAAAAATATTTTTATTTAATTTTACATGTATGTATATATAGATTACTTAAAAAATTAGTTTGTATTGTTATTTTTTACAATTTTTAAGATTTAGAAAAATTTATAAAATAGTCTAAGATATGTAAAACACTCACTTAAAACATCGTACTCAACATATGTGAGCCGTTATTATGTATAATATATAAATATGTCTTCACGCTTAATTAAATATACGCATACATGAGGCAAAAATAGAAAAATTGTTAGTACACATTTTAAACTTGATAATAATTAATATAACACAAATATATTATATATATATATATATATATATATATGAAGAGTTTTAATACAACGTATATATATTAATAATAATGTTATTATAATATTACAAAAATGTATATTTATCTTAATTATTCAAATATATATATATATATATTTTAAATATATATATTTCTTAAATTTATATATATTAAACATATAAATGATATTAATTCACTATATTATTTATTATAATTACAGATATATTTAATATATTTTGTTCCTTTATATCTCAATCTTTATATCTTAATTTTTATAATATGTAATAATAATAAGATTAAAAAATTTTTTAATAAATATTTATAATTAAAATAAATATATAATATTTTTTAAAAATAACGAGAAATTTATGACAAACATTGTCTTACAGTTATTTGTAGTGTAAATTCTATATTACTTACAGTTATTTGTAGTGTGAATTCTATATCATTTTCAAATATTATTGGATATTTTTTATGTTACATTATATTTTCAGAAGTTTTTAATCTCTTCCACATTATCCACATTAAGAACGATGGAAAGGGATCTATAGAAATGATATTTATTGTTATTTTTCTGTTCGGACAAATAAACGTTCGTTTTAATCACAGGCTACTTTAATTGTGCTCAATATAAATAATTGATAGTCAAATTTTTTATCTTCATAATTCTTCTTCTCATCAGTAGAAAAGAGTCTGTAGAGTTCCTTTTAATAAAACATTTAATAATACTTTATACTTTTCTTTATTCTTCAAATTCCTCTGTAAATTCTATATCTTTTATATTTTATTCATAATCTGTATTTCTCGCATCTATACGCAGTTCTCTATAGATTTCTCTACACTTTGCTCTTTAACTTCTAAAAACTCATATTTTATCTCACTTTTTTTTCGTCTATCAGGTAAAAAAATCTCGGATATTTTTTTAAGACCGATGAGTTTGTCTCCGACACGAAGGAAATAATGTACATTATTTCCTAATATTTCCTGTGATGTTTCCATATTATTTTCCCCAGAAGATTCCTTAAAGGAATACAAATTTCCCTTACTTTTCTTTTGCAGATTCACAGGTTGGTCCTTCTCCTTAATTATATTTACCTCATCTTTCGCTTTTAATGTAACAGATTTATCAATTTTAGAGCTTTTGGTATCTGCGGTAATTTGTGTCACAATTATATTCTCATTTAAGGTTTTCTTTTTTTCTACTTTTATTTCTTCTTTCGGCATAACAGAGGTTACTGCTGCTTTATCAGATTCTTCGGCACTCTGTTCTTCTTGATCAATCATAGGTTTCAATATGGATACTTTAATACCATCTTTCAGTGTCGAAACTGCTTTATTGAGACCATTATGCAGATTATTAATTATGTCTGTAAAATAAAATTGAATGTGAAGTCTGAGAATAAGATAATAAAAGCAAAAGATAAATTCATCGCAATATTCTATACCTATCGTTCCAGAATAGATCGCATTTAAATTCTCATATAAGGTTTTAAATGTTTCTACTTTTACTTCTTCTCTCGGCATAAAAGAGTTTACTGTTGCTTCATCAGATTCTTCAGCACTCTGTTTTTCTTCATCAATCATAGGTTCCGCTATGGATACTTCAATGTCATCTTCCAGTGTCGAAACTGTTTTATTGAGAACATTAGGCTTTTGCAGATTATTAATTTTGTCTGTAAAATAAAATTGAATGTAAATTTTGATAATAAGATAATAATAAAAGCAAAAGATAAATTCATCGCAATATTCTATACCTATCGTTCCAGAATCGACCGCATTTAAATTCTCATTTAAGGTTTTAATTGTTTCTACTTTTACTTCTTCTCTCGGCATAAAAGAGTTTACTGTTGCTTCATCAGATTCTTCAGCACTCTGTTTTTTTTCATCAATCATAGATTCCTCTATGGATACTTCAATGTCATCTTCCAGTGTTGAAACTGTTTCATTGAGAATATTAGGCTTTTGCAGATTATTAATTTTGTCTGTAAAATAAAATTGAATGTAAAGTTTGAGAATAAGATAATAATAAAAGCAAAAGATAAATTTATCGCAATATTCTATACCTATCGATCCAGAATCGACCGCATTTAAATTCTCATTTAAGGTTTTAAATGTTTCTACTTTTAATTCTTCTCTCGGCAAATGAGAGTTTACTGCTGCTTTATCAGATTCTTCAGCACTCGGTTTTTCTTCATCAATCATAGGTTCCGCTATGGATACTTCAATGTCATCTTCCAGTGTCAAAACTGTTTCATTGAGAACATTAGGCTTTTGCAGATTATTAATTTTGTCTGTAAAATAAAATTGAATGTGAAGTCTGAGAGAATAAGATAATAATAAAAGCAAAAGATAAATTCATCGCAATATTCTATACCTATCGTTCCAGAATTGACCGCATTTAAATTCTCATTTAAGGTTTTAAATGTTTCTACTTTTAATTCTTCTCTCGGCAAATGAGAGTTTACTGCTGCTTTATCAGATTCTTCAGCACTCGGTTTTTCTTCATCAATCATAGGTTCCGCTATGGATACTTCAATGTCATCTTCCAGTGTCGAAACTGTTTCATTGAGAACATTAGGCTTTTGCAGATTATTAATTTTGTCTGTAAAATAAAATTGAATGTGAAGTCTGAGAGAATAAGATAATAATAAAAGCAAAAGATAAATTCATCGCAATATTCTATACCTATCGTTCCAGAATTGACCGCATTTAAATTCTCATTTAAGGTTTTAAATGTTTCTACTTTTAATTCTTTTCTCGGCAAATGAGAGTTTACTGCTGCTTTATCAGATTCTTCAGCACTCGGTTTTTCTTCATCAATCATAGGTTCCGCTATGGATACTTCAATGTCATCTTCCAGTGTCGAAACTGTTTCATTGAGAACATTAGGCTTTTGCAGATTATTAATTTTGTCTGTAAAATAAAATTGAATGTAAAGTTTGAGAATAAGATAATAATAAAAGCAAAAGATAAATTTATCGCAATATTCTATACCTATCATTCCAGAATAAACTATCACTTTGAAATGCCCATTTAAGGTTTTAATTGTTTCTACTTTTAATTCTTCTCTCGGCAAATGAGAGTTTACTGCTGCTTTATCAGATTCTTTAGCACTCGGTTTTTCTTCATCAATCATAGGTTCCGCTATGGATACTTCAATGTCATCTTCCAGTGTCAAAACTGTTTCATTGAGAACATTAGGCTTTTGCAGATTATTAATTTTGTCTGTAAAATAAAATTGATGTGAAGTCTGAGAATAAGATAATAATAAATGCAAAAGATAAATTCATCACAATATTTTATACCTATCGTTCCAAAATCGACCGCATTTAAATTCTCATTTAAGGTTTTAAATGTTTCTACTTTTAATTCTTCTCTCGGCATAAAAGAGTTTACTGTTGCTTCATCAGATTCTTCAGCACTCTGTTTTTCTTCATCAATCATAAGTTCCGCTATGGATACTTCAATGTCATCTTCCAGTGTCGAAACTGTTTCATTGAGAACATTAAGCTTTTGCAGATTATTAATTTTGTCTGTAAAATAAAATTGAGTGTGAAGTCTGAATAAGATAATAATAAATGCAAAAGATAAATTCATCGCAATATTCTATACTTTTTGTTTCAGAATCAAGAGTCACTTTCTTAAATATTTCACTTTTCTTAAATATCTTATTCTTTTCCATTCTCTGCATTTCACTCTGCAACTCTAGCACTAGTGCTTCAATTTCCGTTAATTGCTCATGGTTAATCTCCGTTTTATACTTTATATATGTCTTTCCTCCCATTCTCTGTATTTCCTTCTGCAACTCTAGTGTTCGTACTTTGAATTCCTTCAATTGCTCAGGGTTAATCTCCCATTCATTCTTATATGTATTTCCCATTCTCTGCATTTCCTTCTGCAACTCTAGTGTTCGTGCTCTGATTTGCCCTAATTGCTCAAACCATTTCGCAGTTCCGATTTCAACAATATTTCCATTAAATACCAATTTAGATTCCTCCTTCTTTTCCGCATTTAAATTAATAAGACTATCGTTTTTTTCCAGATTATTAATGTTGTCTGTAAAAAAAATTGAATGTGAAGTTGGAGAATAAGATAATAATGAAAGCAAATGATAAATTCATCGCAATATTCTATACCTTTTGCTCCAGAATGGAGAGTCCAATTATTAGAAACATTAAGATTCATATGTAAATCATCACTTATATTATTCAACGATGGACTGATTGAATTGAGAACAATATCGGCTGATTTTGTATTTGTAGACTTTTTCATCGGGTAAAAATTGGCGTACATAAAGAAGGCCATAAAACAAACACCGAATATTACAACGAACTACAAATAATAACAATATCACATGTAAATACAAAAAGTTACAAGAAAAAGTACAAGAATTACTGTAAAGTTGACCTTACATACGATAGTAATCTTTGACTAAGATTACTGCTATTTATTAAACATATAAAAATTGCTGCCGGAAATATGAAGATCATTCCTCCAATCGTACATCCCATAAAAGTAAGAACAAACTCTAGGCTTGGCATTCGAATGGCAATTATCGTAGAACTGATGACTATTAAGATAGTGAGACAACAACATCTGAATTTTGACAAATGACTGACAAATAGCTCGTCAGTAGTTATCTAATATATAACACAATAAAGTATGTAGATTAAGAATTACAATAATATAACAATAATATAATTATGCTTTTTTTTTTAAAGAACATACCCCGCTACGTATAAGGGAATCCAAGTTGTTACGATAAATAAAAATGACTAGAGGGAAATTGTTTACAACCATATATAAGAATCCCGCGTTAATCAGTTCCAATAATATAATAGGCTTATAATTCATCAAAATATTTCCTGCAAATTCAATATAAAAATGATAAAAGTTGTAAACAACGAAGTTGATAACAATATAGAATAATATAATATTTGACGGTGACGTCGAATATTGCGTAAGATAATGTATCAATTTTGTTAATAATAAATTACCTGTGAGTGATTGAGTATTATAACAGCAAATATAACCAAGAAAACCAACGATTGAATATAAATAAGTACATCTATTTAATACTTCTTTTGCAATTATATTCAGTAACTTTAACTTTGAACCTGTAGATGATGTCATGTGATATATTTCAAGCATTTGAATATGGCAGAAGGAAGCCATGAAGAATATTGGCAGGCACTGGAAAATGCCTTCTAATCTCCAATAATTAACACTGCCTGTCCAATTTTCCAAATGGATAATAAGAAAAGATCTGATCATTATCTGTCAATTAAAAATAAAGAAAAATATGGAGCATGAATATGTTTTAAGATATAATTAGTGCTTGTATTTTAGAACATTTTTATGAATGCACACGTTGAGTTATATTTTACTTCTTACTTTTATTGCAATCAAATTATAAATAAAAACATTAAAGCGGCAAATCTTAAACGCATCAACGATATTTTGATTCAGTCCTTGAGTAAAAACTGTTATTAATCCGGTTGTGAGTATGACGAAGATGCGACGTTCTCCAATGTCCAATGTTGTCTCTCCCGTGATATAGCTGATTATTTGCGATGCCAGATCGCCGATGACGATGAAGTTGGCGATGCAAGTACCCAGCATAAAACTGACGATTAAAAGCTTCGCAAGAAATTCCCCCTTCTGACCAAACGCGTGTGAAGCAAGTAGTACAAACTTGCGTTTGTTGATTTGTATGGCCGATTTGATGAGAAAGTGACATGTCAGTCGTGACAAGATGTTACACAGAATTAACAGTAAAAGTGCCAAGACGATGCCGCATTGTTTGAAACAGAAGGGCATCGTTAAGAGGCTCACCCCTACGAAGCTTGTAGCGGGAGTAAAGAATGGCGATATTAGTCGTTTCATCGTTTTCGTCGACATAGTCACAGAGTCAACGTAGTTGATTATAGAAGTTGCAAACTCTTCCTCTTCGTCACAGTGTAATGTTTCTTCAAATTCTTTTGCAATTATCAAAAGAGTCACTCAAAAAAGTCGTCTTGTGTGATATATTAATTAGCTTGAAAAAAATATTTCAGAGTTTATATAACAGAAGTTGTTGCATTATGTTGCGCTACTTTTAATTCTCGCGATGTACCTTATTATTTTAAAAAGTATATATGTATATAATATATTCTTATGCTGTACTATACATTTAAATATTAATTATATATAATAGACATACGTTAACTTACCTAAGAAGTTCTCATCCTTTTAACGTCCTTATTGTTCACAAAACTAAGAATTTTCAGCTTCTATCCTCCGCTCGGAGAAACGAAACAAAATAAACAACACTCTATTGTATAATTTACGTTACATGTATTATTAAAATTGACATTTTCAAATCTTTAAGATTTTACGTAATCTTTCTGGATTTATAAAAGAAATTAGATACTCCAAAATTACACATACAAAAATATTTTTTTGCTTTTTAATTTTATATAAAAATTTAATATTTCTTTATATGTATAATATTGTAGAGTCTAAAATATAAACATAAATTATAATCACGATCTACACTTCATTCCTCTCAGCCAATAGAGCCACACGCGATGTTATTGCGATACATAAGAAAGAAAGAAAATTTGGAAACTAAGGAATTTGTATCCTATGGTTGGGATGGCTGATTCCCGACTGAGCCGACTTTCGGACCAATATTTTTCTCGCCTATTTCTTTACAGGAAAAGTTAAGAGAGGAAAAAGGGGAATTTCTGAGATCCCAACCATAGGATACAAATTCCTTAGTTTCCAAATTTTCTTTCTTTCTTATGTATCGCAATAACATCGCGTGTAGCTCTATTGGCTGAGAGGAATAAAGTGTAGATCGTGTTTTTAAATTAAGGAGCCGACTTAATATTCTTATTATAAATTATAATGTTGGTGTGTGTGCATGTGTGTGTCTGTCTTCGTGGATAAATTATATACATTAAAATATCAAACTATATAATTGCTATTCTATAATTAATATTATAATAAGAGAATTTTATGTTTATATTAAAATATGGATTCAAATATTTTATCAGATATATATTATCGTGTAAAATTGAATAATAGCGATAATAAACAATATTCAAATAAGATAAATTACAGTATAAAAAATATTTTTATTTAATTTTACATCTATGTATATATTGATTACTTAAAAAATTAGTTTGTATTGTTATTCTTTACAATCATTAAGATTTAGAAAAGTTTATAAAATAGTCTAACATATATAAAACAATCACTTGAAACATCGTACACAGCATATGGGAGTCGTTATAGTATATATATTGTTACGTCCCTGGATTTTGCATCCCCTGTGCAACTTCACTTTACTATTATCCCGGCTGAGCCCCCAAAATGTTACGTCCTCGAAACGGTCCTTTGCAATTTCTGCAAAAGTCTCACTCACTCACACGCGCACCAATGAATTAAGTTGCACAAGGGATGCAAATCCAGGGACGTAACAATATACATATATATATATATATATATATATATATATATATCTCTTCACACTTAAATAAATATACGCACACATGAGACAAAAATAGAAAAATTGTTATAGTACACATTTTAAACTTGATCATAATTAATATAACGTAAATAAATAATAATATATATATGCAAAAAGAGTTTTGTATACAATGTATATATTAAATTGTAATATTAAAAATATATATTATTTTAATTATTTAAATATATATATACAATATATTTTAAATATATATATTTTTAAATTTATATATATTAAATATATCTTAATTCACTATTCATTATGATATACATATATATTTGATATATTTCGTTCTTTTATATTTTAATTTTTATAATATGTAATAATAATAATAATAATATAAAAAAATATATTTTTTTATAAATATTTATAATTAAAATAAATATATAATATTTTTAAAAAATGACGAAAAATTTATGATAAACAATGTCTTACAGTTATTTGTAGTGTGATTTCTATATTATTTTTAAGAAATATTACTGAATATTTTTTACCTATATACATTATATTTTTTAAAGTTTTTAATCTCTTTCACATTATCCAAAATTAAGAACGACGGAAATAAATCCATAGAAATAATTTTTATTGTTATTTCTCTGTTCAGACAAATAAACGTTCGCTTTAATTTGAGGCAACTTTAATTGAGCTCAATATAAATAATTGCTTGTCAAATTTTTTATCTTCAAAATTCTTCTTCTTATCAGAAGAATAGAGTCTGTAAAGTTCCATCTGATAAGACATTTAATAATAATTTATACTTTTCTCAATTCTTTAAATTACTCTCAAAATTCTATCTTTTAGTTTAAAACATTTTCATGAATGCACACATTGAGTTATATTATACTCATCCTTACCTTGCCTGCAATAAATTTGCTTTTTTTCATGTCTCTGTCGAATTTATACGATACATTTATATATATGTAGCTATTTATTTAAAGAGCGAATAAAAATACATGTTTTAAGACATATGTACTTAACAATATTTATGCTACCGGTGCACTTACGTGGTTATTAAAATGTTCTGTGTCTCTCTCTATAACTATATATCGTACTTCTTATTCAGCTTCCTGAAATAATTTATTGATGCATATTACACGTAATCAAAATAATATTTGAAATATAAGATGTACAGCAATATTGCTATAAAAATGTTTAAAGTAGAAAATACTATTCGTTATTTTATAATCCAAATTAAATTTTCAAAATTATTTTTACATTATAAAATAGAAAAATTATTTATTCTATCTATTTAAAAAATATAATATAAAAAAAATGAAAAAATTTTTAGTGAAGATTTTATATTTACAATATATTGTTGTAATACTCTGAGAAAAATAGAGCAGAGAGAGAGAGAGAGAGAAAGAGGCATCTATACAGTATTATGTAAAATATCTATATAATTATTTAAATGCAGATCACTAAACATTTTTTTTATTTTCGGGAGGGAATTACCTCAGTGACTTCTCTTTTTTCAATAACTAATATTGAAAACTAATATTAGGAAAAATAAAACTAACCAGAGAGAAGATAATATTAATATTAGGAAAAATAAAATTATAAAAAAATTAATAAAATTATGTACATAATAGAAATTCAGCAAATTAAAATTAATAGTAATTCGGTTAATTAAAATTATGTAATACATAATAGAGAAATTCGATGACATAAACATAAAATTATGTGCGCATAATAGGAAAACGGCAAATTAAAATAATATTAAGTTTGACCACAAACTGTAACAGTATCAAACGATTTGGTTGTGATTCAAGTCGCAAAATAAACTTCGAAACAACCAACCAGCCTCGCAGAAAAGAGGCCTCGATACTTTATTTAAAATTAAATTTACTCATTGTCAATTAACATGTCTTTTTTAAAGAAAGGATATAAAAATATATATTGATTATAATAATACATATATTAATTTACATTAGAGAGATACTAAAGATTACTAATTAGATTCTTATCCATCTAACGTACTTATTGTCCACTAGACCAATAATTTTCAGCTTTTTCCACCCCCTCTCGAAGAGGAGAACAAAACAAACATCACTCTTGTATAATTTACGTTACATGAATTATGAAAAATGTAGACATTTTCAAATCCCTTAGATTCTAAGTGATCTCTCTTTCTGGATTTAAAAGAAATTAAATACTCTTCACAAAACTACACTTATGGCAATATTTTTTACTACTTTATTATTTAAATTTAAAAAATATATATTAGCTCTACATGTGTAATATTCTCGAGTCTAAAATATAAACATATAAATTACAGGTTTGTGTCTGTGTATGTGTGTGTTCGTAGGTAAATTATACGCCTCAAAATATCAAACAATAAGTGTTATATTGTATAATTTATATTATAAAAAGAGAATTTTTTATTTATATTGAAATCTAGATTGGTATCTTTCACTAAATGTATTATCGTGGAAAATTGGATAATATAAAAAGTGATAAGCGATATTCAAATAAGATAAATTGCGTTGTAAAAACATATATTTATTTAATTTTATCTATATAATTGATTACTTAAGAAATTAATATTTGTATTGTCATTTGTGTATAATGTTTCAGTACAAAAAATGTTTATAGTAGTTTCACATATGTAAAACAGTCCTTTTAAACATCGTACACAGCGTGAGTCATTATATACCTATATAAATGTAAATATTATACAATTAAAATATACGTACATATATAAAACAAAAATAGAAAAATTTTCAGCACATTTTTTAAATTTGATTATTTACAATAATTTAATATTATACACATTTATAATAAAATATAAATAATATAAATTGAATATAATAAATAAATTATGTGTTACAATTTTGTATATATACATGTAGTAATAATAATGTAATTAATATTAATAAAGTATATTTATGTTAATTATTTCAAAACAATGTATGTATTTTATACATATATTAAATATATACAAATATATATAAATATATATATATAATTCATTATATTATTTATTATACATATACATATTTGATATATATTTACCTTTTAATATCTTAACTTTTATAATAATATAATAAAATCTTTTAATATTTTTATAAAAATTTATAATTAAACATAATATTTAAAAATATTTATAATTAACATAAATATACACACCATTTGAATAATAACGAGCCATATATATATATATAAATAAAATTGCAGAGTGAATTCTGTTATTGTCAAAAAATAGTACTGAATATTTTCATATCTTTAGTTTATATTTGCAGAATTCCGAAACATTTAAATCTGTCTCATTCTTTCAAGTCGATTGTGTTCTCTGATTAAATATTATCTTTGTTAATTCACATTTTCTTTTCACACTCCTTTGAAATATTTCATCCCATCGTATTTCCACCTTTTTCCTCTCAAATTTTTTCTTCTGTGTCTTGAGTGCCTTATTCATCAAAATTTTAAGGCAACAAACTGGAATATCTCTATTAGCCGTCAATTTAGATTTCTCCTTTTTTAACACATTTAAGTTAATAATATAAAAATACTTAATAACTGCCGTATATTTCTGCAAATCGTCCCTTTTCCTTGATTATTTTATTCTTCTTTTTCGCTTTAAATATAACGGATTCATCGATTTTAGAACTGTTGATATTAGCAGTAATCTGCATCGCATTTATATATATATAATTACTCATTTAAAGTTTTAATTGTTTCTACTTTTATTTCTTTTATCGGCATAAAGGTGTTTACTGCTGCTTTATCAGATTTTTCGGCATGCTGTTTCTTTGCATCAAAACAGTTTTATTGAAAACACCCTTTACCCTTTTACAGCTTAATCATTTTGCCTGTAAAAATAAAATGTAATGTCAGAAAGCAATATAATAATGAAAGCATAAGATAAATTCATCGCAACATTATACTTTTCGTTCTAGCATAGAGACTCATCAATTATCAATATTAGAAACATTAGGATGTAATGTATTCCACTCGATTGATTTTATTGAATTGAAGAATATTTCTTTCGTGTATATATATTGTTTCATTATTTTTTATAGATATATATTGACTCATCCATCGGCCACACAAACCGAATAGGATAATAATGATACATATACCAAATATCATAATACACTATAGACAGAGAGAGATAAAGATATCACGTATATAAAACATACAAAAAATTACAAGAAAAGTAATAAGAATTGCCGATAAAAGTGATTTTACTTGCGCCAATAGTTTATCACCATTATTTTTCGTCGTAATAGATACAAAAATTGTTGTCGGAAATATTAAGATCATTACTCCAATCGTCGATCCAATGATACTAAGAACAAACTCTAGGCTTGGCATTAGAATAGCGATTACCATAGCAATGGTTGCTATTGCGACAGTGAGGCATAGACATTTGAATTTTGACAAATGACTGACAAATAGCTCGTCAGTAGTTATCTAATATACAACACAATAAAGTATATAGATTAAGAATTACAATAATATATTTATCCTTATTTTAAAGAACATACATACCTGATTAAATAAAAGAGAATACAAGCTGTTACGACAAGTACGAATGACTAGAGGGAAATTGAATACAATCAAAACTATGAATAACAATTTAATAAATTCGGACAACATGTCAGGCTCAGAATTCAGTAAAATATTTCCTGCAAATTTAATATAAAGACGATAAAAGTAATAAAAATACAAATAATAATATATATGATAAATGAATGAATATATGAATAATAAATGAATGATATATGAATGAATAAGAATATATATGATGATGACAATTGCAACATATAGTTTATTTTAAGATAATGCATCAATTTTGTTACATTACCTGCGAGTGATTGAGTATTACCAAAGCGAATGTAACCAAAGAAGCCAACGATTATGCACATAACAGTACATATATTTAATGCTAGTCCTGCAACTTTATTCATTTTCTTTAGAGATGTAGTTGAAGTCATTTCATACATTTCGAGCAGTTGAATATGACAGAAGGAACCAATGAAAAAGATTGGCAAGCACTGGGGAATGCCAGCTAATCTCCAATAATCAACACTGTCCCAATTAATATTGCTCCACCAATTTTTCGGAATGAAAAATTTTATTACAGTCTGTCAATTAAAAATAAATAAAAACATAGAGTATTATGGTATAAAAGTTATATTAGCGCTTGTATTTTAGAACATTTTTATGAATGCACACGTCAAGTTATATTATACTTCTTACCTCTACTGCAACGCAAAGATAGAAGCTAACACTAATGATGTAAGTGTCAAACAGATAATCAATATTTTGACATAGTTCGACAAAAAAAACTACGAAGACTTCGATCACGATTATCCAGAGTGTGCGAATATGCTCCGAGATTACATTATCCATCTGATTCTGTACGAGCTGGAATCCCAGATCGCCGATGACGATGAAGTAGGCGACGCAAGTTCCCAGCATAAAACCGACGATTAAAATCTTCGCGAGAAACTTCCCTTTCATACCGAACGTGTGAGAAGCAAGTAGTACAAACTTGCGTTTATTTGCTAGTACGGACGACTTGATGAGAAAGCGACACGCCAGTCGTGACAAGATGTGACACAGAATTAATATTAGAGTGGCCAAGACGATGCCGCATTGTTTGAAGCAGTAGGGCATCGTCAGGAGACTCACCCCTACGAAGCTGTTAACGGGAGTCATCACTTGCGATATTAGTTCAATCATTTCCATCGATATAGTCATAGTCGGCATAGCTGATTATTATAGAAGTTTAAAGTTGTAAATTCTTCCTCTTTGTCACAGTGTGATGTTTCTTCGAATTCTTTTGCAATTATCAAAAATCACTCTGGAAAGTCGTCTTGAGCGATATATTAATTTCCTTGAAAAAAATATTTCGAGGTGTATAACAGAAGTTGTTGCATTATATTGCACTATTCTCGCGAAGTACTTTATTTTACAAAGAGTATATGCGTATATACTATATCTTTATATTGTGATATAAATTTAAATATTAAGTAATTATATAATACACATACGTTAACTTACCTAAGAAATTCTTATCCATCTAACGTCCTTATTGCCCGCAAAACTAACAATAAGAATTTTCAGCTTCTATCTCCTTGACTCTCTCAAAGAGATAAACAAAATAAACACCACTCTTTGTATAATTTACGTTACATAAGTTATTAAAATTTTAGACATTTTCAAATTCTTAAGATTATGCGCGTGATCTTTCTGAATTTATAAGAGAAATTAAATATTCCACAAAACTATATATATAGAGATATTTTCGACTTTTTTGATATAAATTAGAAAGTAAAAAATATATCCATATCTATCATCTTGTACAGTCTAAAATATAAACATATAAATTATATAAGTTTATGTGTGTGTGTGCGTGTCCATGTATAAATTAAACTCATCAAAATACATCTAATAATAAGTGCTACTATATAATTATATTATTATTTAAAAAAGAATTTTTTATTTATATTAAAATGTAAATTGAAAACTTACACCAAATGTATTATTGGAAAATCGAATAATATATAATATCGATTAGGCTGAATTGTGGTGTCAAAAAAATTTTATTTAATCTTATTTATATAATTGAATACTTAATAAATCAATATTTTTATTGTTGATTTTACACTTTTTCAGTTAAAAAAAATTTATATGGTAGTCTTACATATGCAAAACAGTTATTTTAAATATTGTACGCAGTATGTGAGTTGCATTATATGTGGTTATATATATATATATATATATATATATATATATATATGTATACATATTCTATTATTGAAATATACGCACATGTAATAATAGTAAAATAATAGTAAAATAATATTAATAATGTATATTTATGTTAAATAATTTAAAATAAATATATACGATTATATAGTATATAGATATATTAAGCATATTTATATACATATATATTTGATATATTTCTTTTTTTATATCTTAATTTTTATAATATATAATAAAATTTTAAATATTTCTATAAATATTAAAATAATTAAACATAAAATTTAAAAAATATTAATAATTAACTTAAATATACCATACTATTTGAAAAATAACGAGTTATTTATAAATAAACTTTGTTTAATAGTTATTGCAATGTGAATTCTATTATTGTCAAAATTATTACTGGATTTTCATATCTATGCATATATATATATATATATATATGTCAGGATTCGATAAGTGTTATTTCTCTCTTATTCTTTCAAGTCGATTGTGTTCTCTGATTAAATATCCTCTTTGTTAATTCGCATTTGCTTTCCTATTCTTTTAAATATCTCATTCCATTGCATTCAGAATTTACACATTCTTTTTTATATGCCTTAATTATCTTCAGAATTTTCAGGCGGAAAAACCGAGTATCTCGATTAGCCGCCATTTAAATGTCTCATTCTTTATCGCATCAAAGTTACAAGACTATCGTTTCTCTGCAGATCCACTGATCGTTACTTCTCCTTGCTTGTTATTCTCTTCCCTTTCGCTTTCAATATAAAGTATTCATTGATTGTAGAGCTGTCAATATTTACGGTAATAAATAATACTGCATCGCATATAAATTCAAGTTTAAAGTTTCAATTGTTTCTACTTTTATTTTTTTATTGGCATAAGGATGTTTACTGCTGCTTTATCAGATTTTTTGTCACGCTGTTTCTTTATATCAATCACAGGTTTGGATGTGAATAATACTGATGAACATTATATCTTTCGGTGTCAAAACCATTTTAATGAGAATGTTATACTCTTCAGCAGCTTATTAATTTTGCCTGAAAAAAATAAAATGTAAAGTCAGAGATAGAGAGAGAGAGAGAGAGAGAGAGAGAGAGAGAGAGAAAGCATGATAATGAGAGCAATATATAAATTATCGCAATATTATACTTTTTGTTTTAGAATAGAAACGTGATATTAGAAATATTAGGATTGATGTGTAAATCCTCAGTTGTATTCCACAATCGATTGATTTCACTGGGAAGAATTGATTTTTCTTTTATATATAGATTCATCTAGTGCACATAGATTCTTCCATAATAATATAGATTCTTCAATAGGGTATATATATAGAATATCATAATACATATATCAAAAATTATAATGCCCTAGAGACAGTAAAAATATCACGCAAAAAACATAAAAAAATTAAAAGAAAAAAAATAAGAATTGCCGATAAAATTGACTTTACTTGAGCAAAAGGTCTTTCTCGATTATTTCTGTTCGTAGTAAATACAAAAATTAATGCCGGAAATATTAAGATTATTTGTTCAATCATCCATTCCATGATACTAAGAACAAACTCTAGACTTGGCATTAGAATAGCGATTATCATAGAAATGGGGGACTATTGCGATAGTGAGATATAAATGTAGGAGATCTGACAAATCACTGTCAAGTGGCTGGTCAGTAGTTACCTATAATATACAACGTAATAAAAAGTATATAGATAAAGAATTAGAATAATGTAACAATAATAATATATTTGTGCTTTTTATTAAAGAACATATCCTTGTATATAAAAGGGAATTCAAGATGCTACAACAAGCAAACATGACTGTATGAAAACTGGATACAACCAACCATATATATCCCACTTTAAACAGGTTGCATAATATGCTACACTCGTAACTCACTAAAATATTGCCTGCGGATTTAATATAAAAAAGATAAAAGTGAACAAAGTTGATGAGAACTGTTTAGAATAATAATATGTGACGGTGACAATTGCAACCTCGTTTATAGTAAGATAATGTATCATTTTTTATTAAATTACTTGCAAATGATTGAATATTACCAAAGCGAATGTAACCAAACAAGCCAACGATTATGTATATTAAAGTATTTCTATTTAATTCACTTATTACACTAGGTTTCCATGTTATTGGTTCTATTATTTCAGAATTATATGTTCCAAACATCTGAATACGAAAGCAGGAAGCCATAAATAATATTGGCAGGCACACGAAAATGCCATCTGATCTTCAATAATTAACACCGTACCACCATTCTTCCAAAAAAATATTACGAATAGATCCGATTACCATCTGTCAATTTAAATAAAGGAAAATATAGGGTATTAATATGTTATAAGTTATAATTAGCACTTGTATTTTAGAACATTTTCATGAATGCACATGTTGAGTCATATTATACTTTTTACCTCTGCTACAGTCCAACCATAGATGATTACAAAAAAATTGTCATCGGAGGAGTAATAGAGAAAAGGGATATATTCACGCAGTTCTTCGGGAAAAATAAATGTGGATCCGACTATGATTATGCAGATGATGCGATCTGTCTATATATATATCTAGAAATAATGTTCCCAGACAAAAAACGTCTAAAATCGGATCATAAGACGTCTTAAAGGAGTCATTAAGATGTCTTTTAGATGTCATATTAAAATATGTCTTTAAGACGTCAATAAGATATATCTTTAAGGCGTCTTATGTCCCGTTTTTAGACGCACGTGATGTTGTTTGGGTTTTTTGTCCTTTTGTTCTGAAATACATGTGAAATGCTTTAAGCGTCCTTTTAGTAAAAATAAATATGTAAATCTGTCGAAAGCGTTACGCACCTTTTTTCCGTAGTTAATCTTTTATGGTGTGGAAATCTTGTAGTACAAAAGTCCAACTTCGATTCCCAAGGCTGCGTCGGTTGATGTTTTGCATTTAGTATAATAAGTCAAGCACTTATTATTAGATGTATTTTGATGAGTTTAATTTATACATGGACACGCACACACACACATAAACTTATATAATTTATATGTTTATATTTTAGACTGTACAAGATGATAGATATGGATATATTTTTTACTTTCTAATTTATATCAAAAAAGTCAAAAATATCTCTATATATAGTTTTGTGGAATATTTAATTTCTCTTATAAATTCAGAAAGATCACGCGCATAATCTTAAGAATTTGAAAATGTCTAAAATTTTAATAACTTATGTAACGTAAATTATACAAAGAGTGGTGTTTATTTTGTTTATCTCTTTGAGAAAAGAGTCAAGGAGATAGAAGCTGAAAATTCTTATTGTTAGTTTTGCGGGCAATAAGGACGTTAGATGGATAAGAATTTCTTAGGTAAGTTAACGTATGTGTATTATATAATTACTTAATATTTAAATTTATATCACAATATAAAGATATAGTATATACGCATATACTCTTTGTAAAATAAAGTACTTCGCGAGAATAGTGCAATATAATGCAACAACTTCTGTTATACACCTCGAAATATTTTTTTCAAGGAAATTAATATATCGCTCAAGACGACTTTCCAGAGTAATTTTTGATAATTGCAAAAGAATTCGAAGAAACATCACACTGTGACAAAGAGGAAGAATTTACAACTTTAAACTTCTATAATAATCAGCTATGTCGATTATAATTACATCGATAAAATTGATGGAACTAACATCGCAAGTGATGACTCCCGTTAACAGCTTTGTAGGGGTGAGTCTCCTGACGATGCCCTACTGCTTCAAACAATGCGGCATCGTCTTGGCCACTCTAATGTTAATTTTGTGTCACATCTTGTCACGATTGACGTGTCGCTTTCTCATTAAGTCCTTCGTAATACCAAATAAAACCATGTTTGAACTACTTGATTCTCACACGTACGGTACGAAAGAGAAGTTTCTTGCGAATATTTTAATCGGCAGTTTTATGCTGGGAACTTGCGTCGCCTACTTCATCGTCATCGGCGATCTGGGATTCCAGCTCGTACAGAATCAGATGGATAATGTAATCTCGGAGCATATTCGCACACTCTGGATAATCGTGATCGAAGTCTTCGTAGTTTTTTTTGTCGAACTATGTCAAAATATTGATTACCTGTTTGACACTTACATCATTAGTGTTAGCTTCTATCTTTGCGTTGCAGTAGAGGTAAGAAGTATAATATAACTTGACGTGGGCATTCATAAAAATGTTCTAAAACACAAGCGCTAGTATAACTTTTATACCATAATACTCTATGTTTTTATTTATTTTTAATTGACAGACTGTAATAAAATTTTTCATTCCGAAAAATCGGTGGAGTAATATTAATTGGGACAGTGTTGATTATTGGAGATTAGCTGGCATTCCCCAGTGCTTGCCAATCTTTTTCATTGCTTCCTTCTGTCATATTCAACGGCTCGAAATGTATGAAATTGCTTCAAATACATCTCTAAATAAAATGAATATATATACTGTTATGTACATAATCGTTGGCTTCTTTGGTTACATTCGCTTTGGTAATACTCAATCACTCGCAGGTAATGTAACAAAATTGATGCATTATCTTAAATAAACTATATGTTGCAATTGTCATCATCATATATATTATTATTTATTCATATATCATTCATTTATTATTCATATATTCATTCATTTATCATATATATTATTATTTGTTAGTTCATTACTTTTATCGTTTTTATATTAAATTTGCAGGAAATATTTTACTGAATTCCGAGCCTGACATGTTGTCCGAATTGATTAAATTGTTATTCATATTTTTGATTGTATTCAGTTTTCCTCTAGTCATTCGTATTTGTCGTAACAGCTTGTATTCTCTTTTATTTAATCAGGTATGTATGTTCTTTAAAATAAGGATAAATATATTATTGTAATTCTTAATCTATATACTTTATTGTGTTGTATATTAGATAACTACTGACGAGCTATTTGTCAGTCATTTGTCAAAATTCAAATGTTTATGCCTCACTGTCGCAATAGCAACCATTGCTATGGTAATCGCTATTCTAATGCCAAGCCTAGAGTTTGTTCTTAGTATCATTGGATCGACGATTGAAGTAATGATCTTAATATTTTCGACAATTTTTGTATCTATTACAACGAAAAATGTTGCTAAAGTATTGGCGCAAGTAAAATCACTTTTATCGGCAATTTTTATTACTTTCCTTGTAATTTCTTGTATGTTTTCTATTACTATTCGGTTTGTGTGACCGATGGATGAGTCAATATATATCTATAAAAAATAATGAAACAATATATATACACGAAAGAAATATTCTTCAATTCAATAAAATCAATCGAGTGGAATACATTACATCCTGATGTTTCTAATATTGATAATTGATGAGTCTCTATGCTAGAACGAAAAGTATAATGTTGCGATGAATTTATCTTATGCTTTCATTATTATATTGCTTTCTGACATTACATTTTATTTTTACAGGCAAAATGATTAAGCTGTAAAAGGGTAAAGGGTGTTTTCAATAAAACTGTTTTGATACAAAGAAACAACATGTCGAAAAATCTGATAAAGCAGCAGTAAACACCTTTATGCCGATAAAAGAAATAAAAGTAGAAACAATTAAAACTTTAAATGAGTAATTATATATATATAAATGCGATGCAGATTACTGCTAATATCAACAGTTCTAAATCGATGAATCCGTTATATTTAAAGCGAAAAAGAAGAATAAAATAATCAAGGAAAAGGGACGATTTGCAGAAATATACGGCATTTATTAAGTATTTTTATATTATTAACTTAAATGTGTTAAAAAAGGAGAAATCTAAATTGACGGCTAATAGAGATATTCCAGTTTGTTGCCTAAAAATTCTGATGAATAAGGCACTCAAGACACAGAAGAAAAAGTTTGAGAGGAAAAAGGTGGAAATACGATGGGATGAAATATTTCAAAGGAGTGTGGAAAGAAAATGTGAATTAACAAAGAGAATATTTAATCAGAGAACACAATCGACTTGAAAGAATGAGAGAGATTTAAATGTTTCCGAATTCTGCAAATATAAACTATAGATATGAAAATATTCAGTACTATTTTTTGACAATAACAGAATTCACTCTGCAATTTTATTTATATATATATATATATATATATGTATATATGGCTCGTTATTATTCAAATGGTGTGTATATTTATGTTAATTATAAATACTTTTTTAATATTATGTTTAATTATAAATTTGTATAAAAATATTGAAAGATTTTATTATATTATTATAAAAGTTAAGATATTAAAAGGTAAATATATATCAAATATGTATATGTATAATAAATAATATAATGAATTATATATATCTATTTATATATATTTGTATATATTTAATATATGTATAAAATACATACATTGTTTTGAAATAATTAACATAAATATACTTTATTAATATTAATTACATTATTATTACTACATGTATATGTACAAAATTGTAACACATAATTTATTTATTATATTCAATTTATATTATTTATATTTTATTATAATGTGTATAATATTAAATTATTGTAAATAATTAAATTTAAAAAATGTGCTGAAAATTTTTCTATTTTTGTTTTATATATGTACGTATATTTTAATTGTATGATATTTACATTTATATAGGTATATAATGACTCACGCTGTGTACGATGTTTAAAAGGACTGTTTTACATATGTGAAACTACTATAAACATTTTTTGTACTGAAACATTGTACACAAATGACAATACAAATATTAATTTCTTAAGTAATCAATTATATAGATAAAATTAAATAAATATATGTTTTTACAACGCAATTTTTATCTTATTTAAATATCGCTTATCACTTTTCATATTATCCAATTTTCCACGATAATACATTTAGTGAAAGATACCACAATCTAGATTTCAATATAAATAAAAAATTCTCTTTTTATAATATGAATTATACAATATAACACTTATTGTTTGATATTTTGAGGCGTATAATTTACCTACGAAAACACACACATACACAGACACAAACCTGTAATTTATATGTTTATATTTTAGACTCGATAATATTACACACATATAGAGCTAATATATATTTTTTAAATTTAAATAATAAAGTTGTAAAAAATATTTCCATAAGTGTAGTTTTGTGAAGAGTATTTAATTTCTTTTAAATCCAGAAAGATTACTTAGAATCTAAGGGATTTGAAAATGTCTACATTTTTCATAATTCATGTAACGTAAATTATACAAGAGTGATGTTTGTTTTGTTCTCCTCTTCGAGAGGGGGTGGAAAAAGCTGAAAATTATTGGTCTAGTGGACAATAAGTACGTTAGATGGATAAGAATCTAATTAGTAATCTTTAGTATCTCTCTAATGTAAATTAATATATGTATTATTATAATCAATATATATTTTTATATCCTTTCTTTAAAAAAGACATGTTAATTGACAATGAGTAAATTTAATTTTAAATAAAGTATCGAGGCCTCTTTTCTGCGAGGCTGGTTGGTTGTTTCGAAGTTTATTTTGCGACTTGAATCACAACCAAATCGTTTGATACTGTTACAGTTTGTGGTCAAACTTAATATTATTTTAATTTGCCGTTTTCCTATTATGCGCACATAATTTTATGTTTATGTCATCGAATTTCTCTATTATGTATTATATAATTTTAATTAACCGAATTACTATTAATTTTAATTTGCTGAATTTCTATTATGTACATAATTTTATTAAATTTTTTTATAATTTTATTTTTCCTAATATTAATATTATCTTCTCTCTGGTTAGTTTTATTTTTCCTAATATTAGTTTTCAATATTAGTTATTGAAAAAAGAGAAGTCACTGAGGTAATTCCCTCCCGAAAATAAAAAAAATGTTTAGTGATCTGCATTTAAATAATTATATAGATATTTTACATAATACTGTATAGATGCCTCTTTCTCTCTCTCTCTCTCTCTGCTCTATTTTTCTCAGAGTATTACAACAATATATTGTAAATATAAAATCTTCACTGAAAATTTTTTCATTTTTTTCATATTATTTTTTTTAAATAGATAGAATAAATAATTTTTCTATTTTATAATGTAAAAATAATTTTGAAAATTTAATTTGAATTATAAAATAACGAATAGTATTTTCTACTTTAAACATTTTTATAGCAATAATGCTGTACATCTTATATTTCAAATATTATTTTGATTACGTGTAATATGCATCAATAAATTATTTCAGGAAGCTGAATATATATATATATATATATATATATATATCTAGAAAGAATGTTCCCAGACAAAGAAAGTCTAAAATCGGATCATAAGACGTCTTAAAGGAGTCATTAAGATGTCTTTATGTCATATTAAAATATGTCTTTAAGACGTCAATAAGATATATCTTTAAGGCGTCTTATGTCCCGTTTTTAGACGCACGTGATGTTTGGGTTTTTTGTGCTTTTGTTCTGAAATACGTGTGAAATGCTATAACCGTCATTTTAGTGAAAATAAATATGTAAATCTGTCGAAAGCGGTACGCACTTTTTTTCCGTAGTTAATCTTTTATAGTGTGGAAATCTTGTAGTACAAAAGTCCAACTTCGATTCCCAAGGCTGCGTCGGTTGATGTCGGCATGCTTGTCGGCACACTTGAAGGATCGGATGAAGGCCAAAGTAACAATTCCAACAGCTAGATGGAACCATCGGAACGAATCGTAACATCGGAACCGGTCACAAACCAGCACTCTTTGAGTTGGAACTTATTGTATCGCGATTATATTCAACTTTGAAAAAAAAATTTTTTTTTTTTCATAAACATACCTACAGATTTTTTCTGCCGTATTTCATAGATAAAAAAAATCTAAAAAAATCGACCACCATAAACATTTCAGCTATACATAAAAATCTTCACAAAATGAAAGTTGCATAATATTTTTCAAAGAGAGAGAATGTGTTAAGCTCTTCTGAGATTAAAAAAAAAATTATCTTTTCATTTTTGTTTATTTAAAAAAATCTATATTTAATCTCTCTTACGTGAAAAAGTTTTAAAACGATATTAAGTAGACCATAATTTATATCGATATAATATTTACTACTTAATATCGTGTTATTATAATTGTTTCTCACACACACAAGTAATTTCTAAATATAAAAAAATATATCTTCTCTCTCTTCTGTATCTCTATTTTTCCTCTGCGACCGGGCAGCCGTCCAATCGGCCATTCGGAGCAAAATAAATACGAGATCTTGAATGAACGAAAACATTCCTCTCGCTCTTAAACATAAGTACTATGTCTCGATATCGCGGAATTTTTTCGCCACGCTATCGCAAACTCTATCGCCGATCCCGATTACTTTCGACGAGGCCGGGGCGATTTAATTCATTCGCGTTAACTCGATGTGTTTTCCCATTTCCTCCCTCTCTCTCTCTCTCTTACCCCCTTCGCTTTGATACGCACACACAGACTCTCTCGGGGCCTTAAACGCCTCTTATTACCGTGCGCAACTATTGCCTTCCTAATGAACGCCGTAATTTATAATGCGTGGCGGCTGCTTCTGTCGACTTTATTGGGCGCAGAAACCGGGGACACTTCAAAGGTCCGCTTATCATTTGTGTGTCACACACGTTACTCGAACGGCTATCGTCGACTCGTCGATCGGGGGCGGCCTTCTTTTTCTTTTTTGTTTCTGTTATTCGATATTATTATTATTTGCGTATGCAAATTAACTGCATAAAGTTACGACATCGCGAAGGATATCGTTAACGAGAAGCAAACGAAGAATCGATGTGTTAATACATCCGCGATATTTTATGTACTTTTAATTACTATTGGAAACTATACAGTGTTATATTTCGGAGAATCCCACTGAACAATTTTTGTTCTTTGTAATTTTATTTTTTATATTATTTTATATTATTTTTATACATATATTATTTTTATATATGTATATGTTATTTTTATATTATATTATTTTCTTAATTAGAGAAGAGTGTATATGTACTATATTGTCTAAATGAAGAAACAAATGAATTAATATTTAATTATCAGTGTTGTGCTTAGATGATTTTAAAATTAGCTAATTAAAGATAAGATAAAAATAAATATAAATTTATCTTTGATAAGATAAAGATATTTTTCTTTCAAATACATCTATAGATAAAAGATAAAAATATATTCATATTTTGATTTCTCTTTTTATGTATTAAAACTCTAAACCAATAATAATCTGAACACATTATTCTAGATAATTTAGTAAAGATATTTTGGTCATCTAAGATGTGAATAAAGAAAATGCCTATTTTTATTATCTATATAAAAATAAGACGACACCAAAATTTCATCCATATAATTTTATTTAAATAACAGCAAACACTGTTAATTATAAATTGCACGATATTACGAAAGTTCTCGTCTCAAGCTATCGGACAATCATCTGGTCCCGGAGTTCTCTCTCTCTCTCTCTCTCTCTCTCTCTCTCTCCACGCGGTGCAACTTTTTCTCGATGTGAAATAATTGACGCGTTTCTCTCCTCCGCAGAGCGATCCCACGAAACGCATGCACATATACACGCGGAGAAAAGACCGTGAACATTAAATGCGTGTCTCTCCGTGATGTGACAGACAGACCGCGTGTCCAGACGGGACCAGAAGAAAAAAGAGAGAGAGAGAGAGAGAAGGAGGA